AATAGACAGATAATTTGCTAACATTATTTGTCACTCAACTCATTTGTCACTTGAAAATAGAGAACCATAAAATGAATGTGAAATAATCTAAAAATGATAAAAAAATAGACTGAAAGCCTTAATCTTGTAATCATAAAATTTCATGCAAAAATATCTTAACAATCATCATAAAAAATAGACTTATCTCTATTAATTTTATTTCTCAAGAGGAAAGCATGGAGGATGATATGTGCATCAATAATGTGACATAACCTTTTGGCGTGGCACAAAAATGCTTACTTGGCCTATTAACCCTTGGCACACCCTCTTAGTCATGTTGCCATGAACTGCTGCATTTTTTCTCATTACTTTGATATTTTCTAAATTACTAAAAAGTAACTAAAAATGTTTTCGTAAATTTCCTAAAAATATATATATTATAAATCTAGTTTCTAGTTTTAACTTCAATTATAATTCTCAAGGTTATAAACCTTGGAAAATCATGTTAGCACATAGATTAAAAATAAAAAATATTAATATCACATAAATCATAAAAAATACCAAATTAAATGTAAGTCCATAATATCACTCTAAAAAGGTACTAATGTTTTTCGCTTAAATAATTCACATTTTATGTTAATTCATGAGAAAAATAGTTTGATTTCACCTTAGTTATTATATAAAAGTAAAGAATTATCACTATGTTAGTCTTAACATGTTTTTGAAAGCCAATTTTTCAGAATCTTGAAGAATAGATTCATAACTGTCTTCTTTTTTTCTTGAAGGCCCAATGAAAATTATAGAGAACAAGATGGTGTTCATAACCAGGTCTTTCTTCTCCCGCTCTCCCTATCTCTCTTTCACTCCCTCTCCCTCCCTCTTCCCCTTCTCTCTTTCTCTCTCTCTTTCTTCCTCCCTTCTCTCTCCTCCATTGCCCCATCTCTACCTCTCTCTCTCTCTCTCTCTCTCTCTCTCCCTTATGCATTCTCCCTCGTTCCATCTCTCTTTCGCCCACTCTTCAATCTCCCTCAATTCTCTTTCTTTCTCTATTTCTCCTCTTTCCTTTTCCCCACCCTGCTCTCTCTCTCTCTCTCTCTCACACACACACACACAAACACACAAACACACACACACACTTTCTTTCTCCTTCATGCTCTCTCCATTTGTAGTTCATATTAAATTGTTCATAATGATATAAAGTTTTACAGGCCTCTTTGTTACTAACATGTACTTGTAAGTAGCGCAGGATTGCCTCCTCACTAATGACCATTTTTCTGTATTTCCCCTATCCTTTCTCGCTTAGGAGCTGTGTTGTTATTTGATTGGTAAACCAGTTGGCCCATTTCCTATTTTTAGGGAACGTCCAAAGAGAACAAGAAGGGGAGAAATTCCAACTTACACTCATTTGTTTCTCACTCTTTCCTCCCTCTCTATTTAAAAGGTAGGGGCATGGGAGAAAGGTGGAGTTTAGAGTTATGTGAGGTAGTGAGACAGTGGGAGAAGCAAGACTTAGTGCGAGAAGAACGCGGTAGGGGTGGGTTCCTACTTCTTCCATTTTACTATATATCTCTCTCTCTTAGGTGGGGTCCTGCCCATGGTGTTGTCAGTCCGTCCTCTGTCATGTTTGCTGTGGGTTTTTTCACTCTCCACTCCAAGAACTATACCATGAACCCTAGGGTTGTCTCGGCTACTAGCAAAGACTCGACCTAGTGGGAGAACCTGTAGGAGTTCCAGCTAGAGAGGCTTGCACTTAAAGAGCGGAGCTTCGGTGTTGACATTAGGAGGCAGCACTACCATTTCTTGCCCTTCGGCAACAGTAGGAGGAGATGTCCCAATATATCCCTAATGATTGCAAATGATTCTCACAACCCTAGCAAACGTGATGCACTGCTTCTGCCTTAGTGCCGAGGAGGGGAGGTGGACATGACGGAGGGAATGGGGTGTCCATGCCTAGGTCTCACTTTTTGGTTTGGTCCCCCACGGCGTGCCATACTCTCCTCATTTTAAGACCACCCATCAGCACCAGCACCCTAGACGAGGTGTCATGTCAATATGATCGTCACTAACCGCTGAATCGGGATATCCGATCCACTTCTATTAGTTGCCATGTCAAGGATCAGTCCAAAGTCAAGAATAATGAGCTTTTATTATGGTGTTGAAAGTCATGTGCTACGCTATACATATTGTCATATAACGTCTGTGATTTCTTTGTTCTAAAAGTAGCTATATCCCATTGTAGGACTGAAGTTCTGACTCTGAAGTATCTTATCATATGTCGTCACCTTAAATATGTGGATTATCTTTAGTGGTTGATATTATAGCCTTGTTATTTATGTTACATGTCAATAGCGTTGCTTTAAGGAGAAAAAATATCTTTCATCACCGTGTAGTAAATATATGAAATTAAGTTTCTCCCTTGTGTAACAAGATAAATGGTCATCATGCAATGTCAAATATGTGTAGATTATCGTAGACTCCTACCTGAGGAAATAAAGTGACAACATGAATTGTAAACCACCATGAATTGAAGAATCGACAGTGTAAGATTTTCAAGTATCAAAGCAATCTACTTTTCTCTTCACTTATATGCTTTTTTCTGAATTCTCTTTTACAAAGATCATTGCGGCAACAACAAACTCTTATGTTGCAGTTGGGCAGGCAAAGATTCCTTTTTATACTCAAAAGTAAGAGATTCTCACTTGATTATTTGATCTTCAAGTCTTTATATCTTATCCAGGGTCCAATTGTTGAATTAATTGTTCACATATTGTCCGAGTTACCTCATGGAATCTTTCACCTTTTCGGATCATCCGGGCTGGCCCTCACCACATTTCATAATCTTTCTTAGCATTCAAGATGAGAGAGGTGACACCCAAGAGCACGATGGTAGCCCAGGAATTCAAGTCCTCCATGTCTGAGATAGATGAGAGAGCTTATTGACACTAGATGTTACCACATAGGCTTGAGGTCTCCGTGAGCATTGATTTCTAGAGCTTTGCACGCATAGTTATCCCATGGGTAATTGATAGGTTGGATATCGTCTAAGGATTTAGTTCGCTGCATACCTTAAATGCATACAATTTTCAAAAGATCTGCAAACAAATGTTGAGTGATGAATGGGATCAGCGTTAGGGGTCAATGACAAGGCTGATATAGAGATGCCTTCAACTGGGGAAGTGTGAAGATGTTTGGATCAGTAGGTGAATGTGAATCTTGGTTGATTATTTGTTGATAGCACTTTGATAACTTACGACATGTTTTCTATAAGGTCTAATGTTTCAAGGAACAATACAAATTTAGTTATCCACTTGCACTAGATTATACCAGCAATACAAATCATTTGTTAACCTATTACCTTTTCTCCCTCCCCCTCACTCTCTATCTCTCTCTATATATATATCTATCTATGTGTGTGCATCTGTGTGTCTCTCTCTCTATCTCTCTCTATCTATCTACTTGTCTCTCTATCTCTCTCTATCTATCTGCCAATCTCTCTATCTCTCGCTATCTATTTTCCTATCTCTCTCTCTATCTCTCTCTATCTATCTGCCTCTCTCTCTCATCTATTTATCTATCACAACACAGCTCAATGTCTATCTCCGTTTGTTTATACAGACGAAGTTTTTTGAGTATGCCTCTAAGTCAGCCCACAATTATTTGTGGGAGGTTGTTACAAGAGAAGTTACGAGGCATCTCCATCCAACTATGGCCCTCGACCTAGTATCTATCTGAGAACGTATTGCACATGTTTTGAAAATTCAGCCCGTCAAAAGTATTGTCAATCTGGCCCTCACCTAGATGCTCTGTCTGGTGGCCAAATTAAAGGCCCATGTGTTGTCCACATCTCATTCGCCCCATGATTGTTAGTGGGAGGTGGTACAAAAGAAGGGACAAGGCATCTCTATCCCACTCCAACCCTTGAACTTGACTCTTTGTCTAGAAATGTTTTACACATGTTTTAAAACTTCAGATAATCGGCCATTGTGTCAACAAGATACGTTGCCTTTCAATTTATCCCAAAGAGAATTGTGCACTCAAGGCTCCATAAATCACGCCTTGATACAACACCAAACCTAAGCCCAATAGGCTAGCCTACAATTTTGTTTGAGATCCACCATTTTTCCCACTAATTGAGGACCTGCAATCCTAGGCTACCCGTCATCCTCATGGTCTTTTTCTCCCTCCTCTTCTTTATGAAACTCTTTGCACACCTGCAAATCAAGCCAAACTTCCCACCAAATGGGGGTTTCAATAAGGAAAACTCTTTGATTGTCCTTTACAATTGGGGGTTATGTTTTTATAGATAGTAAGAGTATCACATGAAGAGAGTTTCACATGACCGTACTTTCTTCATGTGTGGAGTACTTTTGGAGATGAGTCAAAAAATGTCTTTCATCATCATTTTGGACAATAGAGCAAATAGCGGAGTGGTTGTAGTGGCTTGATGAAGATATAAGCTAATTGGTGTTGAGATTTGATTGAAAGTAATTTGAGCTCCTCATAAATAAGCTTGTCACAAATAAAATGATAGTCAATTTCAATATGTTTATTGCATTCATGAAAAATTAGATTGGAAGTAATGTGAACGGCTACTTGATTATCACTAAAAAGAAGAGCTGGTTGTGACACTTGAACACCAAAGTCTTTTAATAATTTTTGAAGCCATATATAAGTTCTGTTGTGGTAGAGGCAAGAGCTCTATATTCATCTTTAGGAGAATATTTAGAAATAGTGGATTGCTTCTTTGCTTTCTAAGACATAAGTAAATCTCAATGAAAAGTGTCAAAATTGGTAACAGACTCGTGTCATTCAACACATGCTGTATAATCATCATCAAAAAAGGCTTTAATTTGTAGTTGTGATGCTAATAAAAAGAATAAACCCTTTGCAAGAAATCAATTGAGATATCGTAATAGATGATCAACTTCTTGTAAATGTATATGTTGTGGCTGACTCATGTATTAATTGAGCTTTTGCACAACAATGGTAATATCTAGTCATGACAATGTGAGATATACGAGTTATCTAATTAGTTTTCTGTATTGTGATGGATCATTTAGTAATTCTCTTATATTAGTTTTAATTTTCACCTTTGAATCCATGGGAGTACTTGGTTTTGATGTCAAAAAATCATTTTCTTCAAGTAACTGTAAAGTATAATGGAACTCTGAGAGGACAATTTCAATAGTTGATCTAGATATTTTAAGCCTCAAAAAATACTTTAACTGTCCTAGGTCCTTGAGTCTGAATTTTGAATTCAAAAATAAATTTAAAGAATTCAATGCATCAAGAGAAGGGCCAAAAATGATTATGTCATCAACATAATCAAGTAGATATATAAAGGATGTCCTAGGCATTTGACAAATAAAAAATAATTTTATTTTGAATGATGGAAGCAAAATTAAATGAGAGGACTAGAAAGTTTTTTGAAGCTTGTTTGAGTACATAAATAGATTTATGTAGTCTACAAACAAATGTAGCATGGTTGTTTGCTCCCCCTTATGTTGATAGTCTTGAGGAATATCTATATAGTCAAATATATATTAACAAAGGTATTACTTATGTCAAGCTGAAAATATGTCAATTAAAAACAGATAATAAAGACAACATAAATTTGATAGAGGGGGGCTTTAACAACTGGAAATAAAGTTTTTTAAAAAATCAGTTCCTTCTTGTTGGTTGTGTAACCTTTGGCCAAAAGTCTAGCTTTGTAATGTTCAATAGATCCATTAGACTTATATTTGTTTTGTAAGATCATCCTACATCTAATGGAGTGTTTTCCTAATGGTGAAGGAATAATGGACTGTTGATTTTGATTTCATGATATCTATCTCATCTTTGATTACAACTCACCACTGTGGAAACTTGATCACTTGATGATGAAATTGGGTTCAAAGTGATCAATTTGATGAGACATGATTCATAAGAGAGAAGTTAAAAAGTGGAATTTTGTATATTTTTCTTATTGTGTAAATGAATAATAATATTGTTGCAATGAAAACCATGAAGATACTATGGTGATCTTAGAACTCATGTAGATCTCCTTATTAACATTTCTAGATTGTTGTCCATCTCCTATTGTGGTTCGAGTAAATTTGTAGGATATTATAATTGATCTTTTTAGTAGTTCATTGAGGACTTATCAATCAAGATATCATCCAAACGAGATTGTGATGGAAATAATATTGGATCACTCATAGGTACTAGTAGAACAATATCAAAAAATGGTTTGATTGTACTACAGTAGATTTAAAATTGTTGAATAGAAAGATAGTTCCATAAAAGAGAACATCCCATGAGATGGTAATTTGTTTTGTTTCTAGGTCATAGAGTTTATACCGTTTCGTGCTAGGGGGATATTTAATGAAAACACATGATTTATCTTGAGTCTAGAGTTTCATTCTGTTTTTTTGTAATGTTGATACAAAAACCAAGCAACCAAACACACGGAACATAGAGTAATCAAGTGATTGTTTGTAAAGCAAATCATTGGTGCTTGATGGTTGTGAATTTATGAAGGTAATCTATTTATAAGAAATTTTTTTGTTAATAGGCGCTGTCAAAAAATGTAGTGGAATTTGAGATTAAAATAAAAATGTTCATGCAACATTAAAAAATGTTGATGTTTTCATTCAAAAATATAGTTCTATGGTGGCATTTCCACACAAGAAAATTGGAAGAGGCTGTCTTGCTTAAAAAATAAAATAAAATTCTAGCTCTTTGACATTGTTTGATCAAAATTGCTTGAATTTAAGGCCAAATTGAGTAAATATCATAGGAAAAGAATGAGGAATAATGACCTTAGCATCCAATTTATTATTCATAAAAGAAGTCCATATAAAGCATGTCAAATCATCAACTATTGTAAGAAAATATGTTTCTTGTATAGCTTGGTGTATTATATGGTTCCCAAATATGACAATGAATCAAATCAAAAGGATGATTAGAATGTATATTGTGAGCTGCAACAAAATAAATGTTGTTTAGCCAAATGGCAACTATAATATGGAAAATCATCATTAGACAATGACTTATTCAATGACAACTGATCTCTAAGTATTTTGACTTTTGGAGAAAGATAGCTCAATTGAAGATGACATGTGTCAATTAGTACAATTACTAACATTATTTTTGTTGAGTTTTGCACTATTTAAAGGAATAGAAGTATATCACGTGAAGGATTAAGCAAATATAGGTCTCCTTCTTTGCTTTCATGAATAGGAGATTGGCCTAATTCTCAACTATTATCACATCCCATTAAGTAGGTTAGGTCGAACACTAAGTAATATTCTGCTAATGTTGGATCCTCTACTATTCTATGTTCTTCCCAATAGCGTGTCAATTCTTATGCTGTACGGAGCTGAGTATCTTCTATTTGCTGGGATGAAGCTTTTCCTTTGTAGGGGCCTTGTGCAGTAAACCCCCTACGAGCGGTCCTCCGTCCTTGCCAATCATTTATCTAAGGGCTAAGACATCTCGGCAGGCACAAAGATCGCAATCAATGTTTGCGCAATTGGCAAAGACTCAACTTATTGGGAGAAGCCGTTGGAGTTCCAACTAGAGAGATTCACCGCGAAAGGGTGGAGCTTTGGTGTTAACATCAGGGGGCAGCACTACCATCTCTTGCCCTTTGGCAGTGGCAAGAGGCAGCGCCTCGATATATCCCTAGCATTGCAGCTTATTCACACAATCGTGCCAAACGTGATACACTACTTTGAGCTGAGTGTCCAAGGCGGGATGGTGGACATGACAGAGGGGAATGGGGCGTCCATGCCTAGGGCTCACCTGTCAATTTGCACACACAAGGCCCGCCGTACTTCTCTCCTTTCAACGCCGCCCAGCAGCACCAGCACCCCAGATGAGGGCTCCTCTTAATATGCTTGTCACTGAGCATTGAGTTGGGATATCCGGTCTACTTCTACCAATTGCCATATCAAGGATCAGTCCGAAGTCAAGAATAACGGGTTTCTATTATCTCATTGAAATTCATGTGCTATGTTATACGTACTGCCCATGTAACCTCTGATTTCCTTGTGCTGGAACCAGCTATACCACATTAAAAGATGTTTGACTGATAAAGGCTCTTCTTTAACTTACATTATTTTTTATTTACCACATATGGAAATCCTTTGGGTTGCTTCGTATATGTGTCGTCTTCTAAGTTGTCGTAAACGAAGGTTGTCCTCACATTAAGTTTCTTGAAGTGAAGATATTTAGCATAAAAAATACTCAACATCAATCAAATTGTGGTCAACTTTACGATATGGAAAAAAGTTTTTGAGCAATTCACCCCTTTTTTTGTATTAAATGATCTAACAGTCAAAGAGCCGTTTAGAACCTGTTAAAGCCCAGTAAATCATTCTCCTTAAACTTTAGCAGTCTTCTAGTGCTTCCTCACTTTGTCACCATCCCCCTCCATCCTACTAAAGTTCTGTTCGATAGCATTCCAGCATCCCACGCTATCTTTTAGGTCCTACTCTACTTGTTGGTGTAGTGTTCATGCAAACCATTGCTTCAACTCTATCCTCACCCACTACATCTGCTCCAACATTCCACCTCCCTTATCTAGAACATGCTCAAGTATCCACTATACCATCTATATCTTTTTGACCCTAGAAGTTAGAGTTTAGAATTGTACAAACAAGCCACCATTATTCACATTATTTTTATTTTTCATGCATGGATGACTAATTATAATAATAAGCATAAAGACATTTATAATTTCTCTTCATAATTTTTATGTAGTTAATAATACTTCATGAAATGCATCAACGCTTCCACAATGTACCCAAAGCTTGAATCAGTTGATACCTCTAGTTTTTGTAAGTTTTTTGAGATTAGAGCATTTTCTATTTTTTCTTTAGAATCTCGGTTGTTGTTATCATCTCCTTTAAGTCACTATCATTGAACACTTGTTTGATGTTTTATATGTGTCTTAAAATTTGAGCTATTTGCCTTCATACAACCTTATTTATTTAATTGATGAGAGGTAATTTCTTTTTTTTGTTATTGAGTAATCTTTTGTCTTCCCTTTGTTGATTATTTTGGACTTTATTTGTGTTTAAAAAATTACTGGAGTCAGTTTCATATCACGATGAACTCATTTTATTTATTTGAACTACAATCAAATTGATCACCAAGAGTATAAACCTTGAATGCTAGAAAATTCACCTTACTTAAATTTGTACTCTATTTGAAAGATGAAAACCCATTAGTGACTAAGAAATTCATCCATAAATAGTTTTAAGGAACTCTTATGTCTTCAATGATAGTTCTCTTCTTTTCCATTTAAGCCATCAATGATATAAATATTCTTTTTATCAATTTTAATTTGAATAGTTTTTCCAAGTCGTTTTATTTTACTTATTCTTTTGGTGAAGCTTGTAAGCATATTAAAAATTGACTTATTCTCAAGCGCGAAAAGTGTGCTGACCTGTGTGTCCATTGAAAGAAGATGTGTGTCAACTCATCCAAAATTGAGGAAAGAGAAAGTATGTTGACCCATCAAAATTCAGCAAAGAAAAGTTGTGATGATTGAGAAATGATATGTGCCTACCAGAAAAGTGGAAGACAGGGAATGTGTTTGGACTCATATGTCAACCTATAATAAGTCAAAGTAGATTTATGGTGAAATAGAAAACAGGACCCTTCCAAAAAAAATCAGACATCCAAAATATGTTAGAAGATCTGACACATGCGAAAAGATCTTGGATAAGAGTGGCTTATCTTTACACATCAAAAGATGAATGAAAAATAAAAATAATCTCACTTTGACACACCAATGGAGAGACTTAATCAAAAACTGGTCAAAATGACAACTTAAGCTACACATAATGTTTGGCAAACTAACTTAGATGTTGACCTAGATCTTGGAGATGTAAATTTAAGTAATCATGTATTTGAGATCTAAACATATACTATTACAAGAGATTTCAAGTTTTACCTCAATGACAGATTAAAGCATCCTACATTATCATAAATGTTTCTCATTGTGGTTTTGCTGCAAGAACATTGACAAGTGCTCAATTATCCCAAAAATCAAAAGAACTTGTCTATTCAACACAAATTATCTACGATATTACACATTATTCTTCCTTAAGGAATAGAATATCATCTTACGTCGAGGACAAAGAATAGAATATCCTCAATTGTCACAATACTCGCATACATTCTAATACAGGCAACATGTACTTAGGACAAAGAACAATGAGACTCCTAAAACTAAATTTTGCCCAAGAGAATAAACTAACTATACAGCCCATCATAGGCCATTAAGGCCCAATAGATCATTCTTGACAACTCTAACAGCCTGCTCAATGGATATAAATATCGGGTCTTGCCCATGGTGTGTTAAGTCCTTCCTCTGTCATGTTTGTTGTGTCATTTTTCATTCTCCACTCTAAGAACTACACCATGACCACTAGGGTTGTCTCAGCTACTAGCAGAGACCCGACCTAGTGGGAGAACCTACTGGAATTCTTGCGGGAGAGGCTCACATGCAAAGAGTGGAGCTTCAGTGTTGACGTCAGGAGATAGCACTACCATTTCTTGCCCTTCAACAATGGTAGGAGGAGGTGCCATGATACATCCCTGGCATTGTAGTTGATTTGCGCAACCCTAGCAAATGTGATATACTACTTCTACCTGTGTATCAAGGACGGGATAGTGAACATGACGGAGGGGAATGGGGCGTCTATGTCTAAGGCTCACCTGCTCGTTCGCACCTCCATGGCCCAGCTTACTCTCCTTCTTTCAACACTACCCATCAGCATCTACACCTCGGACGAGGCGTCCTCATAATACGACCGTCACTAAGCACTGAATCGAGATATTTGATCCATTTCTACTAGTTGTCATGTCAAGGATCAATCCAAAGTCGAGAATAATGGGATTCTGTTATCTCATTGGAAGTCATGTGCTACGTTATACGTATTAGCATATAACGTTTGTGATTTTCTTCTTTTGAAAGTAGCTATACCACATTGCAAGAGTTAAGTTATGACTCTGAAGTATTGTACCACATGCCGTCATCTTAAATTTATGGATTCTCTTCGAAGGTTGATATTGTGGCATTACTATTGTGTTACAAGTCAAGACCATTGCTTTAATGAGAAAAAAATGTCTTTCATCACCATGTAGTAAATATATGAAATTAAACTTTCTCACTTATGTAAGAAGATAAACGGTCATCATGTCATGCCAAATGTGTCTAGATTATCATGGAATCCTAGATTGAGGAAATAAAGTGACAACATGAACGGTAAATCACCATGAACTAAGGAATCAATAGTATAAGATTTTTAGGTATCAAAGTGATCTACTTTTCTCTCCACTTCTATATTTTTTTCTAGTGATTCCCTTTTACAAAGATAATTACAGCAACAACAAACTCTTATGTTGCAGGCGAGTAGGCTTTAATTCTTGAATGTACAAGATTCTCAATTGATTATTTGATGTTCAAGCCTTTATATCTTACTCAGGGTCCGATTGTTGAATCACTTGTTGGCATATTGTCCGAGTTACCTCATGGATCCTTTCACCCTTCTAAAACGTTCCAAGTTGTCCCTCACCACTTTCCATAATCTTTCTCAGCATCCAAGATGGAGAGGTGATACCCAAGAGCACAATGGTAGCCTAGGACTGCAGGTCCTCCATGTTTAAGAGAGATGAAAGAGCTTAGTTGACACCGAATGTTACCACGTAGGCCTAAGGTTTCTATGAGCGTTGATTTCTAGAGCTTTGTACGCACAATTCTCCCATGGGTAATTGATAGGCTGAATATCATCTAAGAATTTAGATCGCCGCACTCCTGAAATGCATAATTCAATTTTCAAAAGATCCGCAAACTAATATTGAGTGATAGATGGAATCAGAATCAAGGGTCGACAGTAGAGAAATGGTCAATTGGAAAACCGATTCTCATGGGACTCAACGGACCATGAGTTGAGCAAGCCACGAAGCGAAATGGTGTAGTTGAAGAAATGTAAATCGAAATGACATATTTCTCGAGGTTCTTGCTAGCATGATCACTGAGGTAACTATAAGGTGCCTATAAATAGAAGGTCACTTCTCCTCATTCGAGGAAGCACATAGCAACCACTTCTACCTTTGTTCCACCATAGACAAAGTATTTGAGAGAGAGCTTTCAAGAAAGATCTCTTGGGTTGATGAGTGCATCAGAGGGCCAAGATCAAGGATATGTTCTTTGGGATCTTGGAAGGGTCAAGATCAAAGATTTCTTCTCTAAGTTCTTAAAATGTAATTCTCTTGTACTACTTTTCACTTCTAGTTGAGCTTTTGTCATTGCCCATGAACGTAAAAGGTCAACCTCTGAACCACGTAAAATTCTTGTGTTGGTACTTTTGTTGTGAATTGTTCTTTCTTCTATTTTATTTTACGTTGTGAGAATCACTTTCACTGAAGTCTATATAAGACATCTTACTATAACACAAGAAATAAATTATAAGATTCTGTTTTTCTAAAATGTATTCTCAACCGCTCGATTCATGATAGCCTGCCTTTCATGTTCTTACTTTATTTTCTCAACATATGAGTTCAGTCCAATTAGACACATTTCACATAGCACAAGAATCATTTATCTTCGTAACATATATGTATGAAAATTAAGTTTCACATATCTCTTGGACATCGACGCATGATGTTTTTTTTCTCGAGAAAGCAATGATCTCAATAGATAGACATAAATAACCAAGATACTAATATCAACTCTTGTAGATGATCTACAAACTCTGAACATTGGTGTGTGATAGATACTTTCTTTAGACTTATATTTCACTCCTACAATGTGATATAGTTGCTTTCAGAACAAAAAAATCACATAAGTTCCACAGGCAATAAGTATAGCCTGGCGTTAGACTTTCGATAAGCTAATAGACCCCCATTATTCTCCACTATGGGTCGATCCTTGACAGCACAAGTAGCAGTAGTTGACTAGATTTCCTGATTCAACGCTCAAAGATGATCATACTAAGTGTAAGTCTCATTTAGGATGCTGGTGCTCATGGGCAGTGTTGAAAGGAGGGGAGAAGTCGGGCCTTGGGTGTGCAAACCAGCAGGTGAGTACTAGGCACGATCGCCCAGCACCCCTCTGTCATGTCCACAACCATCTTCGACAATCAGGTCAAAGCACTATATCACAGTCAACAAGGTAGTGTGAATCAGCTGCAATGCCGAGGACATGCCCGAACACCTCCTCTTGCCACTCCCAAGGCGCAAGAGATGGTAGTGCTGCCCCTTAACGTTGTAGGAAAAATGAGGATGATTTTCTTGGTGAAAAGAGATTTTTGTAAGAGAATGGGAATACAAGAGAGGAAAAAGAGGAATTTCACATAGATTAAAAAATTAGAATATCAGCCTAATAAAGAAAAAAATTATAAATGATTCTCTTAGTGTTTGGATTAATTATTAACAATCCCCCTTAATACAAAAATGTCTAATACCAAAATCTTCTCTAAATTTAATGAACTGTGGAGCTTAGAAGCTTTGTAAAACCATTTACAAATTGATCTAATACTGATCAAAACATCATTTTAATAAAATTTTCAGCAACTAATTCTCAAATAAAATGATGAAGAATTTCAATATGCTTCATTCTTCCATGAAATATTGAATTATTTGACATGGATATAGTTGAAATGTCATAATTTATCATCATTGGTGTTGATTGTAGTAAATTGACATCTTTTAATATCTTTTGCATCCATATCATTTTCTATGCAACTATTGATACAACAATATATTCACCTTATGATAATAATAATGATGTAGATTCTCATTTTTTTAAAAGTTCATGAAGTTACACCTGAATCAAAACTGAAAACAAAGCCACTTGTATTTTCCTATTATCAATAGACTTTGACGTACCTAATAGACTCCAATTCCTCGTGTTCATATTATGGCTTGAGACTAAACACTAATAGAAAACATCATCATGATACATTATTTTTATTGCAAGATTTTCAACTTTACTATGAGCCATTGATGAATAGGTAAGAATAGGATCACTTATATTGAGCAATATTTTGCTTCAATTGTAAGATTTGAGGAAGAATATTTTGATGCCTATGTCTTTGATTTGATGTCGTTTATCCTTTTTCATATTAGAAAAGGTAAATATTTCTGTAAGATTTTGCCCTATAAAGTTATAGCTTAAGAAAACTTCTTGGCCAAGAGACTGCCGTTCTTCTGAGGCTATGCTAGCCATGTTGATGCGCCTTTATTTTAGTCCTCCATCAAGTGATAATGATATTGCTCAATACCCCTTACTGTAATTGAGCACACTCAATAGTTTCGATAGCTCCACCCTGAAAGATTCATGGTGGATTGGCAGCCATGGTTATGAAGGGTTGTCTCACCTCCGCCTGGGGAAAATCTAGAAGTAAACATGCATTATCAGATGAAGATCCGAAAATAGTCCCAAGTTCAGCATCTGAGTCTTTCTTCCAGTGACTCAGTCTGTACCCTTTCCAATTCAGGTATAGAACGTGTGTTCTCCCTTCTCAAGGTCAAACATTTACCATATATAGTAAAATTACAAGGAATACTTTCATTGAAAAGTTTTCTGAATAAAGTCGTGAGAACAGAGTCAAGTTGAGTCATATCATCAATAATTACGTACCATCTAGACTCCACGGTCCCATCATATATTTTGTGCCCAATTGTGGTAAAGATTTCCTGATCTCAGACCCGTTATTCCTCCTCCGTCACCCCCTTCACCTCATCACGCTCGTCGGCCCTCTCCCTCTCTCTCACTCTCTGTTGACTTAAATGAGGATCGAATCAAAATTTCTGAGCCCATCTGTTCATTCGCTGCTTCTTGATTGAATCAAACTACATACAGAGCTTTCCCAATGGCAAAAGCAGTCGAGAAACAGAGGCTGCCGCTTCCCGGTGGACAATGTTTTTTTTTCTTTTTTTCTCTTAAGGAGAGAAGAGAGAGAGAGAGATAGGACTTGCCATTTACAGAGGTCGGTGAGTGAGGTAGAGAGATAGGTTCAAGAATGAAGAACTAGGAATGGGCCTCTAGAGATTTACACATGGGTTGGAGAGAATGACAGTAGGGGATGAACGGAGAAAGAGAACTAAAGAAAGGGGAGGAGGTCCTTCACAAGTAGCGAACTAGGAATGGGCCCCTAAATGTACAGAGGTTAGACGCACCCTAAGACCAGATCTGATGTAGGATAACAATGGGTTCGAGGGAAGAGGATAGCTACCTGAATTCCCTAACCGGTTAGCTAGCTGGATTTCTATGGTCTGGACGGGGCGGTGGTAGAAGGAAGAAAAAAAATTGGAAAAGATAGAGGGAAAGAGAAGCGGCAGCCAAACCTGTTGAAACGAAGTGTTTCAGTCACCTCATCGACCTCAAAGACTTCAACCGCGTCACCTCCACGCCATTCTTTACTTTCGGAGTTCTCTTCAGATTCTCCTTCACAGCCTTCTCGATCACCTCGATCGATTTCTCGAGCTTCATCTCCAGTTCAAGCAGTTTTGAGCTGTCTGCAGTTGTTTCGGATGTAGTAGGGACGCAGGGTGTGCGCGGCGAGCCTTCCACTGCAGCGGGAGAAACCACAGCGGTCAATGGAGAAGATGTGCTGGCTTTACCGCTGGGAGCCGGAGTTTTATCGGCCACCCTCGTCAAATGATCCAATGGACTGTCACGTAATGCGGGGGGAGAGGGGAGCTCGCTCGATTGACGACGTTGCCGCGCAGCTAACCTCAGAGAAGCTCTTCTCCTCTCCACGGCCTGAAATGTACGAACCATAAGAACAGCGTGCGATTAAACGAGAGGAATTAAAGCTTTTAGTGGTTCTGATGATAATGCCCACTTCAATCGCAGGACAATTCAATGTTTGCTACAAGAAGAAACGACGTGATAATCATGGAGAAGGCTGTGAACCAGTACTGCCTAACACTTGATGATGTAGTCAGACAGCAGAAATTAACACAGAACCAATGCTAATAATACCCTGTAATTATGGGAAAAAATCTCAGCAGATTACTCAAAAGTCCAGCAACAGTTAACAGCAGTTTAAAGAGCAACAGAAAAGGGGCTTGAGTCGAAATTCGGCGACTGGAAATATGCAGAAATAAAACCATCCGCAAATTAATATATATTAATATAAAAGCATCTACCCATCAGAAATTAATATATATTAACTAATACCTTGACACAGAAGAACACATGTAATGGTATAAAAGAAAGCCGTTCAAAAACCATAGAGCGCGCGTTCACATCATGAGAAGGAAATCATAGAGCAGAGTTGTTACAGATTGTCTACTGACATCACGCACTTAATGTAACATTCTTCAGAAAAAAATTGCAAGCACTTTTTGCAAGAACTCGAAAAACATCTGGACAAAATGCCCATTAACTCAGAGGGATAGCAAAAACGATCCTTTGGGTACATCGGTTGCAAGATTCGGTTGAGAGATCGAGCGAGCGAGCGAGAGAGAGAGAGAGAGAGAGAGAGAGATTGGGCAACAATGAAGTAATAAAATATTTCTGATATTCCTAAACCCATTTAGGTTGTGTGACGCCAGAACTGCCATTACGCATCTAAAGTGTCAGCCGTTGGGCCTAGAGAATCAGGGGCGGTCGCTACTCAAGAGCGGATTCTAACTGTCTGGCGAGTCGCCCCGTCTGCGCGCCATGGCTCCGTATGATTCTAAGCAAAAAGTCAAAGACAGCGTAGAAAACAGGATAACGGAGCAGATAGGGGAGCTCCTCAAACCCTTATTTCTCCCTGACATCACGAAAGACAATTTTCGGCACATCGCCTCCTTCATTGCTGAGTCACCTCCTTCGTGCGTGCCTAATCTTTATTATTAATAAGCCCCCCCTCCCTCCTGCCCTTTCCCGGTATCCAAAAATCCATGGTTACGATGTCAGAAGAGCGCATACGAAAGGGAGAGATTCACAAGATGCTCAAGAATCAGAAATAGGCGCGGTGGAGTCTCACATTCACAATGGCAGTTATGTCGCGTAAAGGAGTGCGTGGGTACCAGACAGGCAACGGGCTACCGCGCCGCGCCGTCGACACAGATCGCCCGGGCATAATATTCTCCTTGCCCTCTGCTCGCCGTTGCCCCCGACCCCGTGAACCCTGGAAATAGAAACCTCGCCGTGCCTCCGATCTTACCGCGAGCTCCCGCAACACGTCTCGATGAGAACCCCTCCCCATCTCCACCTCCATCATCGGCTCGCCCGTCCCCACCGCCCTAACTAGCCTGTCCCTCGGCTCCGGCATTGCCCTCAGCTGCATCCATCATGGAAGAAAATCAGAAACTACGAAGACGCCACATACAGAGGTCGATAAGAACAACAAGATCGAACAAAAGCAGGGAGTCATCCGCCGTCATTTCTTGTTACCACGGAGGTCCGAACTTGCGCCCCACCCCTTGATCTTCCCTCCCCCGACGCCCTCCTACCGCATCCAAGCGCCCCGCCGCCCCTCCTCAGATCGCCGGAGTGTAGAAGCCATGCATCTTCAGCCGCTGACTGTCCTGGCGGCGCAACCTCGGCCGATACCGTCTTGGCTGGGAATGGCAGTTTTTCAAAATTTAAATACTCAGGTGAGAGAGAAGGAGAGGAAACAGACCGATCAACCTAACCAAGGTTAAACCCCGGTTTCCTCTCTGGTTGACTCCACCAAATTTTCAAATTTTTCATCTGACATGAGAAAGTACCAAAAATACCCTTAAACAGCTGGCACTAATGGGCCACGAGGATTAATGAAGCCCAACGGATCCAGCCGTCCATCAAAGCCTATCGTCGACTAGCCGTTAGCTTTGAATCTGTTAGTTTCACTGCCGAGTAAGAGGAAGAAGCAGAAGAGGCGATGGGGAGGATATGCGATCAGATCTACGCAGAGGAGCAGCATCTGAGCGGCGCCGCCGCGGGGGCGGCGGCCGGATCCTGGCCGGGGACGACGATCTTCGTTCCGCTGAGGAGGCTGGAGCTTCCCCCTGACTCCGGCTCCTCGTTGGCGACGAGCGACTTCCTGGTGACGACCCGGTAGATCTCGGTGAGGACGGAGAGGAACGCAGGCTCAACGTTGGTGGCGTCCAGAGCGGAGGTCTCCATGAAGAAGAGGCCCTCGCGCTCTGCGAACTCCTTCGCGTCCTCCGCCGGCACGGCGCGGAGTGTCCCCAGATCGGCCTTGTTGCCGACGAGCATGATGACGATGTTCTTGTCGGCGTGCCCCCGAAGCTCCTCCAGCCAGCGAACGATGTGGTCGAAGGACTGCCGCTTGGTCATGTCGTACACCAGCATCGCCCCAACAGCGCCCCTGTAGTAGGCGCTCGTCACCGCCCTGTACCTGGAGAAGGAAAAGCCATGATTTTGACGCTCTGGAAGAATGGCTGAAGAGGGAGATGATTTCTGGAGGATGATTGGGGCTTTGATCTGGGCAGAAACAGCCTATTTCTAAGGATCAGGGGCTGGTCAGTGATTAAACCCTTCATCTGATCTGCAATGATAATTTCAAAGATCTCGAAGAATAGCTGAAGAAAGAAATGATTTTTGGAGGATAATCGGTGCTTTGATTTGGGAAGAAGCAACCCATTTCTCCGACTCGGGGTGCTGGTCGGTGAATAAACCCTTCATCTGATCTGGATGGATGATCACCGAGAGCGCCCATGCAGATAACTTCAGAGATCTCCAAGAATCACAGAAGAAGGAAATAATCTGGAAGGATAGTCAATGGTTTACTTTGGCCAGAACCCACACATTTTCCTGCCCCGGATGATCTTCAATGAACATATCATTGATTCAGATGATCACCAAGGTCAACTATTCCCAAATATAGCAATTCCACTGTGATGGAAATTAATCTAAATTCGCAGCAACAAAAAACAAGAGCATCATAATCCCATTGTGAGGGAGATATGCATCCAAATTACATATTAATCACTTGGGTAGAGTCAGAGCTGGTAAATGCGCATAACTTTAGCTGCGGCCGGAACAGTCCAAGCAAGAGGAGGGAAAATAAGAACAAGTCAACTGGATATACTGAGATTGGTCCGATAAATACACTCTGGATTTCCTTCTCCAAGGAAATGGATATAGCGAGTTATCATTGACTTTAATCAAAGTCAACTGGGTACTTGATTCCTGGATTATGCTTTCTGTAGTGTGAGGAGATGAGGCTCTCACGTCCCTTCTGATTAAGAATTTCCATACCGTTCAACATTGAGCTCATTATTCAGTTCAGCAGCACTAACTATAATTGGAAAAATATATAAAAATAAAACCAGTCTAAGAGAGGAGTAAATATATAAAAATGAGAAGATGAAATAAATGAAAAAAAATGAAAAAATGGAATGAAAATGGAAAATGGGTCCCATTCTGAAGAACTGAGCTAATATCAAAGCCAGATCAGCCATGATATAACCAAGGCAGGCAGGATGTCTCGTCAGGTAGCCAAAGTTCCAATGCATGTTCTATTAAGTTGCAAATGCTCTTCAAATCACAAGAAGGACGAAATCCCCAAATTCATGGAATTCAAGAAATCACGGATGGATGGAGCCAAGCGATCTCAGTTTTCATTATTCATTCCAGAATGAGAAAATATTAAGTCATGAATGCGTCATCAACTTGAAGACCTGTAGCATGATCTACCTTACCAAAATAACGGCACATTTTCTGTCCAGAAACAACCTAAATTCGATACGAGGCCCAGCAAGCACAGATGGATCATGTCTGATCCCCAAATTAGCTCCGAACTGGCATAATATTCACAATTTACGTAGGCTAAGAGGATAAATCTGTGCGAAAGAACCTACCGAACTTGAAAAGATGCAATGATTCAACCGGCGAGATATATTGAGTAAGAGAATGACGAACGGCGAAACAACGAAATCGTACATATAAACAACCACACTCAATTCCTGGATCGTCCATGCAATATATTATGAGACGAAAAGATCTATAAATAATTCGAGGTTTAAACGAGGGAATCAAACCAACCTCTCCTGACCGGCCGTATCCCAAATCTGAGCCTTCACGACCTTGTGATCGATGACGAGGGTCCTCGTCTGGAACTCCACACCGATCGTCGCCTTAGAATCAAGGCTAAACTCGTTTCGAGCGAACCTTGCCAGCAGCTGCGACTTCCCCACGGCGGAGTCTCCGATCAGCACCACCTTGAACACATAATCAATCTTATGGTTGAATTCCCCATACAGATTCGTCGACATGGCCGCCGGCGCAGACCACACTCCAGGAAAACCCAAAATGGCCGCCGATCGCCGGCACCCAAATTCCGCGCAACCACCGGAGGAGGACGAGATCCGGCACCACTTGCGCGAAGGCGATGTTACATTGAACCCGGGTTTCTTACCTCGCCCTCGACCTCCAGACCTGCGAGTGGAAATATTTAAATGCACGATTACGTCCAAACAAATAAAAATGCTAATATGTCCGGAGCGGCCCGGGCTGGCCTTTGCGGGCCCGGGCCCATTTCAAGGCCCGGAATCTGATGAGCCCAGCTTCAGAATATTTAAGAAAAATAATTTTAGATGGATTTTATGAAAATAAAATGTTTTTAATTAATTGATTACTCAACTTTAAAAAAAAAAGTGTAAAAAATAGCTTCGCTGAATGCTTTATGGTCTAAATTTATTATTATATTTAAACTTGACAATGTAAATTACCAGACTATTTTTTCTACGAGGATAAAACTAAAATTAGGCGGCCCGGTCCACCAGATCAAAAGATCCGACTAATCCTGAGCCCCTCAGCAAGATCAGAAGAGGCGCATGCCTCGATGTCTTCTATATAATGGGCTGCTTTGGGCCTTGTGCCGCGTAAATGGGCTTGTTTAGGCCCACACTTATATTATTAAAAGAAAAATATTCCACTGAAACACGATGTCACAAGTAGATGCATTGAGCTTGCCCATCAAGAGAAACCAAAGATGATGCATACGATATCTATAAGACAAGGAGAGTAACAAAGAGTAGAGAGGGAGAGAGCGAGCGAGAGAAAGAGAGAGAGAGAGAGAGAGAGACCTAGAGCCATCTTCTTCTGGGTGTCCGCCTCATTCCTCTCATCGATCCCAACACCAGATTGGAACCATCTGAGCAATTCCCTCGCTGGGGGCTGCCCGAGATAACAGGATCCTGAAGCGACGGCGATGGCTCAGTTTCATCTACTGCAGAGCTTTGGCTATGGTGTTTGCAGGTCTCTGAGGAGGAATCGGAGTCCGAGGAGGACGGGCTGCTGCTGCTCATGTCATAGAGGAGATTGTTGGACATGACTGGGAGCTTCATACCACTAGAACCAGAAGCAGCAAAAGAAGGCCTTCGCTGCCTCGTGAGCTGAATGAGCTTTTGCTCCAAAATCACCATGTCCTTCTTCAATTTAGTGATCACCATGTTCTTCCTTCTGAGGATATCTTCCAACTCTGAAATCCTCTGTGAGAACGAACAGATGCAGAGCTTAAATGGGTACTGGGCCAGGGAAGAGGATCAGCATAGCTTGAAAGAGTGGTACCTTGGAGCTAGCAACGCTAGATTCATGGGCAGCAGCAGTCAGTTCCTGTATGATTTCATCCTTTTCTTCGCATTCCCTGCGCAGATTATAGAAGTCTTGCTCTGCAGCAAGTGTAGATAGCTGCATGGAATATGCAGAGCAAGGTTCCAGCAGACATCAGAAGTGACTACAGTTGTTTTGAAAGATCATCAAGTAGATGGCAATGGAGCACAGGACATGAACAGGGATTGTCTCTCCCGGGTCAGAAAGAATCTGATCCCGTGAGAAAAAAATCATAAAGTCAAAATCGCTTGTTAATTATGAAGAAAATAAAAATTTAGTACCCAGCGGTAGTCAAGATCCCTGTGTTGAATGATCCACTTAGGTTTAGATACTAATCAATGAAGCCCTTTTCCATAGGTGTAGAAAGTTCTTTCTACTACATAGTTAACTGCGTATCAAGAAGAAGTGCCTAGTTGAAAAGAATATCACCATACTAAGGGCGAAATAAGCCAATCATAGATAATGAACCTTAGGTTCCTGCTGCAGGTATCATGTCGTGCATAGCACAACAGGATGCGAAAATTCTAAACAACGTTAGAGCTAATTACAGTAAAAGATAAGTATGGAAGAAATATTAAATCGTATTTGAAGTCGAGCTCAAACCATGATGGGAACTGGTTTTAAGGAGAATGAGGGTGCGACTGTCTATGATCTATGATCAGAGAAAATTATCCAGCTAAGCCACTCCATGGCACAGCATCTGCTCATAATCATGTCATAGTCTACTACCGGTTGCCAGATGTCAGGTTTTATGGTCAACTCCGAGCCACAAGCCTGGAGGATAGAATTAGCAAGCCTACACGAGCATGGTGGAGATGGAGAGTGAAAAGCATGCTTGAAGCATGGAAATAACAGAAATAAACTGAGGATAACAAGATTGTGAACAGATGGCAAAACCAAAAGGGAACTCTACACCTGAGAATCATTGATCGATTAAAACTCTGTCAGGAAGTAACACCAAGAACGTCAAGAAGAATATGATTGTTTGAATACCTGGATATCCATTGAAGATGGGGCACTCGAACAATAGGATAAGTCGGACATTCGGCGCTCCTCTTGCTCTACCGAATTAGGAACGACGAAGAAGTCATCTTTTCTGGGTTGCAATCTAGCAGCCACCTGATGGAGAAATCATAGGCTACGAAGCTTAGTGGGATGTCGTCGGCGAATGAACTCCAGCAACAGAAAACGGCGTTTACCCTTTGTCTATCGGACGAATCAGCCTCGACAGGGATATTTTTCTCCTGGGGGTTCAGTCTGTAGGCATGCTCGCAAATGTGGACTTTTCCTCCTTCAGCTTCCAGCCTTTCATCCTCGGAGTATTCATCGTACGTGGCGAACAGCTTTCCACCGCAGTCTCTGGCCCTATCGTTCAAGCAATCCATCTGGTCACATAAATCGTCCAACTTTTGTTGCATAGTCGTCAGCACCATATCCTGAGAAATTCAAAGCAGGAAAATTAGAGGCAAGCAAGCTAGCGATCCAGTAGGATAAAAAGGGTAGAATAATGAGAACCATAAAGCCCATGGACGCCTAATAACTCAGGATAAAAAAGACATCAAACTGGGGGTCATCAATAGCCCGCTAAAGTGAGATAAAAATCCCCAGATTTAGACAGCTTAGCAAAAATAGATGATAACTCGTTACGAAGTGGCACAGTCGCAGGTCATGGACGCCTAATAACTCAGGAATACCAACATCGAAACCCTAGATGCAAAACCCCCATTAAAGCCCTTGTATGGTTCTCAACTGAAAGCGTGCAATATTCAAAGCTCAAAAGGTCGAGATTATGTGCATCAATAAAAGGGTGAAGCCATTAACAAGTGAAATCCCACAATAACTGCAAGAGAAAGAAACCCTAGGGAGTAAATCCGTTTATGACACTATCCACTAATGATACCAACCCTGATATCAACAGATTTCTGCAGCTGCGATATATGCCGAGATTTCTTCGCGTCCGCCGAGGCCGCGGCCACAATGGCGACAACCATAACTCTCTGCAGGGGGCTGAACAGCTCCCAGGCAACTGATTCTTCCGGGCTCAGCCCACCCCCTATCGTTCTCGTAGACGACGCCTCCTCTGCTTCCACAAGGCGACCCTGAAGGGAGACCCAGGCCAGTTTCCTCCGGGGCGCGGGGGCCGCCCGGCTCACATCACTGATACAGCTCGAAAGGCGAAGCCCACGCCCTGAAGACGAACGAGGGGAGGAGAAGGCCGACAGCGAGACGCAAGACAGAGGGCTCTGCGAGACCACATTGAAGCCCAGATCAAGATCAGACCCCCCATCACCGCCTTCCATGGCTGGAGAATCGCAGGGGAGGAGAGAAGGTCCCCCCACCCTCGGGGAAGCGTCTCGTCCGGCGAGAATTCCCCTGCATCAGCAAACGTTACGTACTTATGGGAGGTTTGATGACAAAAATTCAGCTGTAAGTATATAAAATAATAATAAAATCCTTCTAACAGAATTTAGAATGTTCCTATCCTACGGAGCCGTTCTTGGTCGGGTTGGAATGCAATATTTTAGGAGATACCAGCAATATATTAAATATAAGAGGGTATAAACAGAAACAACCTATTTTCAAATTGGTGCCGTGGGAGGGAAAGAGCGGAAGTTTCGGCGGAATTCGATACACGTGGATAGCGGGCCCGACTTCTTTTGTAGCCGTTGGTCCCAACCCCGATTCGGCAAGTCCACACTCTCGCCCATCTCTGGCCGTTGGATGAGACACCAACCAACGGCCCATGCGACGTTCCATTTCAGCGCCAGGGCGAGAAGATTTGACTTTAGGAGACTCAATGAGTCAATGACTCGGAAGTGGCTCCAAAAGTCTAGGCCCGATTTGACTGGACTCCACGTAGATTAAAGTTGTCGCTACCTAAAATGTGATAGCTCACCTATTTTACATTACATGGAGAATAATATAAAAGAAAACCATGATTACAAAGCCATTTAAATATACTTGAAAATTATTATGTGGTAAACTTTTCAAAAAGAAATATTGATAGAATATTTTCATGCCAAAAAGAGCTAGTGCAAATGAATGTCATAATTGATAGGTATCAACGAAAATAGTAGTGTTTTGGTGCTACATTATTACATTTTTCATAAAAAAAATTAACAAGTGTAAGTATATCATCAATAAATATTATGGATGAAAATATGTGTATAAAAAGAAACATGATTGGGGGTTAATATTTACAAGTATCTAGGGAAATAACAATATATATCCTAAGTTCTTGATTCGATACATAAAATGCATTCTCACTAGTATGAGTTTTGATTTACATGGTTAATATTAATAAGTATCTAGGGAAATAAACACTATACACTCTCTTAAGTTCTAGATTTGAGACATAAAATGCATCCTATTGGTATGAGTTTTGATTGACATGGCTAATATTAATAAGTATCTAGGGAAATAACACTATAAATCCTCCAAAGTTTTCAATTTGAGACATAAAATACATCCTCATTTGTATGCGTTTTAATAGAGTTTGTATAGTCTCATAAATTTATAATGTGCATATTATCTTCAGCATAATATTTTGATAACTTTAGGATAGTGCATTACAATGAATCATATCCACTAAAATGAGCATGTAAAAAAGAAGTGGATAAATTTCACAAAGAATGACAAAACCTGGTACTTCATGAAGAAAATGCCAAAAATGATGGTGTCACTTTCTATAGTTATGAATTCTATTACATGATGAATATTGATATTCTTGACAAGAATTTATAATTAGTTGTCAAGGATTCATTAGAAATACATGATAAAATCAAACCATTGTTCAACTCTTCACTATCTACTTTTTAATGTTGCTCATGACTTTGACAATAATAAGATATTCAAAGCTTAAAATGATAATTTTCTTATACTTTGTCATCACTATTCATATGTTTTAATGATGGTATTAATTTACCTAATTGAGGTCAAAATATTAAAGCCCATGTATGCCAATAACTAAAATAGTTTGCCTTGTTGTAATTGCTTATAAGGATTAGACTATTTTAATTTAAAGCCCATGTAATTGCTTATAAGGATTAGACTCAATCTGATGAGTAGCAACATCATTACTATTTTGCAAGGTAATCCTTAGACATTCACAAGTTAATTTATACGATTTAATTTTCCCTTCGTTGTAAGTATTATTAGTGACACATTGTCATAAATAGAAGGGTGCACTGAATGAAGCCAACAACCTAGATCCGCAATCTAATATTAAGTCTCTAATGGCGGGTTGACTAAAGGTATGGCAAAGACAATGCCTTAATGTTGAGTGGAGTAACAAGACATTAAGGGCATTGCCTTAGAAGAGTGGAGTAGGTAGATATTCAAATCATTATGAAAATCTATTATTTATATTATAAAGAGTAATCAATTCACCTCCATTAGACTATTTCAAAATGTTGACTAACCAAATATGCATAAGCTCAAACAAAAATAAAATATATTGAAAAGTCCATGAAAGAAGTTTTAATGCATGTGGTGGCCAAGACATTACTTAAACAAAGTGATCCAACTCAGTTAATAAGAAAAGTCTTAACACTTGTAATGGCAAAGACAAATGTCTGAGTATAATGACAATTTTACATTACAACTATATTTCTATGGCATCTAATTTATTAAAAAATATTTATTTCAACCCTTTGTAAAGTTGATCAAATATTTTAGACTTATTCATAAAATTTGTGTTCTCACTATCTAAGTGTAGAAAGCATTAATGCGAAGAAAAAACATAAAGGACAAATGTGTTAAGAGTACAACAAACTAGATATTGGGAAGCTCACAAATGGTCATTGGAACAATTTTTGGAAACCATTTTGAGAATATCTCAAGCTAGAAACACAAGGAGAATGTTGCCTTAGAAAAGAAAATGATTCATGCTTAGGTAGTAAGGCATGAATCATGACATGGAGAATGTTGCCTTACAATTACATTCAATGTATGACATTCTAGAAAGTGTACCTTTATAAATCATTCTCATACATTGAATGTAATTGTACAAAAAGTAAGCTTTTTTGCACCTCCTGTCCCCCACACTCACACTCAAGGAAGGTACATCCAAAAATTGTAAGAATTACTTGTTATTTGTACTTGGGTAGTTTACATATTCAAGTTGACATATATTTTTCAATCTAGTAGAGATTAATTGGGAATTAATTTGTTATAGATCCCTAGATATGTGAACCTAGAAGCATTTTTTTAGAACACTTTGGTCAGCTAGAGTCCATATTTTTATTGAATCTAGATTTAGTATTAGCATTTGATAAGTTGCATTAAGATGTGCTAGTAAAATCTGAGGATGAGGTCCTTAGAGAATAGAGTAGGCTCATTGTGTCAAATCAATAACAACCTTAGTTTTCACTCTCATAAGAAAATTAAAAACAAATATTTTTTTATCACTTGGCTCCTCTTATAGCTTCTTAAAACATACAAAGTTATATCACTTGCTCATGTATATCAGAACATTATATTGACATTTAAGTGTGTAGGAATATATATTTCTAATGCTTCTAAAAAGGTGTCAAAATAAAAAAAGTGTTGGAATAACTGGTCCCTTACGCCAAAGCAGACCCCAGCAGAGGAATTTTAGTAAAGTACTCCATATACAAAGTACGGAAAGGTGTCTATAACTTCCTTCCCCCCTCCAGCCACTTCAGCACCTTGTGATCTTCGTTCCGTCGTCGACCATATCTATGTTTCTATGATGGCCCAAGAACACGCTCATTCTTCAACTGTAACATTTACTTCATTGAGTAGTCAGTCGTTGTGGCGCAAGTGGAGCTTACTTGACAAGCTAAGCACACTGTTAGTAGCATAGATCAAGGAGGAGTTGGACCCCATAGCTGCCTCTCCTTGTTAATTGAGGTATAAAAATAACTTTGATGAAATTACTAAGAGATTATAGACGAGAGTCTCAAATCCTTATGATTGATTCAAATAATCTAACAAGAAAGCCACAAAATTTTTAGTAGATCTACCCTCTTGGCTTAACTCTTCAAAGTTATATTTTGTGTGTTTGAATGTTTATAAACATTAAAACATCTAATGGCATGTGTTAGCTCACCTCCACTACATTCACAACTTTACCAACATGAACATCCCTAGAACTTCTAGATTTATAAGGCTAAAAAAAATGAAACATTAGAAATCTAATGGTTGCTCCTTACTCCATATTCACATCTCTACCAATAAAAAAATCCCCACCAACACTTACAAATAATGTTAAATGTATACTGCCACAAACTAAAATTTATTAACAAGAACTCAATAGAGTATTATAGTCGATTTTGAAACTTCCTTGTAGTGGGAAATTCTTCTTTGATCCACATCACCAAGGTGAAAATTTGATTTTTTCATGCTTACTTAATTGTTGGCTCTTTCTGGTCTCATTTCTTTGAATTTTGAATTTCCTATGATTTTTGTAAACTTTGTTTTGTTTCATCTATTCTTCAATAGTAAATGTTCACACGTACACAAATCAAACAAATGGCTTTCATTCCATTATTTTCATCTAATATTTCGTTGTAAGTTTTGAATTGGCATAGGATTTTTCTATTGATACATTATAATGATGTTCAAAGATTGTTTCATGATTTAAAAGTCCAAGTGTATATATTTTAAAAATTTTAAATAAATTTAAACATTTTATATAATGAAGTATTCAACCTCATTTAATAAATTATGTCAAAAAAAATTGCATAATTGAAATACTATATTCATAAACTATGTTATTCTATAACATAATTTTGTAATATTTTAAGGAAATATTGGGCTAGAGATGTCTTGTGAGTTAACATAGTCTAACTTTAATATCATGGTTCACATCATGATTCCTCTGTACAAAGATATAAAACCTGGTATACAATATAGTCTATAATATAACCCAACATATACTAATGTACTAAGCTTATTATACTTTGTTTCTACCTTAAATGCTTATTTTTTACAGCTTAATCTCTATGTAATAAAATATTAACTTTTGTCTACTACACAACATCATGGTGTAACTTTTCTTATACTAATACACCAACAATGATGTATTGCATTATTCTATAATGTAAACTTAATATATTGAAATACCAACCTTGAAGTAGCTAGCTATTTTGCAATGTTACCTTGGTCTATTTAAATGACAACATTTAGTACACTATTATGCAACACATTGTTATTAATCTTGATAGAATACATAGTTCCACAACATTAATGATATCCAAAAATATCAATCTTGATGTACAACACAATTATGCAGCGTTAATCAATATATTTAAATATTGGTTTTAATATATTGTAGTATTTTTTGATGTAAAATGACCTTTCTGGTATTAAAAGCCTTTTTCAACATCAAAACATATTACAAGCTTTTTGGTCTCATGTCTTTGAATTTTTGAAGTTTGAATCTGCTATCATTTTTGTAAAGTTAGTTTTGTTTCATCTATTCTTCAATAATCAATAGTAACACCTACACACATCAAACAAATGGATTATGTTCCACTATAGGCATCCAATATTTTTTTTGTATTAATGCATTATAATCATGTTCAACAATTGTTTCATGATTCAAAAGTTCAAGTGTATATATTTTCAATTGTTTATATCAATCTAAACATTTGATATAGTGAGATATTCAACTTCATTTAATAACTTATGTTAAAAAAATGTATAATTGAAATATTGTACTTCATAAACTATATTCTTCAATAACATAATTTTGTATTGTTTTAAAGGAAATATTGGGATAGAGATGCATGTTGATATTCTTAACTTTGATACTTATATGTGAAAAATTATTTACGGAACAATTATAAAATATTTATATAATATTTAACTAAATAGTAGATTAACATCATAAAAACTTATCTTAGAAGTTTGATATCTTTGAGAAATATTCAAATATATATTCATGATGCTTGAATAATCCTATGTCTAACAAACGAATCAAATGAGTTATATCTATAAGATAGTTTTATGTCGAATTTAATACAACATCATATAGTTCATATGTAAGTACAAAAAATCAGGTGTTAACAAGTTCTACAAAATCAAAAAAATATGAAGACATATATAAGACTCAAACCTAATTAATGAAAACATCAAAGAGAAAAACACTTGAAAAATAAAATAATATAAGTCATGTATAGGATTCAAAATCTGGACCTAAGTGATGAAAAGGTGGAACTTTCAACAACTAAAGTGTCTAAAATTCACAGATAAATAAAGTCACTAGTAAAATTCAAAAATCAAAACTTGAACAATGACACATTGAAAAACTGATCAAAGAAATATGAAGAAATATCATAGCATCAATGTCTTAAGCAAGACAAGACTCAAACTTGAGGCCTACATAATGACAAATCTAAAGCGTCTACGAGAAGCCATTAGAAAGTCATTAAAGTGGGAAAGTCTTTGTCACATATTTCAGACAATGACATATCATTAGAACACTAAGAAAATGATCAATTAAATAGACTTATTTAGACTCAACCTCAAAAGTAAATATAATTGTTGATAAGTTGTTAATCTCAAAACAAATCTTAAAGACAACAAACATGAGAACAATGAACTTCAAAGTAATCAATGAGTAAGGATCAATGACACACATTATGAATGATTTTAAACATACTGGTAGAAAACTTGGAGATAATGGCAAGCTCAATGACTTTATTTGAGTTCAACCATAAAAGTAAACATTTCTATTGATAAATTACATATCACTAACTAAAATTTCAATTAAAATGGATGTGAGAATATAAAACTTCAAATAAAAGAATAAGCAAAGGTCACTAGCACATCAATAAAGAAAAGAAAAGGAAAGGAATTTGAATTTACATGATCATCTTTGAACTGATGAAAAGACATGAAAACCTTGGAGAATAAAAATAAGGAGCTTACAAAGAAGAAGATTTAATTCAAAATAAAGACATATATCTACTATATTCATTCATGCTCAATGAACATCATATTTTATCCATGAAAGCTAAGCTACCACACTTTAAAGAAGAGCTGAAAGTTATATCAAATATATTATTATATAGTGGTGATTCAAGTTAACTCTTTCTTCATAGGTTGACTCTCTACTCTGGGTCCTAAGACACATAGGTGATGTGTAAATAAAGGTTTGTGCTAAGGCACGATGGTTGAGAGTATGTTAGTGCCAATAAAAGATGTGATATCTAAGTAGACTAATGTATTTAACTAAAACACAATGTAGAGAGTAATAGATCCTATGAAATCAGTTTGTATTTCTAAGAGAAAATAGTGAACTCTAATATGAAGGATCATTTAGGATTTAACGTAGTACAATAAAAGGTAAAATAGTATAAAAATCCTATGGATCTTTGTTGGTAATGAGAGATAGTGTGTGTGTGAGAGAGAGAGACTGCTTTGAGTAAACTCATACCCAAAATAGAAAAGGTGTGTGAAAGCTTGTGTTGACATATCATTCATAGATAGAATAGAAGAATAAAATATAAACTTTAAAAAACCCATTAACTCCATTTTCTTAGTGTCCCACAGCCTCATCGAGCACTTCAATGCCTAATGAGTTAAAATAGTGGTTATAAGTTTAATATTATGGTTCACATCATGATTTCCATGTACAAAGATATTAAGCTCGATGTATGATATAGTCCATAACATAACTTGTCATATACTAATGTACTAAGCTTGTTCTAGTTTGTTGCTAAATTTGGTGACTACTCACACATTAATATATTGTGCATATCATATAGTATGATTTTTTAAAATATGTTGTAATATGTTAAAATATTTGCATACTACTACTTGTGATGCTTGTGTTTTACAACTTAATATGTATGCAATAAAATATTAACTTTGATATACTACACTCTTTCATGTTGTAACTTCTATTATACTAATATAACAACAATGATGTATTGCATTATTCTATCATGTAAACTTAATATATTGGAATACCAACCTTGAAGTACTTTGCTAGTTTGCAATGTTACCTTGGTCTATTAAAATACCAACCTTTAGTGTGCTATTTTGCAACACATATCATTATTAACCTTGATGGAATACATAGTTTCATAATATTAATGTTATATTAAAATATCAATCTTGATTTACAACACAATTATGCAACATAAATAAATATATTAGAATATTCGTTTTAATGTATTGTACTATTTTGTGATGTAAAATGACATTTTTAGTATTACAAGCGTTTTCCAACCTCAAAACATATTCAAGGTCCCAAAACTAAACATAATTCATTTTTTTCAATCTTCCTTCATTTTAAGAAAATTATAATATGTAATATACCTTATGTAATTATAATATGATATATTCAAGTCGTTGGTATAGGAGATTATAAATATCTCATTCATCGCCTATATAAATTGAACTTGTTATTTATATTCCAACTTATTATTAAGATAGATTAAGATGATTTTTCCATAACTTGATGTACCATTCTTGAAATAGGTTTATGTGCTCTCTTTTTTGTCTTCACATTTGAGAGTCATAATATAAATCTTTTGTGCCATTCAATATCAAAAAAATAAATGAGACCTACAACATCCTACTGCACCTTTCTAAATTAGTTTCCTATTGTAAATTCCATCACAAATTCCCTCTCCAAGACATCATGTTCATTATTTGTTAACTTCTGAAAAAACAAAGAAATATATACTTAATAGCTCAAATGGCATGAGATGACAATTGACTAAGCGTATGGGTGTTAATTTATGAATCATTTTAGCAAATATTTACATGACACTGTACTAATAATAATCCTTAAGAAATATATTTTTACTGATATAAAGAGGCCTCAGCACATGTTTGCCCTGTTGAAGATTATCCATGAAGATTCTTAATTTGGGACCCTGCTTGAATAATTTTGCAATGGATCATAGACATGCACGAAACAATGCTTTAAAAAGGACATAAAAAAGATGTTGTAAATCATTAAGCAAACTTTTATCTACGATTCATCAACTGAAGAGTTAGATTGGACATATCACAAGTTTATAATGCCTAATAAATGACCATCAGTCATTCATATTTCTTGATAACATAATTTCACAATCCACTTGATTCCATCCATTTAGGACGACAAAAATTAGTGGAGTCTTGTGAGCTGATGATCATTCCCCCCCCCCCTCCCCCTCTTCATCGAAGAAGGAACAATTCTAAATGTGCTTTGACCCTCCAATTTATTTCATACTCCATCATTGTCTGGGCAGGTGCAATCCGCTTTGCTCTTAGATAACTTCTACGATATCCCATTGCAGAAAAAATGTTAGATCATTAGAAGAACATAATCCATGTAATGGGAATTCGAAAGAGAGTTTGGGTACACGTTGTTGAGTAGCACCTTCACTTGTTCTTGAAGATCTCTGATGTAGTCCAAAGCCATATCAAGCATCTCTGCAGTGCTCAATTGCTAGAAACACAAGGTGCATATAAGAACATTATCTAGTGCTGGCATGTTTATGAATTTTTGAAGGGGATTATTGACTACCTTGTCCATATTAGGAACAAGCTCTTGCAATTTCTTGATCCTCTCACTAATCCGTGTCCTCCTCTCCTAAAATGGAAGGCTTGTCATTTTTTATGTTTTAACCAATACAGGAAAAGCCAAAGGTATAGAACGATAAGTTATCCATTTTAAAATTAATTCGCATTGAATGATGTAGGCATGCGCATTTAAATAACATGTTTAATCTTGTTCACTCAAGTGGATGCCATTTCTCATAGAATATGCAATAATGACAAACAAAAACGATTGGACCGTCCCATTCATAGTCAATAAATAGTATTTGACCATGTGGGTTTATTATTCCAAATACATATTTTTTATTACTCATTAAAAAATTATGTTAGTTATCACAGGTCATCGATATGCCAGGAAGGTGTTGACTTTAGTGATTGCCCCTTGATGAAAGCAAAAACAAATATGGCAGCATGGGTTAATAATTTTTATAATAATCTCACATTAACTAAAACCAAAAACTTACTAATCATATAGATACAACCTCTCTAGCGAACTAATGTTAATTTTGGATTAGAAGGATAGAAAAGTCAATGGATAAGATAAAGTCGTGGTGAAACATAGTTTAAGCTCCAATAGGGACTCGATTTGAACTATAAGAAAACATTGAGATATTTGTCTCCGTGAATGATCACTCTGGAAGATAGCGAATCTATCTGAGAGTGACACACAGAGATTAGAGAGAGAAATCAATCGGGCATCATAATTAACTTAACATGTTGGAGATTATAACAAGCAGACGAGCTGTGTATAATTTCATGAACTAGAGAGACGACTCGAACAATGGGGAAGAACAGAGAAGAGTGAGGGAGGTTACCCTCTCAGCTATGCTCCGTGGGTGAGTTGCACATCCCCGCTTGGCTCTGATCTTGCAGGGGACCGCGTCTTGGAACTGGAGTAGGGACGCCATCTCCGGCGAAGTCTTCGACAAGCTAAAATGGATCCCAGCTTCTCTATTCTGCTGATCAAATGACTAAATGAGGCCTGAGAGCAATCACTTAAGAGAGGTGAGTTATGGGGAGTGCCTGAACTTCTGGTGGATCTCTGATTCTCCTCAGGGAACCGACGAAGCCATCTGAGAGAAGAGAGGGATCTTCCCAGGAGGATATGGGGAGGCCAGGAAGCTCCGAAATATGAGACATCAAATCTAGAGATGGAAACTGCCGGGGCGGAATGCTCGTCCGGCTCTTCAACCTTCTGCTACCAGTCGGAGTTGCTTCGCCGGAGGAACCGGTCCAATGTTCGAGCACCCCTCCCATAAGAGCTTCACCTGGGAAGGACAATATTTGGTTGTGAGAATTCAATTCCATTCCCTCCCAGCTCCTGAAAAAAAAATAAAAAATGAAATCGCAATACCTTGTTCTAGGCTTAGTTCGGAGAAAAGCCCGGTCGCGGAGCTGCTCTGGCGGACTAGATTGGAGTTGTTGAGACTCTCCGGACGGATTTCCTGATCCGCCACGGAGGTGGAGCGATGGGGGAGAAGCTGATCTCTCGGCAGTGAGTAGTACATCATCGGCGATGTAGAGGAGGATGATCCTGCTTTCTGTCGGTGTTCAGTCCCCGTCGCAGTCATTAGGTGGAGGCGGCGATGCACGGTGGAGATGGCAGCGCCAGAGGTAGTGGGCGACTTTCCCCCGATCTGCTCTCGCGGATTAGGGGACGTGAATCTGGCAGCCGTCGCCTCCGTCTCGGTGGCGGAGGACCGGAGAGTGAAGAAGTCTTCTCCCGTTTCACCGATCAGCGCCGTCGCGGAGCGGTACCGCGAGAGGCCGGAGCTCATCTGCTGGTGTCGGTGACGGAGATTCTCCTCCTCCTCCTTCTGGCTCTCGTCAGACGCCACTTCAAATGCCAGGTTCAGATCTCTAGAAGTCGCCGGTGATCCGTACATATCTTCGCCGGCCTCCTCTAACACCGGCGATTGCTCATGGCGTCACCAGTGACACCAACTCCTCTCGAATTTCCTCCAAGAAGAGTTACGAACTGGCCCACGGGGAGAGGTCGAGAAGCCGTGATCCACCAGAACCTCCTGTTTCAGTCCCCTCGCCACTGAAGAAGCTCTCTGAAAGAGAATTCTCGGAGCACCGAATGTGGAATCCTCTCTCTGCATCCACTCAGACACACTCAGATCTTCGCAAATCCGAACTCCGAGATGCGTCTGCACCAATTAATCAATCAAGTCCACTCACAAGATCGAAGTCCAAACCGAGGTGTGTCATCTCCTCCCTGATGAGATATCCAGAGCGAGGACGACTGGAAATCCCGAATCCTCTTCCTCTCCGCCTGCTGCTCTACCATTACTCTCTGAGAAGAGAGAGCGCGGAAACCGGTGAGAGCAGAGTGTGGAAGCAGCCATTGGAGATCGATCTCCTCATCTCTCTCTCTCCCTCTCTCTCCCTCTCTCTTGTTTTTAAACTATTTCTTCATCGCCGTCTCTTCCGATCTCCGAAACCAGTAACATGGAAGATACCCTCCCCCCTCTCTCTCTCTGGGGTGAGCAGAGGAGGTGAGTTTAAGGGCGGGGGGTAAGCAAGGAAAGGCAGCGCGGCTACGCGTTGGCTTGATTTCTAAACTGCGTCTTTCCCGGCGGTAAACTGCGCTACAGTCTCCAGACCTGTCTCTTCCCGCATTGGGAGTGACGTGGTCGTCAAAAGAGGATCGATGTGGTACGGCCATGCGGATTTTGTCTTTTACACGAAAACTCATACTACAAATACGAATGTGTTTAAATTAATAGTGAAACTTAATATTATTGTATTGTTATCCCCATTGGGCGGGCGTCCACGCCTGCGATAACGTGTAACCACAAGACGCTGACTAGACTCAGGAAGAGCATTGGAACTGCTTCCTCCGTGGGGCCCACAAGCCATAAACGCACGTGAGGAGGGGGGAGGCTGTTGATGGGATAAGTCGTGGCGAGGAATTCGATCGTACGGTGGATATTCGTCCTTGGAAGAAGATGTACTTGATGATCTGTCAGAACATTCACTTACTACGGCGCTGATGGTTCCACGTCATCCTGCCCCCCCCCCCCCTTCCTTCTGTCTTCGACCCATTATTATGTGGGCCCAGGCGAATTATGAGAAGCCCAATTACGCAGCCCCATGCCAGTGAGATCGCCACGGTGGTGGGCCCGCAATGTGGACGCCTTAACGAGTACCGCTGACGAGGGATACATTTACAATTTCTTAGGGATACTTTTTAAAGAAAAAACTTGTGCCGTGGCTTTTCCCAAATATCTCATCATAATTTTTTTACGACATTTTGACGGACAGGACAGATTTTTAACCCCCCACTTGCTTATTTCGGCATCCTCACCCGCCTTGAAGGCCGAGTGGAGCACGTGCGAGTGGGCGCCCGCACGCGGGGCACGTCCAACGAGACAAGTTGGACCGCCGCGTGGGATGAGGTGGCGTGTGCCGCCGCGGGGGAACATCCCACGTGCGTGGGGAACATTTCCTTTTTATATACCACCGTGTACGAATTTCCCATATTTCGAGCCTAAATATTTTCTTTTTTGGCCAGAAAAGCCCAAAGCCCATTGTAACATATTATTGGGCTTGATTTGGGCCCAAATATGAGAACCAGACCGGGCCGGATCTTCTGAACCGCCGGTCCGGTCCAGTTCAACTCCTCTCAAGAGGGGGCGGGCGGCCTTATCTTCTCCCTTCTTCGAAACGATCGCCGGAGGGAAAGAAGGGCGGCGGCGGACGCCATGGAAGCCGCCGGCTTGCGAGCTCTAGCACTCGCGGGGCTTCCTGCACACCTCCACCAAGCGGCCGTCGTCTCCGTTCTCAGCTTCCCTCCTCGTCTGAGGCGGCAGCGATGGCGGTGGCGGCCTTCGCTCTCCCTGGAAACCTGCACCGGCAAGCCTCAGTTATCCCCTCCATCCAGCATTTCAGTCAGTGAGTTCTTTCTCTCTCTCTCTCTCGCTATCACCGTCTGCAGACTAAGCTCAGAGATTATGATAATAGTACGGAGGGTTTTAACCGTGGTTTTATTTCTCCGTGGATGGTAGCGGACAGAGGGGACGAAAGTTCGGGAGCTGCGGCGCAGGTCGAGTGGGGTAAGCTTCTTCAAGTGGTGTTAGTTTCTCCCCAGGTACGCGTGTGGACTTCGCATCGAAGATGAATCTGAATGCGAGGAGCTGCTCATCATCTTGCTCGATCTTACCACCCGAATCTCTGCATCAGGAACTCGCAGTTTCTTGTTCGATCTCCCGATCACGAAAACCCTAGCCGATCTCTGACATCGATCTTGCTCAGGCAAATTCGATGAATCGATCTCGTTTCTCTCTTACAAGAAAAATGATCTTTCGACCTCATCTTAATTCCATCTCTCCGAATCATCAACCGCCCTAAAATCCTTGGCAGATCGCAGGAAACACCGGGTGTATAGCAAGAACCTGTGCGGCGTCAGCTGTTGGGCTGCACCTCGTCGAGGTCTGCGGCAAGCAATTCCTTCTCTCCACTAGAATCCCATGGATTTGATCGAGGTTTCTGCTCCTGTTCCTGTTCCTGTTCTATGGCGCTCATCTTCTTCCTCCCTCTCCTCAGCCATTAGGGTACAAGGTGGACGACGCCAAGCTGAAGCGCGCCGGCCTGGACTACTGGCCGTATCCTCAAATCCTCCATTAATTTCTTAAATCCTCTCAGAATCGAGCTAAATCGACGTGTTAATCACCATTAACCAGCCAAGATCAGATACGTGGTTGTAAAGATTCATAGGTCATGGGCTGAATTCAGAGAATATTTCCTGAAGCAGGTAGGCTACCCATCTTCCCCTCTCATGGATGAACCCCGTGTCTGAAACCTGTTTCATCTTCTTCTTCTTCTTCTTCCAGGAGGGAGAGAAGAGGCTGCTGGCGTTCACCAAGAGAGGAAACCATATCCACTCTGTGAGCTATTCCTCCTACCCCTTATGGTATTACAATGCGAAATTATGCAATTCATCCGCTATTCCTCATGAATCCTCTCTCTCTCTCTCTCTCTACGGCAGGATTTCTCTTACAGGCAGGGAGATTGGCTGGTCTTCGGATCAGAGACATCTGGGTTGCCGGCGGAAGCCCTTGAGGATTGCAGCGGCGGCAAAGTTCGGATCCCAATGGTGGAGACGTACGTCCGCTGCCTCAATCTCTCTGTGAGCGTGGGGATCGCCCTCTATGAGGCTTCCAGGCAGCTCAACTATGAACAGCTCCAGTGCCCCACCTTGGTCAGCGAGGCGGCCCAAGGCCTCTTCATTTCAGAGGACATCTATGCCTGACTCTCTCTCTCTCTCTCTCTCTCTCTCTCTCTCTCTCTCTCTCTCTCTCTCTCTCTATCTCTCTGGGCATTTATGCAAAAAAAATCCAAACCAACAGAAGCGGGTTTTTGTTTTTTAAAAAAAAAACATGATTCTTATGGTGTGGTGATCTCAGGGGCAATGAATGGATTTCAAGAACTGGAGGGATTAGATGGCAAATTTACCTCAGTACACGAGCCTTTAGGGCACATGGTCAAAGCCTTGACATCTGGCCCCTCTTTGATGGAATCTGCAAGGCTTCATAGTGCCCATAGCCGTGATAGAGAACCCTAATTGGGTTCTCCTTCCCATATTCTTGGCCGTACTCGGCAATTGCTATCAGGCCGCCTGAGTCCTCGCTGTACATGTAGACTGTGATTGGCACCCTGAAGAAGGGAAACACCGTGTGAAAAAGACTGATAGAACAACAAAGAAAGCATCTGGGCTGAGCCTGGGCTTTCCATCGCTTCATAGGAGGGGGCTGGGCCAGTCTGGACTCCACACTGTGAAGGTGTCTGTGATACCGTGACAGATATATGCATGCATTTGAGATGGTGAGGAGAGGAAGGTGGAGGAACGAACTCTAAGACATGGGTCGCCATTAGTATCTCTGGCTCTCCTCCCCACGCATGAGGTTTTCTGATCTGTGAAACGTATGAATCGAAGTCGCCCTCAATAAACCTGCATATGAGGAAAACACATGAATCAGAGCACCACTAAGAGCCGAATGCACGTAGATCATCTCAAATCCCTTGGCTCTTGACTCACCACTCAGTCTCTTCACGCCTCTTGATGAATTCATCAGCAACCTGCATTTGACAGGAGGAAAGAGGGCAATAACGCTAGATCAATACTTTTTATGCATGAAATTGTGCAGGGACCAGTTCATGAGTTAGGTTTATGGAGCCGTGAGGCCTTGGAAGCATACTTTGGAACGTAGTTCGTCGGCGAGTTCTCTCTGAAGGGCCTCATCGGGCACAGGCTTGCCTGATCGTAGGCAAGCCCCATGAGCCACCGAGCGGAAGAGACACCTCCCATCACCTGGTATGCCTGGAAGATGATGAAGAGCACCTGCTTCAGGGGGTACGTACGAAGACTTCAAGCACAACTCAAAGAACCCAAAAATAAAATGAATCGATCACCCGTGACAGCATAGTCTGTGAAGACTTTCTTCCCATGGGACAAGGGAAAGGCCGACCCATCACCGTCTCCGTCACCGGCCATGGGAGCATCAGCCGACACTGGCTGTGCACTTGCAAAGCTGACACACAGTCCAGACGCGGTTCCTCTTAGCAGCCACGTGCCAGGCTTCAAGATCCAACAGGTTCTAGAAATCCCTTCTTTTCTCACACACTGCTTCATGCCCACGCTGTGAAGCCGCAATGAGAGACTGAGATGGCCCACTCGGCCCTCTGTAGAGCATGCTAAACCGGAGACTGAAGATGAAGAGGAGCTACTGGTCTGCCGATAGTGAGAGAAGCTCGTCGATCTTCTGGGAATTGACCGAGAACCAAAGGGCAAAGCTGAGATCGATCTAGGTAAGGTGATCATTGCATAACATCTGGGTCTAAGTCGGCAAAAGTGATGATGGAGTATGGAATCAGACTGCGACCCTGGGCCAGCAGACATCTGGTGGAAAATCTGTCTGAACGAGGATGAACTGAATGGCAGACGGATCATCATCAGTCAACTTTGCAAACCCATTAGATTAAGAATCAGGGGAATGAAAAGAGATGTGGTTTGTTTCTAAACAGAAAAAAGTTTCACGCTAAATCTCTCCACATCTGTTCAGATGGAAAAGCTCAATCAGATCCATGATCCCCAAACTTAGATTAAAATGACCATGCGCAAAAAAGAATGAACAATGTGAATATAACATGTTCAGGTGAAACGTATAGAGTCCAAATGAATTCATCGTTCATTCAATTCATGGAATGTGAAACGATCGCATACATCAGAGCAGAATCTGTCAATTCACTTCCACAACAAGTCAATATCTATACATTTTTAATTAAATGTCAGGCGAGATGCAGGCTGAGCTCGGCTCCATGAGTTCTTGCTCTAATATTTGAGATAAAATGCATGTTCACTCGGATCAAGCAACCACCGGTGGATAAATGCAAAGAAGGCGTGCCCTTCTCGATCCAATTCTCACCCATAAAACGTGAGGAAATCAAAAATCCGCGGTGGTTCTTGTCTGTAACACAAAATGGAGTGTACCTATGAAACTAAGATCGAAACAATAACCTTAATTTGATTAAATCATATAAATATAGACGGCGACCGACTTTATGATACAGTCTCTCAAAAGAAAGTACAAAGAAATTCCTTCATCGATCCGTAAAACGAATGAATCAGCCAACAGATAACGATAAGTTTCACGTCAACTCCCCATTTCCCCAGAAAAAACGCTTCCCAATGCCCAAAAAACCGTAAACCCCAAGAGCAGAAGGAAATGTAAGAGATGGAAGGCGAATCTCATCTTCCCCGAGCTCGATACCTCGTCATGGAAAGCTCGAAGATTCCTAAACCGCCCTCCACTGGGAGAAAAGCTTCCACGCAATGGCTCAGATTCCCTCCAAATTCCCCTGCTCGGTGAAGCTACGGCCCTATCTGAAGCAAGGAACAAATCCTCGCAGTCGGACGTTCCTGGAAGACTGTCGAGGAGTCTGACGAAGGTCGGTACCTCATGCTGAGAGGAATCCTGACCATCGGATCAGGTGATGTACACGTGGAGGATCCGTCCGAAAATGGGCCGGTCCCAGGCCCGAAATGGAAAATAGGCTGGGCTTTTAAAACTTCTAGGCCCGGCCTAGTTAATGAGAGTTTTTTATAATAATGCATTTTTATTTATTTCTTTTAATAATCAAGGAGAGAGAGAGGGGTCAACGGGGGGGGGGGGGTAGACCGTAGCTATTTATACGCCGTATCATAGGTCTATAGCCCGTATATGCCTACATCTCTCCGTACAAATAGAGGTGCAATAGAGAGAGAAACAGGTACAGAGGGGGTGAGTTTAAATAATAGGGAGTGACTCAATCTTGGGGGGAAGGCAAGCATAAGAGGACAGGCCTCATCGAAGTCTCTTTCTAATTAGTTTATTTCTCTGCTTCAACTTGGGGGAGCCCGGCGATCTCTCCAGCGACCTATCCGGCGCCGGTGCTGCGCGCAGGTTCTGGCTCTTTCAGTCCCACTTCCAATCGATTTTTTGTCCAATTTTCATCGACTTCTGTCGATTTGGGTTGCGTGAGGGGTAAGGCTGGATGCGGTGATCCCGTTCGTCTGCCCGGAGCTTGAGGGGCTATGGCCTGGGAGTTGGTGCTGTGGTTGTTTGCGTTCTTCTCAGTCATCTCCCTCATCGCCCTGACTGCTTATCAGGTACGCTCTCAGACTCCAGGTTCCTGGCCCGCAGGATTTCTGAGCTTCAAGGGGTGCATTGTTTTTTTCTCGTGAGGGTTTAACTCGAGATGATGGCATATGAATCGGATATGCTGTTTTTAAATTTGATATGTACATATGCACATTTATATTCATCTGTATCTATTCGATGATCATGCAAAGCAAACCGCAGAGATCCGTGAACGAAAATAGGGGATTGAACATTTTTCTTTTAGATGTAGGGATCCGTGAAGTTTCTTATCAGGAGTAGAGAAAATCGATTAATAAGTGTTTGATATCCAAACAATATCAGTTGAACTGTTTGTAAGAAGTCTTATTGTGATTGCTTTTTATGTGACGTGTGGGGAATACATTTTGAACTGAACATGCCAATATATGGTGGTTTCTACCCATATTTTTACAAGTTTCTATATGTAAGCAATACAACAAGAAGATTATCTAAACTATGAGTTGGGAACTGCAGTCAGAGGTGTAGTTTGAAACCTTCCATCCCACTTAGTGGCATCTATCTAACACTTTCCTAAGTATCATCCTATGGTTGGAGTCTATTTTTTAAGTATGCTTTGATTGTATGCTCATTTGCCCGAGTTGCAGGTGCCGTTCGATTTCTTTCAAAGAGAATCATCATTGTTGGGTGATTCTTAGTGATTCTCAGTTGACAGAAATTCGTAAAATCTTGAAGAAGATGTCTGGAGAAGATGTTGAGCATGAACATAGTAGGGGATTATGGAAACCATAATTGATGGATTTAAAAAAGCTCCACCGAATTAGAATGGAAATATTTAGAAAATAAAAATCAGCCATTAGACGGGCTAAAAATCTTAAGAGAACCATTTGGTTCATTTTATATTTCTTCATAGTATTTTTATTTTATTTTTTATTAATTCAGTACACACCACTGCTGTCTACAACGCTACCTAAGAATCCTATGGAAGCTTTTCTACACACTACTGTTGCCACTTACCTGATATTTATCTGAGAACATTCAACTCTCTTTTTTTTTTGTTGAATTTTTTCATGACTTTTCAGGCATAATACGGGTATTTAATCGTTACTCGTTGACCTTATGGTGCAGCTAATCTGCTTGTCTGACCTGGAGTTTGACTACATCAATCCATATGATTCTTCCTCGCGTATCAACGCCGTGGTTACCCCCGAGTTCGTGGTCCAAGGGGTGCTGTGCGTTCTCTTCCTCCTGTCCTTGCATTGGTTCCCATTTCTGATAATGGCGCCCATAACCTACTACCATTCGAAGCTGTAAGTGCCATTCCCACTCGTGTTCTCGCTTTTAATCCCATGTGCATTAATTCTGCTACAGTTTTCTGTTCATTTCCACGGATTCCATGCAGCATCATCATTGAGGACTAATATCCTCTTCCCATCCATTCTCTCTCTCCTCTCTTTCTCCTATCTCTCTCCTCTCTCTCTCTAGCTGGCTCGTTACCTGTGTTTTTCCCCGGCAATTCAGCCGCATGACTACGATTAAAACAGGGCGTAATCGATGTGTCTCAGGTATCTGAGCCGGAGGCATCTCCTTGATGTGACTGATATATTCAGTCTGCTGAGTGGAGAGAAGAAGTACCGGATGATCAAGCTCGGCTTCTACGTGACCCTCTTCATTGTCGTCATCTACAGGTCCTCCTCTCTTCCTCCTTCCTCGTTTATTTTGTAAAATATATATATAAAAAAAAACGAGTCTTGAAACCTTTCGCAGGCTCGTGATCACGGCGGTGGTCATGCTGGTGGACGAGGACGATCATCCACTCGATTCTCGAATATTCTAGACCCCACCACGTGTTTCTGCGAGGGGGCCGAATCCCTCTGAAGCCCGGCCCACTACAGAAGCAAAAACATTGCTGGACGTTCTAGACTCTGGACCCCACGGCCAATAATGCTCTGACGGCGTATGATAGAAAGTACGGCTGGTGCTAGCATACGCCGGCATGGGCCCCACACGGCGCGGGCAGGTTTATGGGGGCGGTGTTTCCCTCGACCCATCACCATCACCATTAAGCCCGTTTAGCGGCGAAATGGGCCCAATTTTTGTATTTGGGCTTTAAATCTCGGCCCGTAAAATCGCCACGTCTGCTCTTGATGAAGAGAGAGAGAGACGGTATTTATCGTTGCTTGTTTCTCTCTCTTTGTCGTGTCGATGAGCCATGCCCGAGTTGACTCGCTTGTTCCCGGCTGGGGCTGGAACTCGGAGCCCTGCCGTGCCAACGGCATTAATGCGGGAAAACAACTTGTCGGGACAGCCGGGGGCCCAGTGTGTCGGCCCAGTACGGCCCACTACAGTTGAGCGATATGTTCACCGCCGGTGCACTATACGAAGGAAGGGGGGTGGGGACGAGGGACCCGTTATATAAATTTCCCCATCCTTCTCCGCTACAAAATCTCGAGTTCCTCGTGAAAAGCGGCTTCCGGTTTGGAGACCGAACCAGAGAGCTTCCCGCCAGAGCCGAGGGGTTGGGGGCTGTCTTCCGCCATCTTCAGCGCCAGTTCTTCCTGCGGAAAAGGAAATCGGGCTGGTTGCGGGGCGGAGGAGGCGAGATTGATCAGAGGAGCGGAGGAATTCTCGAAGATCCTCGCCGGAATTCTCGAGGCTGGCGGCCGGCGGCTGGCGGTGCTCGAGTGCCTCCATGGATCCGACGCGAGGCCCCGACGGCGGATCTGCAGACCGCCGGGAAATGCCGGAGGAGCTCCGGTTTAGGGAGATCCGTCGCGCAGGGAGGGAGCGAGAATCGGCTGCAGATAATGGGAGCGGCTCCTTCACGGCGCTCCTCGGCCTGCCGGCGAGCAGAGCGATTGAGCTGCTCCATGAGGTGGAGACCGGCCGCGGTCCCTTGATCCCGTTCGCGGAGGTCGAGAGGAACCAGCAGCTCCTCGGTGGATCTTGCTTCGCCGGCCTGCCGACCTTCCCTTCCGATTCCGATCTCGTGGAACGAGCGTCGAGGTTCTCCGTCTTCGCCACGGAGGACTCCCCGCGGATGCCGAGTTCCGCCGTCTGCTCGGCGGAGGCGGTCAAGACGGAGCGGCCTGATTCGGACTCTAATCCCAACTCCCCCCTGCAACAACGGCCGCCGAAGAGGAAGGGACACTGTGACAAGAAGAACAAGGTAACGGCATGTGGTGTCTTAGGGCTGGAGTTCCTATTTTTCAGAAGCTTTTGTAGATAAGATTTCTGGCCGTAGATGGCGCCAAGGTCGGTGACGTTTCTTCTTCTCTCTGTAGCTCAAGGCGTCCGGCAAGAGACCGAAGAGCAGGTCGGAGGGCGGCATCTCGAAGACCGTGGAGGAGAATGACGGCGGCGAGGAGGAAAAGCTTCCCTATGTCCACGTCCGAGCTCGCCGCGGCCAGGCCACTGACAGTCATAGCTTAGCCGAGAGGGTAATGACAACTACCGCTACCCTATCCCCGGGATTCGTGAATACTCCGCCATTGATCCCCTGCAGTCACAAGGATCAATCGAATTAAACTGTGGTCGCGTATTTGACCCCCTTCTTCCCCGGTCTTCCCAGGCGAGGAGGGAGAAGATAAACGCCCGGATGAAGCTGCTCCAGGAGCTAGTCCCCGGCTGCAACAAGGTCTCTCTCTCTCTCTCTCGTGAAATAGTTAGAGAAAAGTAGGTAGCTCTGCCCGGCCGACCGCGGTCTATGGAGAACATAATGGCATTTACGTCAATTCCGCATCATCAGGTGTTGGCCCTCTTGATCGAACGGTATCCGATGATTTTACGTGGCCATGTATCCTTCACCCCCCGCCCTCACGCGTCTCTATCAATGAAGAGAAGACGTAGGCGAGTTTTTTTTTCTGTGGGGCCCGTGGCCGCTTTTCAATGGACGACGGGACCCACACGGCGCCAGGCCGTTCTACCTAATGTACAGCGTGAAGGATGCGTTGGAAGTGGACCTTTTCCTAAACATATTATATATGAATATTTATTTATTTTATCTTCTTTTTTCCAGATCTCGGGGACGGCACAGGTGCTGGACGAGATCATTAACCACGTTCAGTCCCTCCAGAGGCAGGTCGAGGTGAGATACCCCACCTGCTCGCTTAGGTCCCACTCTCTCTCTCTCCTCACTCTCTCTCTCTCTCTCTTGGTGGCAGTTCCTGTCGATGCGGCTGGCCGCGGTGAACCCCGGGATCGACTTCGCCGGGCTCGACAGCTTTCTGGCCGCTGTAAGTACTCGTCCTCGTCCTCGTCCTCCGTGGGGGGGAAGCGGTACTCTCGGGAATCTCCAGCCACGGCGGGGAGCAGCGTGGCGACCTTGCTTGGCCGGCGCAATTTAATTATGGCCTCGGGGGCAGCAGTCCCCGTTTCTTCCTTCCCGCGTCATCATCGCTTGATTCTGATTTTTGATCTTTAATGTCAGAACGGAGGGGCACCGAGGCCGGAGCAGCCGGCGCTGTGGCCGGAAGCCCACCGGCCAGTGCGCCTGGCGGACATCCTGCCGAAGCCTGTGCCGCAGTCGTTGTGGGGGAGGGGCGTCGTCGTCCTCCCCGGAAATCCCAACTCTGCTGCGACCCTGTAAATACAGGTAGCTCCTCCCCCCTACCATTCCCCGAGCCGGGACGCAGCCACCGCCGCTTTGTGTATACTGACCGGTAAGAGGAGTAGAATGAATGAGGGCGAAGAAGATCGAATTTTTTCAGATCTTTCCTGGTTGGTTGGAGCTGCTGTCACGTCTCAGAATCGAACCCGATATTCCAGAATCCTTCGGGGGTCATGGGAGGGGCGTGCCTGTAGCGGTGCCTCGAGACGCCTTCGTGGTGCTCGCAGCGGACGTCGCCGGCGCTGCTCCTCCCGTCCCTGCCGCCGGGAAGCACGGCGTCGTAGAACTTCTCGCACTGCCTGCACTCCACGCCCTTGAGATTCTCCCGCTCCGCCTTCTTCCTCACGGGCTCCACGTACTTAAAGAACCCCCATACTCCTCCGTGCGGCTTCTGGATCGAAGTCTCCGCCGCTGCGGCGGCGTCCATCTCCTTTATCTCGCCCTCTGATTCATGGGACGACGGTTCATCCCCAGGCGACTGCCCCGATCTTCTTCCTCTGACGGCCTCCATGGGAGTGTCCAGAAAATCGTCGTGAGGATCCACCCCTCCAGCTTCCCGGCGCCCGCGAGTGTCCACCCACGGCGAACGAGTCGACCTCGGTCCCGCCGCCCGAGCGGGCTCCATGCTCCCCGTGGAACGCCGAGAACGAATTGAGCCGCCGCGAGCGGGGAGAACCCCTGACTCTTCCTCTGCCATCGGAGCCACTGGAGTGGACCTCGGATCTCTGATGGTCTTCGGATCTACAGGCACCAGACGATTCGCGCGATATTCATCCAACAGAAGCGAAGGAGAATTCTGAGGTATTGGGGGAGGATTCGAAATGGAGCTTGCCTTGGGGAGTCTTCCGCTTGTGAGGGAGAGACATTGGCGAGCCCCTCTCGCCGTCCGTGCCATCACTGATCTCCGCCACGAGACCGGCCTTTCGGAGCAGGAACCTGTACTGAGACTTCAAGTGCTTGTATCTCTCCTCCAACTTGGTCCAACTCTTGGCAAGCTGCTTCCGCCTGAAGGTCTCCTCCGAGAGCTCGAGATCTTTCTGATCGATCTGCCGCTGCAACTTCTCCTGCAACTGCCTGCACTCCTCCCTCACGTCGGCGATGGCCGTCTCGCTGATCCTCTCGGCGCTCTCCAGCTTCGCCAGAATCCGCGCCATCTCCGCCTTCTCTGCCTTCTCCCGCTCCAGAGAAACGGCCATGCGCATCGTTTCCTCCTCCGCCTTCTCCTTCTGGAGGCGGAACTCCTCGACCTGGCGCAGCAGGGAGGCCTCCTTCCTCCTCCAATCCTCCTCGACGGAGATCTGCTTCTGAAGCCTCCGCGACCGAGATCTGATCCTCGGGAAGAGCTGGCTGCAGAAGATGAACTCGATGTGGGAGATCCGGTCCTTCACCTCCTGGATCGTGGCCACCAGCACAGTGCTGAGCCCGGCCATGACCTCCGCATCGTCGCCTCCGCCGCCGCCGTGTCCTCCTTCCCACAGATCTCCTTCCATCTTCTCCGCAGCGGCGCCGCCCCAACCCTCCCGGCGAGCGAAACTTTCAAACTGGAGATTCCCGCCCCTGTAAATAAAGAACCAGGTCTTATAAAGGCCCCTTTAAATAATCGATCGACTTACATATAAACCCTTTTGCATTAAAGTTAATAGCATAAAATCCCTGAAAAACGATTAATTACATATGTATTGGTACCCACTAAACTTCACCCTCCCATATAAATATAACCCTCTTGATAAATCTGACGGCAGAGGATAGAAGACCGAGCGTTTTCAGAGACTGTTTTATGATCGGACGGTCCACAAAGCGGGGTTGCTCCAGGAGAAATCAGCTTCCAACTCCGAGGAGAAGGCAGGATTACCTATAAACCCTTCTAAAAAATTAATAATTTAAAACCCCGAGATATTATATTTATTATATATATACACTGTTCCTTTATGCTCGTCTAATGGGCGCGGTGGCCCAAATAGTGAATTCACCCTCCTCACGATTCTAGCATGTAAAGATACCCCTCCGGCTAAATCGGACGGCGGAGAAAAGAAGACTCAACCCTTCTAAAGTACCGTCGCATGATCGAACGGCCCACAATTCGGGGGCGTTCCCAGAGAAATCAGGCTTACAAACCCCACCCAAGGAGAGGCCAGTCCTCCCCCGCCTGGAATGCTCCACAGAAATGGGAACCTCCTCCGCCGGGCCTACTCCTTCCCCTCCGCCGCCGTATCTCCACACCGTCGCCGACCATTCCGGCCACCGCCGGCGGCGGCGGCGGCGGAAGATCGCCTCAAAGCCCTCTGCAAAAGCGGCCGGCTTGAAGAAGCCCTTCTTGAAATGGCGCTTCTCAGAGAAGCGATGGTTTGCAGCTCCTACGACGCGCTTCTGACAGAGTCCATGAACCAGAGGTCCCTCCGCTCAGGGCAGAGAGTTCACGCCCACATTACCAAAACCCGCTACCTCCCTCCAATCTACCTTTCCAACAGGATCATCGTCCTGTACGCGAAATGCGGCGAGCCCCAGGAAGCCCGGAAGATGCTCGAGCTAATGCCCCAGAGAACCGTCGTCTCTTGGACCGCCGTGATCTCCGGCTTCTCTCGTGGGGACACCCACGGCGTCGCTATCCAGCTCCTCGTAAAGATGATCCGTGAAGGTAAACAGCTCCAGACTTCACCCTTTTCCGCGCACAGAGAATGACGTCACTCGTGCCTCGCAGGTACCTCCTCGCCGAATGAGTTCACTCTAGCGACGGTCCTCACTTCGTGCGCGGGGAACGGGAATCTCGAAAATGGCGAGCAGGTGCATGCTCTCGCGATAAAAACCGGCCTTAAATCGCAGGTCTTCGTGGGCAGCTCCCTCCTCGACATGTACGCCAAGTCCGGGGAGATCCACGGAGCGCGGCGCGTGTTCGATGAGATGCCGCAGAGGGACATCGTCTCCTGCACCGCCATCGTCTCCGGGTACGCCCAGCTGGGCCACCACAGGGACGCGCTGGAGCTCTTCAAGCGGCTCCTTGCCGAAGGGATGGCGCCCAATTCCGTGACCTTTGCGGGCGTCCTCACTGCCCTTTCGGGGCTCTCCGCGCTCCACGGCGGCCGCCAACTCCACGGCCGCTTGATTCGCGCGGAGCTGCCGTTTCATGTCGAGATGGAGAATTCGCTCGTCGACATGTACTGCAAATCCGGGTGCCTCGTTTATGCCAGAAGGGTCTTCGATGGAATGCCCCAGCGAACGGTGGCGTCATGGAACTCGATCCTTGCAGGGTACGGGAGACATGGGCTGGGGAGAGAAGCTCTGGCCATGTTTGACTCCATGGTGGAGGAAGGAGTCAACCCCGATGGGCTGACTTTCTTGGCCGTCCTCTCCGGCTGCGGCCATGGAGGGCTGGTCAACGAGGGGCTCCGTATTTTCCATCGCCTGATGAACGCCCACAGTGTACTGCCGGGGATGGAGCATTACGGCTGCATGGTTGACCTTCTGGGCCGCGCCGGAATGTTGGAGAAGGCCACGGAGATTGTAAGGGAGATGCCCTTCGAGCCGACGCCGGCCATCTGGGCCTCACTCTTGGGGGCCTCTCGGGCACATTCCAATATTCCCATGGCGGAATTCGCTGCCCAGATGATCTTCAAGACTGATCCCCGGAGCTCTGGGAGCTACGTGAATCTTGCCAATGTCTATGCAGTGAAGGGGCGATGGGAGGACACCTTCAGACTGAGGAAGATGATGGCGGCGAGGAGGCTGCCCAAGGAGCCAGGACGGAGCTGGATCGAGATTGAGAGGCCCAAGATGTGCGATGAAAAGGGGCCAGATCTTCTAGGCGAGTTCTAAACGGCTAAGGCTGAGGGAATTTTTTCTTTCTTTTTTTGGGGTGTACAGATTGATGGGCTCTTCTCTTAATCGGTTCCTGTAATCGCGGAAATCTCACTGTTTTTGTTCAACACTAGTAATACCGACGGTCTCCGATCAACCATTTAAAGAAAAATATTGAAGTGCATTTGAAATATTTGATCATTTGTTTGCTTTTTTTTTATTCCACATTTGGAGTCAAATATCTCTCTCTCTCTATTCCACATTGGAGTCCAGTCTACCTCCCCCCTAACTCTCTCTCTATTCCTATTCCACATTTGGAGTCAAATCTACCTCCCCCGAACTCTCTCTCTCTCTCTCAGAGGAAACGAAAACAACAAGGAAGAAGGGACATTGGGTGATATAAAAGGATTAGTTTTGAGTTCAAAAACTAGAAAATGGGACCCTAAAATGAACGGTTGGCTGAAGAAGAAGAGCTGACACTCCACAAAAGCATCGATTGTAGGAGGGAAGAGCCGACCCACCGGATCAAGAACACAACCACTTCCGCCACGGCAAATCAAGAACATACTCGGTTCGGTTTGAAGATCTTCCGAATTACACGCAAAATTTGTAAAAAAGTTTAACCTACAAAACTCTTGTCCTCGAGCTGAAATTAAAAATACGAACGAACTGATGCTGATGATGAAAACGATGGTTATAATTACCCTAATCTCCTTCCTCGATGACCTTGGTGCCTAATCCCTTCAATCCCTCGGCGGGGATCTCAGCCACCGTGACGAGAGAGTAGAGCTCCTCCTTGGCGTCTTCGTCGTCGTTCCTCTTGCGGGAGATACGGACGCGGACCCGGCGGGGGACGCTGCGGATGCCCCGGCTCCAGATCTGCTTGTTGAGCTTCACGTCAACCCTCACGTCGGTGGTCCCCATCGCCTTCTGGGCGAACTTTCTGATCTCCTTGATTGCCTTCGGGGCCTTCTTCTTGAATGTGCTGCAAAATGGAAAGTTCACGCCGTCTCTGCATATGAAATTCGTGAAGAACCCTAGAATCTCTCGTGTACTTATAGAAGTGTGTGGGTGTGTGTGTGTGTGTGTATGGGGAGAACATCAAGCCCAGGCCTGGTGATCTCCTTTCATGGAGATTGAAGAGCCGTAAACAGGCATCGTCGTCAGAATGCGATGCCTCAGAGCATACTTCAATCAGAATAAGAATGCCCACCGAGGATAACATGATTTCATTAATTTTGAAGACAACACATTCGGTGAGCAAGTCTGAACTAGAGATGTTGAAGAGGATGAACGGAGAACGAAGGACAAGAATGAATATGAATAGGATCTTGGGACGAAAGCAAATCTCATCGTTCGACCAAAGCAAATATGAGTATGGATCTTTCGACGAAACCAAATCACGTCCATCGATCGATCAGAAGAGCGGCAGAGTCACAAAACAGATCAGGATTACCATCCATGGAGCCGCTTGTGGAGATTGATGGTGTACTCTCTGGTAACCACCTCCTCCTTCCGCCCTTTCGCTCCCTTATCAGCCATCGCTGCTGCCGCACTCCCCAAACCCTAACCCTTCCCCTGCGGCTGCCTGCGAACAGGATGGCGTCAACAAGAATATATATACCTATAAGGGGCTTCTAGAAGAAGACCCATGTTTACCATACAATTACGACCCTACCACTACCCCCCTTGTTGGGTAATTATTAGGCCGTAATATCGACCCCTCCTAGCCCAAAAATAACATGGTCCACCTTATTTCGGCCCATAGACAGTCCACTAATGGGCAACATGAGGCCCAAAAGGTAAGTCCGGGTCAACATGTTGGGTCCATCCGATTGACCCAATTGACCCAAGTAAGGTCAAGGGCAACTGTGGCCTGAAGAGTTGACCTATCTAGAATGATTCAGCTTGGCAATATTTTTTGCACCGGTTGAAATAGATCCAGAAGTGTCCACTGAGCTTACAATTCGGGTTGACCTAGCCCATCTAACTGTCAACATGGGTCGAATTGCTTAAACCCAAGAGGGTTGACCCAAGTAAAGTCAAGGGCAACTGTGGCCGGAAGAGTAGACCTATGTAGAGGGATTCAGCTTGGCAATATTCTGCTCTTGCTGAAACAGATCCAGAAGTATTCACTAAGCTTACAATGCGGGTTGACTCGTCCAGATTGAAAAACAATTGACCGAACCCATCAAACTGTCAAGTTGGGTCAAATTGGTCAAACTCAAGAGGGTTGACCCATGGTCCCCATTACATTCAGAGCCTAGACACGGGCAGCAAGATTAATTATAACGGCTAGCCACTAGAAGAAAGAAAGCTTTCCCTTTCCCGTTAATATCGCTTGGTAATGGCGCTGAAGAGGACGAAGCTCAGCCGCCAATGCTGAAGTAGGCCGTATAAGATTCATCTTTCAGGCTCATCAATGGCTCCAAGAGGAAGTCCCTGGTGGCGCCCTTGGCCACGAAGCTGATGGGGTTGTACCCCCTCATCGGTGCGTTCAGAGAGAAGCTCGCCGCCGCCGGAGAAGCGGCGGCGGCGCCGAGCCGGACGGACTCGCCGGGGGAGAACGCCGCCGCGCCGAGGATGTAGCAGCCGGGGCGGCCCAGCGACTCAAAGGAGACGGTGCCGTTCTTCCCGTCCAGCCCGGCGACGACGCGGAAGGTGGAGTCCGCGGCGGCCCCGGCGGCGGCGACGGTGAGGACTCCGCCCGGTGCCGGCGGCGCCGCCACTACCATGCCGGGGAGGTCGAGGGGTTCGAGCATCACCAGCTGCTCCGGCACCGGCGAGGGGCTCGCCGGGACGAGGCGGAAAGTGGCGTGGACTGCGGCATCGGATCCCTCGCGGGGTAGCTCCGCCATGGCGATGGAGCCGTTGGAGTTGGAGAGGACCAGAGCGGCGGCGCCGCTGCTGGCGAAGGCCTGGGTGAGGGAGATCAGCTGGGAGAGGTGGCCGGAGGGGACGGCAGTGATCCAGTCCGCCGGAGACTTGGCGCCGCCGGGGCTCAGCCGCCAGTCGGTCTTGGACAGGCCGGCGAGGAGGTACGGGCCGAAGAGGATCGCCTGCACGGAGGCGTACTCCGGCCGTTCATCTGCGGGGAGTAATTTTTCTCAGCTGTCACAGATCAGAAGAACGGAGGAGGAAGAAGAAGGCGGTGGCGAGAAGAAGAGAAGGACCTTCAATGGCCTCCATCCGCAGACCGACGGGCAACTGGAGGGTGAGCTTGTCTCCGGGAGACCATTTTCTGGTGATCGAGAGGAAGTTACCTGTTGAAGGCAAGAAAATGCCGTCAAACGAAGCTTCAGATGATGAAAATTTCACGCTGATATGGGTGAACTCTAATCTCTCTCTCTCTCTCTGGTTTAGCCAATCTACTGATGGTTACATACATCCTAAGAAAGAATCACTGAATCATTGTAGAGGAAAAGGCGAGGAGGAGGATAAGAACAAGAAGATAATTTTACCAGGCAGAGGAACGTTCAGTGATTCGTCATTTAGGGCCGCCTTTGCATCGCTCCTGGTCCAAAACGGAATCCGCAGGTTCAGTTCAGAAGATTGTGCGGCTGCCTGAATGAAGCAGGCACAAATATAGTAAGTCCTATCAATTGCAGAACAGGCTGGTCAACTTATCTATGAGCATAACGGGAGTCACCTTCACAGGAGAAAAAGTCAACGTCACTCGGAGGTAAGGCTCCGAAGAAGCCAGGGGTTCGACCTTTTGACCGAGTCTGATGCCCCCAGATTTCCAATTGAGGGAATTAGACACGTACTGAACGATGTAGAGGCTCGGTGTGCTGCCGCCCTTCTCAAAGTATATGGAATCCCCAAGCTTTGAGAATGATTCGATTCCTTGGGAAATTATAAAAATAAATAAATTAAAAAGGCGAAAAATAACATGGTCCACCTTATTTCGGCCCATATAAAAAGTCCGATAATGGGTAACGTCAGGCCCAAAAGGTAATTCTGGGTCAACATGCTGGATCCCATCCAACTGACCCAACAAAGCTGGAAAGTCGACCCAAAGTCAGGGGCAACTGTGGCCGGAAGAGTTGACCTATCTAGAATGATTCAGCTTTGCAATATTTTTTTTGCACTGGTTGAAATAGATCCATCTGTCTATCAACATGGTCAAATTGGTCAAACCCAAGAAGGTTGACCCAAGTAAAGTCTAGGGTTGACCCAAAATGTAGCTGGAAGAGTTGACCTATCTAGAGTGATTCAGCTTGACAATATTCTGCATTGGTTGAAGCAGATCCAGAAATGTCCACTAAGCTTACAATGAGGGTTGACTCGTCCAGATTGGAAAACAATTGACCAAACCCATCTAACTGTCAACATGGGTCAAATTGGAAAATAACTTGGAAAAAAAGGTCCGAAGGAGAAAATAACTTGGAAAAAAAGTTCCGAAGGAGAAAATAACTTGGAAAAAAAAGGTCCGAAGGAGAAAATAACTTGGACAATAAACGGAACCCACCTGTCCCATAGCAACACCAAAATGAGCTAAATTGGGTTCCCCAGCCATGGTAGCTCTTTGCTTTTGACACCCCAACACCCAGAGGAAGCATGTAGATCATTATTCCAGGGTCTGTTCCTCTCTGGATGCTTAGAACACCGTTGGTCATGGCTCTCTCATAATAATCGACATAACTCATCTCCCTGGTCCATCTGAATAAGTTGCGAGAGACCTGCATCACGAAATGTCAACGCAATTGAACTGATAAAAGTCATGATGCCTTTCACGGTACTTTTTTTGCTTCCGGTTTTCTGATTTCTTGTTTGGCGTACAGAATTATATGCTAAAAAGGGAAATGAAGGACTTCATGTTCTATCAGGAAGAAGCGCCATGATTTCCAAACCTTGAGCATGTTGTATGTGGTACAAGATTCCTCGTTTTCAGTCTTGAGAGTCTCTGCTAAATGCTTCGGATCAGACCTGTTAAAGTAGCATTTTGGTCACAATTTTGGCAGCAGATGCTGGATAAAGTAATATTTGGTGATGGATGCATGAGGAGATCTCAAGATCCATGCAGTAATTGCTTGAACTGACAGTGTTCTGGGAATCTGATAAAAGGTACCCTCAGAGTATAGAGGAAGGAACATAAACTACTTCGGTCCATTTCCCCAAAATTATGTGATTTGGCCAAAAGGGTATGAAATAGCAAGCTGGAAAACCTATTTTTAGTATCCAAGATGAAGAGGTATGAACGTATGAAATTTCCAAGATGAGGTTGAAAAAGGTGAACGTCGATTCCTCAGATGCAAATATTTAAAATAATATGAAATGCTACTATTAATTCTATCCATAAATAGTAGGGAAGCCCATAATCCAGCAAGCATGCAGAACCTTTGTGAGCAAAGGCTGTTAAAATATGTGATTACCAGAACTCGCCGAAAGAGGTTCCACCAGTGGCATAGCTATGAGAAGAATTAATGATATCCATGAAGTACGTTCCAATGTCCTGTCAAAATATGAGTCGGAGATTTTTCCACATAAAGACGTTTTAATTTAAGGTAAAAATGAGTCAAGAGAAGAATTCATCGAATGAAAATAGTGCTGAGGCATAATTTTACAAACATAAAATGAGAAATTAATATTCTGAGAACCCTATAGATTCGGCGAGCTGTCTCCATATTATCTTAATTTCCAGAGTGTTCTATGTACAAAATCAATGTGAAATAAACATATAATCTCTGGATTACAACCATACTTAAAGATTAAATAAGAAAATGAGTGCAATGGCTTCTTAGTAAGGTTCTTTTATAATCAAATTCAGTTATCCATTTTAAAGTATTTTTCAATAATTTAATTCAACAGAAAAGACTTTTTGTTTAACATCGTCGTCTGTGAACTTTCTCATGGGATGGCATCCCACAATACCTTGCAGGCTAGAATTGATGTAACATTTATCATCAACATCAAGGACATTGTTAGCATAAACGATTTTGTGGTGAAGGTACCTTATAAAGTGGATCGCCTGTTATCTCATAACGTCTTTGAGCACCAATAACAATTGGAATATGCGTGTTGGCATGAAAACCTGAAAGGCTATCAGACTGAAGACAAGAATGAGAAATGAAATATTCAGTCCAGAGAAACATGAATTAAAATTAGTATAATGGCATGATGTTTGGAAATAGATGAAGAATTTTTTATTACTAATGAAAATTACTTTGCTCATTTATGTAAAGAAAAAGGGGGCAAAGGTTGGTTTCACAAGTAATATACTGTTTCACACTACAGAATGATATGATGCTAAGAAAGTATAAATTCTTATGTACTCAATCCTGTCAAGTTCATATTCATTAAGCACCCCTACATATGCTAGATAATAATCATCTAGTCTTTTAGTATTCACGTGTTCATGTGTCTTCATAATTTGCATTTTACTCGAGAGAAGTTGCAGAAGAAAATCTGAAATCCTATGACAATCTTGATTTCTGAGTCATCTTTTACAAAAAGTAAATTAGTTAGAACAGTCATCAATTAAAAAAAAATGGATGGATCCTTGATTTTGATGGTGTTTACAACTTTCCTCAAGCAGACATTTAAGTTTAAACTGAAGTTTCTAAAAATAAACGAATCATTATTTGCATGGGCATGGTAAACATCTCACCTGAACGGCGAGTAAACCTAGAAAGCAAGGTTTGTCAAAAAGATGAGCCAGTTTCAAATGCTTCTGATCTCCCTGCATTTAAACAAAAATAATAAGAACAACAACAACAACAAACCACACATTAAACTCCGATCATAGACGGAAATAAAGAACAGGTACTGTAAATAGTAAGATAATCAAGTCATTTGTATAGCCTGGATGTTGGACTAAAATATCTATAAACCTCTACCACCAATTTCCTCAGTGTCAAGTTCAAGCCACACATCTAGCAAGCACAGAATCATTGACAACGGTAAATTTTTGCGAACACAATGTTGCTAGGATAGCAATTATTTTGATACAATTTGTACAGCACAACTATATAAGTTTCATGGGCATAATGTTTATACGATACATCCTGAGGACATGAAACATTATACAACTGAGTGACTTATCTACTGTGACATTCTCGTTGAGATATCATACATCCGAATCCTGAAATGGTAAGGATAATAAGAATTCAATGTACATACTTAATCAGCACCACTCATAAATCGTCTTCAAATATTTTCCAGGACATATATTATAATACAAATCCATTTCACAAATAAACAAATATAACACGTTTAGAAAGAACAAGAGCAGACCGCTTAACTACAAGATGTTAAAACGAAATATAACAATAGAAGTCTATGGCCACGAATGATCAGTCAAAAGTGTTGACCTAATGACAACGCTTTTTCTTGTTTAAATGGCGCCGGGCAGCTGGATGTGAATTTTATTTTGTTTTCTAGGAATAAAGACTTATTTTTAACCATCAGGATGGGTGGAGACTTGCCCTAATTGGGATCATGTCAAACAAACCAAAATAAGTCTCGGATTCGAGCCAAGGCAGCTTCATATTTGGGATGCCTGTTATGTGATTGCATACTGCCTGTGTTAATCTCAGTTTACAGTTTCAACACCTGCTTCCAGCCTAAGATAGAATCAAACCAAGATCATGTAACGAAGGCAATTGACATTATAATAACCCCGAAAACTAAAACTACCAACCACTTCCACAGCTAGTATGCTCCATCGTACTCTTCAATCATCGCATTTTGATCCATAAACTCGGGGATTTTTCAATATATATATATATATATATATATATATATATATATATGTATGCAATGAGAAAAGACACCTATCAAGTATAAGTAAACAAAGTGACACACCTTGGAGTTAAAAAGAATCAGAGAATAATACCGTAATGCTGTATAGGTTATAGAGGACATCGTTCATGCCTCCCGTTTCCTCATTGAGAGAGGTCCAATGTCTCTCTATGGTATATTTTTTTATCACATTTTCCACCCGATTACCAAAGTATTCGGCCATCCAGACCACCATTTGCAATGCTTCGTTGTTTCCAGCATATAAATACTGGTCCAATAGGCCTGCCATGATCTGTCAAACGTCAACGTTAATCCCTATAGATGAAAGTCTGTTTGAGATGGCTTTTCATGAAACTCATATGGTACCTTGTGTATGGTGTAGTAAGGCGCCCAAACAGATCTGAGAGCCTCAAAACGGTCAAAAAGCTCAGTAGGAAACGCTGAAAGGTACCCAGTGCCCATTTTCTTCTGGCAAGCATTAAGAGCTTCAACTACAGCAGACATTTTCTGATAAAGCGTATCATTATGAGTAGAAGCCCACATTTTAGCAGATGCGCTCATGTAATGCCCTGAAAACATGTCAAAAATCTCACTGCTTTACTCCACGCAAGGCATCATAAAGTAGGAAATGAGGGTTACCACTTTGACTAAAAAATGCTTCGTTAGGTAATGAACAGTCGGCCTTTATATTCCAATCATACTACGCCTTAAGGAAACATGTTTAATAGGCCCATGGAAGGCAGCATATGACGGATTTGTTTAGAAAAAAAAACAATAATACTCTAAAAAAAATATGCACCAAATTGAAGATCTATGAAGTAACTGCATAGAACAATTTAACTAAGAAACAGTAGGAATTGAGTTATCCTCTTGCTTAAAGGTCTCTAAAAAACAAAAAAGAACAAATTCGAGCAGAGAATGGAAAAAAGTCATATAAAAATTGAATAAATAATTCGTCGTCCACATGCACATCAAGATTCCCAAAGCCTTTGGCAACAAATATGTCGAAAATACGTGCTTTAGAATTAGAGCGGTTCAAATATACTCCCGTTCTATCACTAGAACTGCAGAACAAGATTAATGAGCATAAAACCTACCAACAAAATGACCCCTGAGCTCTATGTCCGGTGATTCCCATCCTCCATATGGTTTGCCAGGATATTGCAGACCTGCCTGCTTCCGGAAGCTCCACACTAGCTGGTCCACATCCAACATCAACAAGTATTCAAGATTCGTTCTCTGTGCCTCCCCGTGCCTAGAATCTGGATCCAGCCGCACATCATGAAGAGATAGTTCCTGAAGAAAATCCCCGCCCGCAGAAATTTGACCATGTGGACTCTTTATCCTTCGATAGAGCACTGCCCAATCGAACTCCTCTCTTGGACCGCCTCTCCTCATAAGCTTCCGCGAGAGCAGCTCCATCCATGCCGACTCCTCAGGTGGATTCAAATGGAGGTGATGGGAGAGGATTTCTTCCTTCTCACTCGCGTTTTTACTTACCAAGAGTTGATAGCGAAGTGTGTGTGAGACACCAGAGTTCGTGCATTCCTTCGCAGACCCACAATCCGGGAGTATACATGCTAGTAGAAGCAGTACATACAAAACCCAGGCCTCCTTTCTTCCAGCAGCAACAACAGACACAAAATTAGCCATTCTACTAGGGAAGATGCCACACAGAAGAACAACTCAGGCACCGGAAGAAATCAAATGCATCCAATGTCGCGAATGCAATATGCAAGTGCCCAACAATCTCACTGTGTTTCACAACCCATCTCTCAAGTAGCTGTGACAGAGGCAGAGGGATGAGCTTCTCTGGCGCCAGTAGTGTCAGTTCATTCAAGTGGATCCATATAAAGGCTGATCCGAGAAACGGCAAAAAGTACTACCAAGTCCGCAGCCCTGCTCCAGAAGGCAAGCAAGAGCAACAGAAAGCAACCTAAAAAGTCCAGACGATAAAGTGATCGATGGGAGTGGAGTAGCTAAGATTCAAGATGAAGCAACGGCGTGAATTGGATAGAACCGACCGCTTCAAACTTTGAGGAATCACCCGTGAGCAGGCTCTTCCTCAAGGAGAGCGGACAACTGAGGAAAACACTGGGGCGGGCACTGGCAGAGAGCACATAAAGGCCGGCGGTGGACAAAAGAGTATCACGGGAGATTCCTGGTGTCAGCTCCCGCTTTCAACCCTGCGGCTCCCTTCCCGCCGCCCGGTAATTTTGGGAATACCCGCGCTTCGCCGCTTCCCTCCATTTCCTCGCGGCGCATCCGCCGCTCCCTCGCCTCCGGGAATCCACTAAGAACAGAGCTGCCGATGATGATGATGGCGGGGAGGTAGAGAGAGGAAGAGAGAGAGAGAGAGAGAGAGGGGGGCATGATCCAACTAACTGTGCACGATCCGGTAGGACCATATGGAGGAGAGGAATCACGCGTGGTCAATTTAAAAGTGAATGATTTAACGACATTGGGAGGGTACAGGCGTGCGCGTAATGTTTCATATATACCACTCTTACCTAATATAAAAACTAATAACCCTATAAATTAAATATTTGCGTCTATACTTTATATTTCTAACTAACAACCAAGACCAACCAAATATATCTATTTAATGTGTGCTCATTATAGTTAAATAGGAAAAAAAATAGCCATATTAATTGTTAGAGAGTGAGATGTAAGAAAGAACAATTTATAAAAAAACTAGAAGAAAACTAAGAATTATCAACCAAGAGATGAAAATAAATATCACATTAGAAGACAATTAAGCTATTGGTGATGATAATTAAATAAACTAAATATGTCAAATAAAATTATGATCCTAGGTCAACATATCATACTATAAAGGGAATTTATTCCTTTTTGAAATCATTTGAATCATAATGGTGGATGAAGGCTATCACAATTGAGAGGTGACATTATATATGCAAAAATTAGAAGAACTTATGAATTGATCATGTTCAGCTTTGTCTGAGTATTATGAATGTAAAATCATAACCTTCAATCATCATAAACATTATTTCATTGAAATTATTCCATATGTGTTCATAGAAGAGGATATTTCACCCCCCTTTAAGTCCACAAGAGATTGATCATAAGTCAACATGATAAAAAAAAAGGTCCCTAAGGCTATGAAGGGAAACTTTCTATAAGTAGAAATTTAATTAAAATTAACCTAGAAAAAGGAAAAACTATTTAAGTGACCCTTAGAGAAGGAAGAGTTATGGTGGAGCACTCTTTAAAATTCAGGGGAATTATTTTAAATTAAATAAAGCGTAGAAAATAACAAAAATTGAGGAGCATTCAAATTTTGACACATTTAACATGTGCCCATACCTCTTATTAGGCTACATCACTTAGTTATTTAAAAAATCATGAATATGAAGGCAAGAATTGTGGCTATTCACAATGAGACATTTTAAAGTCAAACACAGAGAAATTGAAACCTAAAGAATACCCCCCTAAGAGTATGAATTATGTCTATGGTATCATTCTAAACGATATTATCTTTACATATTTGTGCATTCCTCATTATTAGTTTACATTATTTGTTTTTTCAAATAAATATTTAAAAAATATTTATGAATATACTCCACTTGCGTGTGTATGAAGATATGAATTATTAGAGCTGGTACATTCGTTGTTCCATTATATTTTTCATGGAATATTATGTAACTACTTGAATGATTGAAGATGACGTCTCCCCTCCAAACGGAGTTGAATAGATAGCTTGAACTTTTTTTTTAGGGTCTCTCTCTGTCTGCCACCGAGATATAGAGAGAGAGAGAGAGAGAAAGAGAGAGAGAGGGAGAGAGAGGGAGTGAGATTGAGAGAGAGAGAGAGAGAGAGAGAGAGAGAGAGAGAGAGAGAGAGATGGGCTTCCACCGACAGTGGCGGGCCGGAAATGTGACTTGTTGAAGCTCAGATTGGGCCGGAAATCGGCGTTGTGCTTTATCCGGCCCACTATTCATATAGCCTTTTAAGATATTTCATCGGATGGAGAGGATACGTTTGATCCGCATCTTGTCGTCTAGGCCGTCCGATCTGATCAGAACCAATAGGCGGGAGGCCTTCAGTACTCCTCGACGCCTCTGCTCGTCTTCTTCCTGCGAGAAGGCGGGAAAAGGCAGAGAAGGAGCCCTAAGGAGGTGATCGTTCTTTGTGACTGTCGTCGCTCCTGTTGGATCTCCCTCCTTGCTTTGCGTTTTATTTCATCCTCTCGCCTCCCCCGAACCGTCACCTTTTGATTCCTCTGTAAACTGAGCTGTTGTTAGGGTTTACGCAGGGTATGGGACATGTTTGTGATCTCGATGTCCTATACACTGTTTTTGTTTGCGTATACGTTGCGTAATCGAGGACTCTGGCCACAGGTTCTCGACCTGTTTCTGTTGCTGTTGAAGTGGGATCACGTTTCCCGATTTTTCGGCTGCTCGATTAAAGAGTGAAGAGAACTCGCGGAACCAGAGGAACAGTATGGTGAGTTTGGCATGCTACGCTGCTTTTTACTTGTATGAATCCCTATCTGTAAATGGAATTTGTTTGCTTCGCACAATTTGAAACGTTTTCGTTTGAAAGTCAGTACATGTGTGGTAAAGTTAGTGCAGGGGACAAATTCAAACGTGTAGAACTGGAACCTCGAGATGAACATGTGAGTGGTTAGACGTTCGCAGATTATTGTTAAATGTTCAACGAGTGGGGAGATGTGTATCAAAATTTTCCAATCATTTGAATGTTTCAGCCCTTTCAGAGGTTGAAATGCCTTTCGTGGAAGAACGGAAGACTGACACTTACATTGGGCCTGGATAATATAAAGTTGAGATTACATTTATGTTGTGGTGCAAACAAATGTGAATCGGATTGTTCACTGTTGTAGGCTGAGGAAGTAGAACTGCCTTCTCAGTGATGAAACAGAAAATGATGAAAATATAACAGATTTGAATGCAGAAGACGGCGAATAAGAATACAATTTTCAGCCTGTTGATTGAGTTCCATGAAATTCAGTGAGGAAGGACGTTAGAAAAGAAGGGATGGTGACTGGAATTTTCTATCAAATGGCATTGTAAACTTGTATCGGATGGGCAAGGGCATTGTGAGCATAGGGTGAATTTACGAGGGCAACGATTGTCGTACTTCGTTCGAAAAGAGGGCATTTTCTTCAGTTTCCCTGGAGAACATGGCATGTGATTGTGTGACATCGCATGTTGGGAAATGGGTTGTTTTTTACCGAAGGTGTAATTATTTCATTTCCTTGGGAACATAGGTTTGTACATTGATTTTTTTTCACTGCATTACCTGACTACAATATAATTTACTGTATCCTTAAACAAATTTGAAAAGGGAACAGACGTCTACTCAATGCAGTTCATCTCGGGGCTCCATCTCAATAAGATAGCTTCTGTTGCTCTTGATTATTATTAGTATCTTGTTTCATGGGCATAAATGTGTTTTCCCTTATTCATGAATCTTCCGCCTTGATTTGATGTTTAGGTGCTTTCCTGTTCGGTAATATCGTGCTCTCTTTCTATTTTTAACGGGCTTTCGTATTGTTATGATGTACAAGGTGTTTGACAGTCATATAGAATATCCTTGTTTTTACATGCTTTCCTAGTTTTTTTTTTCCAGTCAGGTCGAAAGGAAACAGTTCTTGATCTGGCGAAGTTCATTGACAAGGGTGTGCAAGTTAAACTCACTGGGGGCCGACAAGGTATGCTTTGAAACTCATACCAGACCAGCACGTGGGACATTTTTTTTTCTTCATTTGAAAGAAAATATGTTTCTTCAATTTGTCCTGGATTCGGATGGTTTAGCAGTTAGTTATCTTTCAGAAAAGGGTTAAATGAAGAGATGTAACTGTAGTTCTCAATTGGTTCTTGCCAATTCTTCTATGAACTAGAGTTGGGTCAATGTCTAATTGGTTTCTAACGGTAATTGATCAGTCAGAAAGCATATGTGAGACGTTTCTGTGGCATAGGATCATGAGTGCTTTGAACAGTCACTGAAGAAATTCCAAAAGGTTTGACATCGTCCAGTACATTTATAGCATTCATATGAATCCCAGAATGAATGACGGACGTCTTGATTCTTGTTCTCCATGATATCCAAACGAGCGACCATAGATGGAAATGGGGTTACAACTTACAAAACCTGTGTGTGCCTCTGTCACAAGGCTGCCTTGCAGTTCTTGCAACCATGGAGGCTCCTCCATGGATAGAATGGGATCAGTATACTTTTTGATCAGATTCATAGGCTTAGGAAGTCAGGGATGTTGACCAATGCAGCGTAGGGTCAACTGTTTGCTCTAGTCCACTGAAATGTGAAGAATTTTTTCTTCTTTTTTTTTACCTGGAAGCAATGCCATTAAAGTTGTGAACTTTTACAGAACATGGGTCAGTTTTTCTCACATTTTCTTCTGAAGAAAGTGCTTTTTTTGGTTGTGCCCGGATTATTGTCCTTTACATTTCGGATTGTCCCCTTCAATTCCTTGACTGTGTGTTCTTATCTACTTTCAGTTGTAGGAACACTTAAGGGATATGATCAGTTGCTAAACCTTGTGCTAGATGAGGCAATTGAGTTCATCAGAGGTGTGAGCTGCCAACCTTCTTTCATTCTTAGAAGCTAAGCCTCGTTGATTCATCTGATCAGTGATTAAGATAAAGAAATGATGTTGTCTCTTATTCAGTTTTATCATGATTAATCGAATGAGATGTTTTTGTTTCTGATATAAAATGAAGATAAATATCCCACCCGCAACATTTGAGGAAACCAGTCTCTCCTAATCCCATCTTAATTTTTTCCTGGCTTTTGAACTATCTTCTCTCTCTCTCTCTCTCTCTCTCTCTCGCCCCCTCTCCCTCTTCCTCTCTCCCTGCCCCTTCCCTCCCTCTATCTCTCTCTCTCTGCCTCTCCCTCTCTCTCTCTCTCTCTCCCTCTCTCCCTCTCTCCCTCTTTCCCTCTTTCCCTCTCTCCCTCTCTCCCTCTCTCTCTCTCTAAGGCACGCACGCCCAAAATAATCGCAAAATCCCAACAACCGTGTAAGGATTAGCAACCAAACCCCACATATATATGATGTCCCAGCACGCTGAAATATCTATGATGCTTGTTGAATCTCGTCGATCAAAGTTATGTGGCATCCTTGTTTTTCACATAATACACTCGAGGACAGATAAACCCTAATCTTCCGGATTCTATTTCATTATTTTCCTCATTATCTCTTATAATTTTTTAATAAAAACCCTCCGAATATTATGATTTTTTTTGATCTGCAGATTCAGACGATCCGTTGAAAACTACAGATCACACAAGGCGCCTTGGCCTAATAGTATGCTTCCCTTCCTCACTCTAATAATATTTACGGACCGAATTAAAAAAAATAATTACGAAAACATTATTTATGATTTTCGCCACGACTCTGCTTGCAGGTCTGCAGGGGCACAGCGGTGATGCTGGTATCACCGACAGATGGCACGGATGAGATCGCCAACCCCTTTATCCAGCCGGAAGGCGCCTGAGGCTTTTGATCAAGTGGGCATCTTAGGTACGTAAGAAAATATCCATCTTCCAAGGCTTTGGAGTTATTCTGATGACTGAAGGAGACATCTATTTCTGATTATTCTGGTGCAATTATTCCTCAGAAAAGTTAGTATCATCCGTTCACTGAATTATTTTCTGCTTATTTGTACTGCCTTTTTAAATAAGCATCAGCTCATGAGAATGGGTTCTCAGGCATAACCCAATTGGGAGTATCTAGTTTAGGGTCAACGGCCATGATAAGCCGGGATGATGTCTGAAGTCTGACCTCCGAGGTGAGGACTCTGGGGACCTTTTTTGTTTGAGTTTCCTTATATGGGAATAGAGTTGGTGTCTCGGAGATTGCCTTGTTAGCGAATATGTTCACAATGGCGGGGCTGGCCCCCGCCTGTCTTTCCGTGTGTCGTCGTTGACTAGCATTATGCCAAATTTTTGGTCAAACGAACCCTAGATAATTGGCATGTGATTGAAGAAAAAATGATTTCTCGGTCTCGGTTTCTTCCACGGACCGACATAGAAAGTCAGCCGCAGCGGCAGGGTCAACTTAGTGGGACCCAGCTGGAGCCTATATCTGCCTATGATTTTGACTTGACCAAAGCGACTGTACAATCACATTATTTGATTAGTCGGGCTCCTAAAATTAGTCAACGCGGGAACCCAGTCGTGGTGGATTTAATCGATGAGCCCTTTCCCAACCCCAACCCTCGGGTTGACTTTGGAGGTCAGAGTCAAGCAAAAATTAGGCCCATCCGAACCAACTTTGGGGTTTACCCGGTCCTACCACTCCGGGGGGCGGTTCGGCTTGTGGGGAATATTCGCGTGATTTTTTTAATTTTTAATTTTTCCGAAAAATCAACGACTCCACATCACCGCCGACATCTCGGAGAAATAACTTTTGAGAATAATTTAAAACGGAAATTAGGCAGGGGATTTAATTATATATTAACATTTTAATTCAATATTTATGCATATTTATTATTCGAGAGGGATACCAGAAAATAGATAGCAGCCTCGCCGGCGCCGTGGGTTTGAAATCGGATTCCCGAAAAGACGTCTCGATTGCCGGCATCCGCAGCAATCGATTCGTGTCGCAGGGTCCAGTGCAGCCACCGGAGCACGCTGTCACCTCCGCTCGGCCTCCGATGCGAGAGAAGGGGGAGAGAGAGAGGCCATTAATGATGAGAGGGATGTCACAAAGCGGGAGGAACGAGATGGGCCGGTGGGAGAGGGCCCATTAAGGGTGTGGGCAGAATGGCGGGGAGGGACCCGTCGAATTGGTGGAACTGTTCAAGCTTCTTAAAAGATCGCGCATCCCATCAATGAAAGCGACTGGAGAAATTGATGATCGTCACACGAGGAAGAAGAATAATCGAAAGGACGACGGACAACAGATGCTGGGGGATCCCCCGGTTTCTCCGACGTCTAGATTCATCTGGGGCTCGCGAGGCTCCGATTTAACCGCGATCAGGACGAGATCTGCTGCACCCCGCCGCGACGACGGGTGAACGGAGGCGGATGGGGAATATAGATTTCCCCTCGCCTGTTGGTTTCTACGGATCCATTTCTGTGATCTCTGGTGCTCCTCCGTGTTCCTCAGATTCTGACGACCTTGGAGGCCTTGACGACGGGGTTTGCCCTCTCGATCGCCTCCCTGGCAGCGGTCTTGTAGTCGTAGCTGCAGTCATGACGGTCCGAGTACCGGTGCTCAGCGCAGAAGAGCTGGCCGCATCGGCACCGGAATCCCGTCAGCCCGACCTTCCTCCGGCACCCCGAGCACCTGTTCACGACTCTCGCCGCTGCCGGAACAGGCGCCGCCGCTTCCGGCTCCGCCGACCGAGCCACCGGAGCGGCGTCCTCCTCTGGTCGCTCCTGCGTACGTACCTGGCCGGATCTGGCCCTCTCGAGGCTGAAACAGGGGGAGGCGGTGAGGGAGAGCGCCGCCTGGAAGCAACTCTGGCACATGTTCTTGGTGGCGGGGTTCCCAGGGCGGCCGCAGCTGTTGGCGCACATCGTCAGGCCCTCCGGGACCTGGAGCTCCTCCTCCTCCCTCTGCGCCATGGCCGACGGCGACGACTTTAAGGCCGCCGGCGATCTCCGATATCCCGCCTGTAGAGGATCGCCGGAGATTTGAAGGCGGAGAAGATGATCCCGATCGAGGAAGGAGGCAGGGGGGGGTGTTCCTGAGGCGGTGGGCGGACCTGCTTTTAACCCGGAAGGAGTGGTCGCCGATGACGCCGGGGGGGGGAAATGAAGCCGCGTCGGAACGCGTACGGACCAAATCCTAGGGGCGCTCTTACGTTACTACCCCTAATTCTACACTTATTTATTCAAATAGCCTACGCGTGGCTCAGATCGCCCCCGTGAAATCTCCACGCAACGATTTTTAGAGCCCTTGATTGAGATGTCTTTTGTTGAGGAAAATATCATAAGGGGCATTTAGGTAAATAGTCGGTACGGGAGGCCCTTGTAAGAACAAGTTCTTCTCTATCCCACCTCCCGCGTTGTCCGTCCATCAGCCGCCCGATCTGACCGCAAATCTCTCTTTCCTCTCACCGACAGATACGTATCGCTACGCATGAACATGAGACACGAAATAGAGAGAGAGATAGGGAGAGATGTCGTGTAGCATACGAAACTGCTGTGCACTAAGGGGTCCACTTCACGCAGGGGAGGCCACGCGTTTCCTTCTTCCACGTGTCGCCCTGTTGTCGTCTCCTGCCGAAACGGCCCATTTGTCGGGATCCGCTTGATGTCGTCATCATATCCCAACTGGCACAGTCACGCTTGGCGGCCTTGGCCGCCAGCCACGTGGTTATCTCGATACGTGTCGATATATCAGCCGGCCCAGCACCGGCTCGTCCGACGTGTACCGAACACGTGGGGGGGGGATTCCGTCAAAGTACTGGAACTAAATACCCACCAAAGTTCAATTATTTATTTGGAGAAAGAATCTTATCTCAACTAATACATTCCGCTGAAATAGTTAATTAGTTTAATGCCCACACCGAAATATCCATTTATTTGGATATATACTCCATATGGGCATACTGGATCGAATTATTTAAAAATCACAGAATTTTGATTCAACTCCTTCTGGAACTCTCTTTCTCTCTCTCTCTCTCTCTCTCTCTCGCTAAACTGCCTGCTCTTCCGTTGGCGGTAGGCATTGATTCGGCAGGCTTGACCTCCTCCTGATCTTGTTCACCTGCGCTTGCTCTTCGATCCGGTCTTTGTGATGCGACCGATCGAATATTCCGAATATTCTTCCTGTTTTCCTTCGAAGCGGACGATCTTGGCGATTTGCTAGGTACAATCCTGAGATTTGACGAACACCTGGTGAATCGACAAGTTTATGAGCGTTATTCGAGGATCCTCGAGGCTAATATCTGCTACCTCTGCATTTTATTTTATTTTATTCATTTTTCAGGTGCACAAAACGCCTGAAAAAATGGAACAAAATCAGGCTGGGATTCGAGATCCTGAATCTCCAAATCTCCGCGTTCAACGACAGTGGCTTCTTCGGAACCCACGGCCTCCATGGACATGTGTTCGAAGTGACCTAAGGCTTGCCTTGCAGCGTCGTCCGCTGAAATAATCATCAGTGGTGGTGCCGGCGTCTGTAGTGATATAACCTGATCGTTCATCACTGAAGCTGTAGATCTCACAGTTCCCTCGGTAGATCCCACGGTCATGTCTCAGCACAAGCATCTGAAGCATCCATCTCAGCTGAGCCGGGTGCGTTGAAGGGAAAGGAGGTTCCAAATAGGTGCACGGTTTGCAGGAAACGTTTGGGTTTGACCGGATTCATTTGGCGATGGGAGAATATGTTCTGCGTGATCCATCGGTACGCAGACAACCACGAATGCAATTTTGATTACCGGACAGCTGCTCGGGATTCGATCTCAAAAGGCGAATCCTGTCGTTGAGGCGGAAAAGATCAAGAAAATTTGAGGATTCAGTGGAAAAGGTTCACAAATTCTGATCCCTGCTCTGTCTCTCTACCCCCGGCTGATTTCATCTCTAGAACTCCATTCTGCTGATTATTTTCACCGATTCTCCCATTTATTTCCTCATTTAAACACCGAATTGTTTTTACTTCAGTCCAGAAAACCCATAGAACATAGTTCATAGTATCATTTTTTGTACGAGACATGCGTAATCTGAGGATCATCACGACTGAGTTCGAATCGGCTGCTGAATCCCTACCCTAAAAAGTAAATTATTATTGAGAATGAACTCTGGTAGTTCATTGCGCATGCCATAAGTAGCAATGCCATTGATTCTGTTTGGAAGGACACTGATGCTGTGATGGGCATATGAGCCCACCAGTCCCGGACCAGAGTAACATCCGATGATCGTCTCCATGGTTTTGGTAAGTGTTCCTGAACAGTGTTTATCTACGTCTGGCGGCTGTGAAGAGGTCAAAGCTCAGTGACTGCTTTCTCCATGGCTTCTCCAGACCATGGAAACCCGGGCATCCGTCTTGATGTATATTCCTGGTAATTTCTTCATTTATTTCGGGTAATACGAAGAACCCCACTGGAAAATTAATATGCATGATTAATATTAATCCTAACTTTTTTGGGCAGTCTCTATACGACGATATCTGAAGAGGTATGGGCCCAGAAGGCTAGAAGGCCCACTGGCCCATTAAATGCGGGCACTGGGGACAGGTAAAGGCCCATAAAAGCGCCGGCCCATGACGAAGCTATAAAGTGTATATTCCAGGGAATTTCTTCATTTATTTGGGGAAGTAATTTTTTTGGAAAATTCAGGCACATTTTTAATATTAAACCTACATTTTCTTGGCAACTCTAGATGTTGGTCTCAGAAGAGGTATGAGCCTGGAAGGTATGAAGGCCTACTCGGCCCATTAACTGTCAGAGAACGGCCCGGTGTAGCCCGTTAGCACCGGGGGCAGGTAATCCCTTTAATTGGGCTCGTAAAGGCTCATAATATCTGGGCCCAACGAAGCTAGAAAATGGATAATCGGATTATTTGATGAATAGAATACTCGCGGAAGAACAAATGAAAATCGACCAGCAACAGGAGGGAGAAAATAATGGGGGTGAGGAGAGAGAGAGAGAGGGAGAGAGGGAGAGAGAGATAGAGGAGCGATCGGGGGAGAGTCTTCTTCTTCTTCGGCTTCTTCTGCTTCTTCTGTTTGGTCGTCGCTACTGAAAGTAGAAGGCGAAGAGGGAGATGAGGGAGGCGGCGAGGAGGGGGCCGATGGCCGGCGCGACGGCGGAGGAGCCGCTGGTGGGGGCCGGCGCCGGCGCGGGGAAGTCGGCGGCGGCGGCGGCGGAGATGGAGGCGGCGGCGGCGAGGGCAACGCAGGCGATCTTCCTCATCTCCATTGTCGGAAGGTGGAAGGGTTTTGTGAAGCCTGAGAAACTAGCCGTTGGCAGAGGAATGGGAGGCTCGTGGATTCCTCTCTCTCTCTCTCTCTATCGCCGAGGGCTTGAGGAAGAGGAAGGGGGAAGGGAGGGGTCTTATAGGGTCACCGTGGCCAGCTGGTTGACCCCTCCGCCACGATTTAGATTCCCCAAGAATAGCTTTTTGGCCTTTTTTAGGGTCCTCTCCCTCGACATGGTTGGTGGCTTCCGTCCGTGTGTTCCTGGAAAGATACACGGAGAGAGAGAGAGAGAGAGGAAGGGGGGGGGAGATTTACGTGCCAAATAATATGCATGCGTGTGTTGGGGGGGTGTGAATATCTGTCCAAATGGGAGCTGGCGAATGCTGGCGAATGCTGGCGAGGGTACAGCTGGAGAGATGATTGCGGGTTCGATGCGGATGGGCCAAATAATTTGATATTCCCACGCCGGCGGCCGACCAGGTTTGCCCTGGGCTGGATGAACCCCTCTCGGACCAATCAACGCCGCCCTTTTTGTCGTGCCGTAATGAATCAGATCCTCGATGGGCGGCTGCGATACGGCTGTCCAAGGTGTCGCCTTTTTCATGAATCATCCACCGAAGCTCGAGCGACCATAAAATGCATGACGCTGAAAAAACTCAAAATTATATATATATATTAATTATAAAGGCATTTTAATTTGGATAAATTAATCGCTGATATTTTCCTAGTGTTTTATTTTTATCGATATTTTAAAACACAGTGACAACACTTTTCCACATCTACTTATTCCGGTCGTTTTTAAGATGGGCCAAAGTCTAGTAAAACTGGTTGTCGAAACCTGTGGATATGCAGTGTGGGCTGTTAATGGGCCTACGGAGCCCATTTCAGGTCTCCAGCTTTTTTTTACTATATGGAATTATTTTCTGTGTTCCCATTTTTTAGTCTATTTATTAGCATTATTTTGAAAAGGCCGCCTAACTATCGGACATATATACTATTTTTTCATATTTTCAAATATGCGATCAATTTTTCTAGGCTCGTGTAGAGTAAAATATGCTGAATTTCAGTCAAACTTCGAGAGACATACCTTGACCGTCGGTAGTCACCATAGGATGACTGAGCTCCGAGACTGTTGGACGAGGCAGCTGACCGGTTCCAGATTAGGTTGGCTGAGCCGGCCCAAGCTCAAGGCCCGGTTAGGCCCGTAAGCGGTGTTTACGGTCCGGTAGGGAGTCCCCGACATCGGGAGGCGTATGAATGAGTAGGAAAACAGCTGCTGGATATCCTTGACCGCCTGTGGGCACGGATCGAACGGTGGAGACGCGAGATTGGAATATTTGGGTGGACCCCAGAGGAGGGCTCACTGGGCGATCCATTCCATGCAGTTTTCTGACACTATGATGCTCCCCCTGCGCGCCCGCGACTCCTCACTCAGCCTTCCTCAGCAAGCTGCTATCTCCTTCCATCTCTTCCCTCTCTCCCTCTCTCCCTCTGCAGAATCCGTGGAGAAAGTGAACTCCGGGAGTGGAGTGGGGAGTAGCAGAGGAATTCCAGGATGTTCTACTCGCACCAGCTCCTCGCGAGGAAGGCGCCTCTCGGGCAGATATGGTGACTTCTCTGCCCTTGCTGCGTTCTTCGATCGATCTACTGAAAGTATCCTAGGGGAGATGAAGATGACGGCGGGGTTTCAGGATGGCGGCGACGATGCACGCGAGGATAAATCGTAGGAAGCTAAGCAAGCTCAATATCATCAAGATTTGGTGAGCTCCACCCTCACACTGCTGCTCTGCTTCGTCTCCTCTGTCCGTGTTCATATCTCTGCTTGTCTCTGTTGATGTTGTTTATGCTCCTCGTCTTGCTTCTGGCCTTTCGCAGTGAGGAGATACTGAACCCTTCCGTTCCGATGGCCCTCAGACTCTCCGGAATACTCATGGGTGAGATGGCCTCTCTCTCTCTCTCTCTCTCTCGTTTGCATCATTCCACTTGAACTGTCTCTTCTCTCTTCTACTATCTCAGGAGGCGTAGTGATTGTTTACGAGAGGAAGGTTAAGCTTCTCTACGGTTCGCTTCCGCTAAGCTTCACACTCAAGTTTTACAACCTGATCCGAGAATTGCAGTTACTAACGCGATTTTCTTCGTGCTGTTGTCCGCAGATGACGTCTCGCGTCTTCTGGTGAATCTCCTAGGCAGCCAGCCCCGCTCAGTTCTTAGATGTTTCAATTCCGTTGCAATTTTTTGTTCCGCTGCTTTCTCGTAGCTCCGTTGTTTTCGCTAGCATTCATCTCTTTCTCCACTCAGAACTGTTCTTAGAGCTGCTAATTCCTCAGGTGGAGATCAACGAAGCATGGAAGGTGAAGTCCGTCTCAGATCCCACCGTCCTCCCCAGGGGGAAAACCCAAGCTAGGTACCTTCCAAACCACATTCCCCCATCAGATTTCCATGTTTCGATCCATCCACACAATTGAGGAACGCCGGAAACGGTACCTCCATGCCTTGCAACGATCTACCGGAAACATCCGGAAATGCGGGGGACTCCGTAGTCGGCTCGATCGACGTGATCCTCTCGCAATGTATCGGTGATTCTGCTCTAGGGTGGAGTGGAATTAGCAGTCTGCCGATCGACGCCGCAGACGGTGCTCTGCGTTTCTCCTCCCTCGACCTTGGTCCTCCTTGAGCGCGGCATCATCGCCCATGGAGATTTGATGGCGACGCTCTCGCTCGCAGGTACGAGGCCGTTACGCTGCCAGACAACGACGACTTGGAAATCGAGCGCTCCATGTCCTTCGCGACGGAGGGATTCCCCCAGAAGGGTTTTCGCATGGTATTTATATTTGCTACTTGTCCGATCCATTCAAAGGGGAAAACTCCACCGAAAACTCAGTACTTTCTATATATCCTCTCTCAGTTCATGAAATGAACGGCTGTGATTTCTTTACTAAATTGGTAGGATCGTAGATATCCGCTTCCACGTGTCATAATCAGGAGCATCCACGTGGTATATTGGATGGAACTCACGAGGTTGGATGCCTAACAATATTTATATCCACTTCGAATGCAGCAACTGGACGACTTGGAAGAACATTACATCAACGTCGACCCTGGCGATGGCGGTTCTTCCGAGCAGCTCCACCAAGGTCACTCGACGCGTCAAATTTGGAAGAATTGTTCGATCAAAGAACGCTTCGTTATCGACTAACCTAGATCATTTTTTTTTTCTCTGAATCTTGCAGCTGATGCAGCGAACATCACCTTGCTTGACGATCTCGATTCATTGTACGAGCAGGGGGATGTTCACAGGAGATTCGAGAGGTGATCTAGGAATCTTTGTGTAATTTCTGAGGCTAGAGACAGTTTATTCATGATCCAGATCACTGCTCTGCTCTCCGCACCTCGACAGGTTCGATATCGAAGGAGATGACGATACACAGATCAGCATTACTCCGATGGACGAGAGAACAGCGGATCCGACCACCCTCCGAAGTTACTCCCCGCCGTCTGCGCATCCCTCAGGAGGAGCTGATGGAACAGGGGATCACTGCGTGGAAGAGCCGGGAAATCTCCCTGCGGAGGGACGGCAGACCGGACAGCGCGAAATCGAGTCTCCGGGGGTAGCGCAAACCTCTTAGTTTTACCTCTTTGGAAGTTGATTGATAGAGCACAGAAAGTGAGGAAGCTTCTCCAGGTTTAACTCGTAGCTTTGTAACAGTCCCGTGAAGATCCAAACAAGCGTCGGCCAGCCAAGCGGAAGGAGAGGTCTCAATTTCCTCGACTCGCCATGGATAATGGCCTTCTCATCATTCAAGCGGATACCTACCAGACCTGGCTCCATGATACGTCCGACATCCTCTCGAAGAGGCCGAGGCAGACGAAGGTTTCTCGCACTAAACCCATACCTCCTGGGTGTTAATCGTCCTACTATTTTGTCATCTTGCTCTTTTTCCACTCATCCGTGTGATTAACATAATCTTGCAGCAGAATAATCCCATTGCTTCGATGAAGATAAGCAACCTCATGGATCTCCCTCCCGTGGCTCTCATGTCAGGTTTAGATAAAACTACTCGTCAAATACATTACCCTGAGCCGCTTCTGAGTCTGTGGAAGAGATGCTCAGAGGATGAGAAGAATTCCCCTCGTAGCAGATCTCCAGGTATACGAATTTTCCCAACTGTGATACCTTCTTTGACTCAAATACGAAGAGCTAAGAGGAAAGAGTATACAACCCTTTTTTTCGTGGTTCAGAGGGAGGACCACCACACAGGCCAGGAGATACACCGTCACACTCGAGAACGGGAGGATTAGTTTCTCAGGATGTTGTTAGATCTGTTTACCCCTTATTATTGTAAGAAATCTCTTGCTATCGGGAAAATGGGATTTTCTTACATCTGATTCTTCTATGCGAAGGGTTTCGAGGATCTTGGCAACGAAACGGGGTCTCGGACATTCGATGCCTCCATTGAGAAACTGAGAGCCAACCTGGGGAATATGGACTTCCAAGGAGTTGGGGAGACGCTTGCAACGGATGTGTTTGCCACTCCAGGCAGCCCTGGTAAAAATAAACCTACATTTTCTACGCGCAGTTCCCAGAGTTGGTGATATTGATGTAAAACAACGAGGGACGTTGACTTTGACTCTGCAGGACCGAGTGCTAGATCTGCCCCAGGCTCTGGTTCAAGGCACAGTTTTCTTCCCCTGGAACCAGAAATCCGACTTGCTTCTGGAAGGTCAGTAAAGATTTAGGATTTCTTTTGGCAAAGATTATTTTATAAAGCTATAATAACATCAGAGTAAAACCAAATATTTCATTGTACATACTAATTCGGGGTGTAAATAGCAGCATAGACCCTCGAGTCTAATATGTTATAATTTTGGATCTCAAGATATTCTATCGTGAAAAATATGATCTTGCCTGTTCAGTGCAGAACTTAAATATGAGTTGACTTTGGAACAGAGAATTTGTTTTCTCATCGCGTGGGATCTCAAAATCTTCGACAGAGCAGATCTTACTTCTCTCTCTCACTCTCTCTGTAAGGCGAAGCCGTTACAATAGATTCACACGGGGGTCCGTCTTCGAAGCAAAATCTTGGGCTTTTCTGTCGGCTTTTACAGTGGATGTGGGTCTTTTAAACGTCGTGGTGGCTTTCAGCTGGGCTTGGCATGGTAGAGATCAAGCCTGGCTCCTTGACCCATCGACTGATTAATTTTTTCATAAATAGAAATATGAACACACCGAACATTTAAATTTTTCTCTTATATATTTACTTTTTCGAGAAAGTTCCATTGTATGGATCTAGAAGCATTTTGAACAACGGTGGGATTTCAGTCGATTTTACTTTATTTGGTGGCCTTGTTTGGAAAAATTAGTTGAAAAGCTAGCTTGGGTTGTTTAATAAAGCTTAAATTATACTTGCAGCAGATCAAAGAAGAGGCATCACTCATCTTCCAATAACAGCTTGAGAAGTCTTGATCCAGTTGAAGAAGATGCGCCCTTCGGGGCAGACATGGGGGACATCAAGCTCCGGAAGGTCTCTGAGAAAGGTCTAACCCCTGATTTCGGTACGTAGCAGTCTAGCCGTTGACTTGAATTCCTCTGTTAAATCCATAAATAATAACAGCCACATAATGTAATATTTTCGAGAAATATTTTGCTTCTTACGGAGCTAGCAATTTGACAAAAAGCATATGATTTCCGAGGTCAACGCGTTAAGATGCCTTCCATGAATCATATAACGCGACCAGCCCCAACCTGTAGCAATTAATGATAACATAGTGCCATCTAGAGCTGTTGAAGGGTAAGCTCGAGACTCCCCTGGCCCGACTCAATTTCTTCAAGCACACAAAGAAGACTAAGCCTGACCTAGCCTCTCTCTCTCTCTCTCTCTTGGAGAGGTGGATTTCAAAAGGGGGTCCGGCCCAGAGGCCATTATCTGGGCTTGGGTCTATCTCAGTCATTGATATACCGTTGAGCATCCTGACTTGTCCTTTACTTTAGATTTCAACAGCCCGGAGCTCCTGGAGGAAACTGCACCCGCACAGACCCCACAGCCAGCGATCTCCGAGCCCACCGTGGACAAAGTCACCGAATCTATCCGAACGTGAGTTACGAATCATTATCTCCACGCTTTTACCATCTCGCGGCATTCCTCTTGGTGAGCATCAAATCCCACATTTCTCTCTCTCTCTCTCCCTCTCTTTCCCATTTTGATGTGCAGGCACCTCAAGACACATTTTGAGACGCCCGGAGCTCCCCAGTTTGAGTCGCTGAACATGCTGGCGTTGGGGATGAACAGGAAGAAAGCTTCTCAGCTTTTCTACCAGACTTGCGGTACCCTCTCTCTCTCTCTCTCTCTATCTCCCGGAGTTTTTACTAGCTTTCGTCCTTATCTGTTATGGAAGAAAATGCCTGACTCTGCCTGGCCAAAATCTTCTTCTGGGTCTAAACTCTCTCTCTCTAGGAACAAGTGGGAAAAAACGGGCCGCGTCTGGCCCGAGAGGCAGTGGTGCCAAAGGGCCGGGCTCGGAGAGTAGGCGATGGGCCCATTTGTGTGGTCCATGTCACTCTGTGGGCCACCACCGGCCGCATCCTCTAACGGTATCCTCTCCTCTCCTCTCCACAGTTCTTGCTACCTGCGACTTCGTGAAGGTCGAGCAGGAGGTTCCTTACGGCGACATCGCCATCTCGAGGGGCGCCAAGATGTGAAGAACGACGATCACGACGATCTTATCTCTCTTCTCCGTATTATTTACCTTCGCATATTGCTCTGGCCTACGCCGAAGATCCAAAACCGCTGGTCATTCCCTTTTAAAGAAAATATCTACAGATATTTCGACGCGAAAGTGAAATCCTCCTCCCCCCTCTCTGTCTCTCTCTATCTCTTATTTTCTCAAATGGGTATGATCGGCTCAGATTTCCAGGTTTTTGGGAGACAAGCATGGAACAACGAACAGGTAAAAGCATAATATATTATAACATCAAGAACCCTAGGTTTTACCTTCCTGAGGGTACTAACACTTTCTGTCATATCTGTCGCAGAGCTTCGTTGTAGAGGACCGACTCACTTTGTCTCCTCGCCTCATCATCCCCTTCCTTGACCGGGGGCCTCTGCACCTCCCTCCTGGGGATGGTTATGATCAGAACCCCCTTTCTTACGGTGGCGTGCATCAGATCTTCCTCAGCGTCGTCAGGCAGCGGGATCCGGCGGCGGAACCTGCGGACGCTGTTCTCGGCATCGCCCCATCTCCGGTCCTTCCCGGTAAGCACCGTCCTGTGCTCCCCCCACACTTGAAGGATCCCTTCCTCCGCCTCCACCTTGAGCTTCACCTCCTCTTCGCTCAGTCCCCGCAGATCGGCCTTCAAGATGTGGTTCTCCGCCGTTTCCTCAGATCTGATTCGAGCGTCGGCGAACGCCGGCCGCCGCGGGGCCCTCTGCGAGGGGGAGAAGAGCGAGGAGCCGATGGAGAAGCCATCGAGCATGCTCCACGCGCTGGGGGACGAGAGGCAGGCAACGTCCTCCCTCCCGCTGCGGCCGAACAAGCTCTGGATCACCGGCATCTCTCTCCCGCAGATCTTCTTCCACAACTCTCGCGGCCTCTGTGCAGGTAAGAACTCTTATCCTCTTTTCTCTCACTTCTGCTGTTGCTAGAACGTTCTGGGGGGTCATGTAAGTGCCACATCTCGCAACGTGATACGCGATGGGATCCATCGATGGTGACGGCCACTTTCAGGGCAAAAAAAGAAAAGAAAGGAAGTTGGTAACATAAAAAACTAGTCGGTCTTATTTTTATGAATATACTTTTTAAATTAATAATCTGCTTTTGCTTCTTCAAGGTTTTACAGCCAAAGATTTCTGGGACGAGAAGCGAATATCCTTCTCAGGGATGAAACTCATAGATTCTGTGGGGTCCACTAAGTCGACTGAAACCGGAGGATCGGACTCCGAGAATGGTGGAAAAGGGCACGAGATATTTATTTCTTCGAAGAACTCAACGAAAAAAATATATTAATCACTTAAATTGGAATAAAATAAATTAGAATGAGAAATAAATAGAGGCTGGAGGGTTTGAACTTCTCCAGGTTCCCCAAGTCACTTTTGTCTCATGATCTGGCCTAAGAGAGAGGAGGTTATACGCTTTCTGAGGAGATTAAGAGATCTCGATGAGAGGTGAGGGGCAAGTTCGTGCTAAGTTCGTGCACGGATCAAGCGGATGTTGGGCGAAAGCAACACAACTTGAAACGCGGAGATCTCTGGATTAGATGGCTTGCTTCTTTGTACACAAGGCGTCGGGGTAGAGAGAGCGGAGAAGATTAGTCGACCAGTGGGACCGAGTGCGTGAAGTCGGACCGCTGACCCCGCCGGAGATCTCGATGGTCTTGATCTTCGGCTTCTTCACCTGCTCCTTGGGGACGGTGACGATCAGAACGCCGTTCTCCATGGACTCCCTCACCAAATCCGCCTTGGCATTCTCGGGGAGCCGGAACCGTCTCAGGAACCCGCCGCTGGTCCTCTCCACGCGGTGCCATGTTTCGTTCTTCTCCTCCTCCTCCTCCTCCTCCTTGCTCCTCCGCCCGCTGATCTGCATAATGCGGCCATCCTCCACCTGCACCTTCACCTCCTCCTTCTTCACCCCAGGGAGATCCGCGGTGAAGACGTGAGCCTCAGGAGTCTCCTTCCAGTCCACGCGGGCCCTGGCAAAGGTATCGGAGTCCCATCCATGGAGTGGCCAGGAGAGTGAACTATTGTCGAAGGGGAATACCTGGAAAGGATCCCAGATGTCCAGAGAAAATGGACGCTGCTGCTGCGGTCGCCGAAGAAGGCCGGGATCAGCGACATCTACTCGCGGGAATCGTAAGAAGACGGTGGAAAGTCGCGACGATTCGCTAGCGCCTGACGTCTCGAATGATCCAGCTAATGTGGCTTGCAGGTAATCACTCAGAGATGGGAGGAGGAGATACCTTTTGTAGAGACAGTTAGACCGCTCCTATGAAATGGCGGGAATATTGTAGAGCACCAACGTCTTCGATCCGTTCTCTCTGGATGTTTGGGATCCTCTCCAGGGATTCCCCTTCGGCAACGGCAACAGTAGCAGCGACAGCAACTCCCTCTCCGTCCGCCGCGTGTGGGACCCCGAGACCTCCGTCTTCGCCGGCACCCACGTCGACTGGAAGGAGACTCCGGATGCACACATCTTCACCGCCGACCTCCCGGGGGTTAAGAGGGAGGAGGTGAAGGTGGAGGTGGAGGAAGGTCGCATCCTTCGGATCAGCGGCCAGAGGAGCAAGGAGAAGGAGGACAAGAACGAAACGTGGCACCGCGTGGAGAGGAGCAGCGGGGGGTTCCTGAGACGGTTCCGGCTCCCGGAGAATGCCAAGGCGGATCTGGTGCTGGCGTCCATGGAGAACGGGGTGCTGACCGTGACCATCCGCAAGGTGGAAGGGAAGAAGCCGGAAGTCGTCAAGGCAATCGAGATCTCAGGCTGAGTCAGAGGTCCTGCTTCATGCTCTATGCACTTCCCTTCGGGGTTCAACACTGCTCGGTAGCTCCCTCCTGATTCTGTCAAATCTACAGTTCCTGCGAATTGACGAGTGAAGGACTCCCTTCTACGAACTCAGGCATTGTGTGAATACGAATAATAAAGCAGCATATTCGAGATCTCAGCGCATTCATCTCCCATTCCCTTTTGTTCTCGCCCGGTTCTTCCTGTTCGAAAGTTGATTCGCTGCTAATCTCTCTCTCTGCGGAATCTGAGAAACTTTTACCTCTTCTATCTCCAGTAGGACATCGTAACCACGTGCTCCGACGCGCTGGGCCATCGGGAGAGGGTACTAGCATGGAATTCACGTTCACCTCCGTCACAAGTCCGTTCCGGGCAGCAAGACACAGGTATTTGAATTTTCAATAATCAAGACCGACTGCCGGATGTACTTACTCCACATTATGCTATTAAACATTCGGTTCGGCTCAGCCGATCGCCATCTCCTTACATTTTCTGTTAGTAGACAGAGACCTTTTCCCCCTTTTTCAAGAACCGCGACGCCAACTTCGATGAACTCTGATGCCAACGTAGAGACCTCGAGGCTGTTTAGAGATGTGCCAAATGAGGATTAAAACGGAGAAGGCGCGAAATCCAAGCATGGCGGTTAATCAGGAATCCACGTAGAGGAATGCACAAAAATGTAAATATTTTAATTTCATATTCTTCAGGGCCTTCATTCTCCGCACCCTCTAAAATGCGCTAAATTTGATTTCTCCATTAATATTAATTCCTTCTAGTAATTTTATACTCGTTTGTAAAAGACGATAATACCCTCCTTATTGACTTCGGGAGATAGTGTTAGCTCTCAGCTTAATATCGAGGAGGAACGGTCCTGAAATTATATGATAGGTACCCGAAATAAACCGTGGGTAATTTTTTTCATTTATGGAATATTAAAAATGCGCAATTGTAAAATAAAATCATTTATATTAGACTCAAAAAATACTTTCTAAATGTTTAATCTCGCTAGCATCATTTAAGCGTACACATTTCATTTTCTATGTGCACCGAAAATAGATTCCATAAGATACGTAAATTATAATGTATCATCTTTCTGATAAAGCATCACTCATTTATTCCAATAAACATGTAAATTATGCTGATCAAATGAGCTTATTTTATATATTTCGAGATCATGTGCTGATTTTATCTTACTTTCTGCGTTCGAAAATGTTAAATGATTATTTCGAAATTTTCACATCACCTTATTGTAGTTTAGAGAGAGAGAGAGAGAGAGATTGATGCCGTTGCTCTTCAACATGGGTTGGAGGGTGCTTTTGACCATTCACATGTGTATGTTTAACCTGGAAAATAAGAAAATTTTAGGGATTTATCGGACTCATTAAAATGGAGGCTTCATCAATAGCTTCACGCATTTTAGGAACTTAAAACCGGGGATCAATTCACTGAATAATTTTATTATTTTTTCAAATCCTGATCTACGTGGGAATCCTAATCTTCAGAAGCTTAATATCATTAAACCCTACCTCTAATTCCGATCCAGCTTTATCAATATCTTCTTTAATTCCTATGAACTTAAGACCGGCGACTAATGGACCAAATACTTTTTTTTTTTCAAATTATGATCTTGTGGGAATCTTAATATTCAAAAGTTTAAGATTACTAAACCCTAATTCTAATTCCGATCCAGCTTCATCAATATCTTCTCTAATTCCTATGAACTTAAAACCGGGGATTAATTAACTAAATAATTTTATTATTTTTTTAAAATTATGATCTATGTGGGAATTCTAATATTCAAAAGGATAAGATTATTAAACCCTAACTCTAATTCCGATCCAGCTTCATCAATACCTTCTCAAATTCCTAGGAACATCACCGGGGATTATTGCACTAATTAATATATATTTTCAAATCATGATCTATGTGGGAATGCTAATCTTTAGAACCTTAATATTATTAAACCCTGATTCTTATTCGGATCGGGTCTTTAGTGCTAAGGCTATTTGTTTTGATCTTACAGGGCCAGAGGGGAGCATCATGGGGCTGCACTAGTCTCGGGGAGGTGTGGCGGCCCGTGGAAGGAGCCCGCTTGGAAGCGCCTGGAGAGCTTCCGGTTCACCCCCTTCGCCGCCGTCTCCCGCCGCCCGCCTCTGAGCCCCTCTCCAAGGCCCCCTATCTCGCTCGACTCCTCTCCCTCCTCCGCGTTCTTTCAGAATCTGACCATCGAGCTCTTGCCCTAGTGAACATTTTCTCCTCTCGTGTTCTCTCTCCCTTTGGATTCTCTCAGCTTCTGATCTCTTTCTTCCCCTTCTCTCTCTCTACCTCTTCCTCCCCCTTCACTTCCAGCCTCTGATAACCGAAGTAACCTTCTTCCCTGTTATCTTAATTTAATTTCCTGTCTGAATCCCCCATCCCCCCCGCCCCCACCATTTTTCTGTTTCTCTCTCTCTCTCTCTTTCTGCTCCTGTTCATTCCTCATTTCTCTGCTCCGAGATTGAGTCGGTTGAACAAAACCGACTCAATTTGATCCGCAACCGGAGCTGCTCTAGGCGCATAAAAGAAATAAAGTAGCCCATTGCTGTTCTCTCTCTCTCTCTCTCTCTCTCTCTCTCTCTCTCTCTCTCTCTGCGCGCAGCAAATCTCTTAGCTTGCTCATGGGGAAGACGGACCGAAAAGATGGCCAAAAAAAATCGACGAGGAAACCGAGGGACTCTTCTCTCTCGCCCTCAGCCTCTTCTTCTGGAGGTGAAGACAACGATGGCGGCAGCCGGACTGAAGAAGAGGATGATTCGGGGAGCGACTCTCCCTCTCTGAGGAGGGGTAGCAGCAGCAGGCGGAAGGATGACAGCAAGACGAGAAGGCATAGAAGCAGTAGCAGCAGAAGGAGCGGCCGGAGTAGCTCATCTCGGCGGCGACGGAGGCACCTTAGTGAAGATGAATCGGACGAATCTCAGTCTCACTCGGACAAGGACAGCTCAGATGATCACCGTACAAGGAAGAGTGGTGACAATAGTAACAAGAGGAAGAGGTCTTCTAGGGAGATAACCGAAGAGAAGATCCAGGAGTACCTCTCCAAGAAGGCTCAGAAGAAAGTAAGGCGGGATGTTCATCTCGTGTTCTTTCTGGGTTTTCCAATTAGGGATTCAAACTCTCACTCTTTTTATTCCTTTTTCTTCAGGCCATAAAAGTTGCAAAGATATTGAAGTCCCAAGCGGTGTCAGGCTATTCCAATGATTCGAACCCGTTTGGTGACGCAAATCTCACTGAGAAGTAAGCTCGATTTTTACTTTTTTAACGCTCTTTCCTGTTGATCTTGGAATGATCAACCTAATTAACTGTACGAAAAGTTCTCATTGCAGCTTCCTTATTCTTTTTCCTCTGCTTATTTTCAAAAAAAGAAGAAAACAGAGGAATACACCTCCTTTGGCATGTTAGATGACATGCTGACTTATTGCTCAATTGCTCATTTGCTGTTAATATAATGAATTGGTTGATTTTTTAAGCACGATTGCTTCCATGTTACGCATTGTTTTGTTATCCTCATGCAAAATTTTCAGGTTTGTGTGGCGGAAAAAGATAGAGCATGATGTTTCTAGAGGCTTATCTCTCGACATGCTGTCTGTCAAAGCTGAAAAAAAGAGGCAACAGGAAAGAATGGTATGCAGATGGCATAAAAAATTCGAAACTTTTATTTACCTTTATTTTTCCCCTTTTTTTCCTCTCTTACAAGCTGATTCTGTCTATCCTCTCTCTTGATTTCAATTGATTCCACCTAGGAAATTTACATGTAATGATATGTTTCTGTAACGTCTTTGATATTCTTGTCCTCTGTGATACTTGTGCTCAACTCATCGTCTACATGAATTTTTGGTATATCCGAATTGAATCTGGCTCCTATTTTCTTTTATTCTGAATTGACGAATATTAAAGACTTAACCTCTTGCATTCATGAAGACTTTCGCTTCCTTCAATCCAGTGTTGAGCATTGTGCTTCAATCGTGAAGGGATTGTCTAAAATATTAAGTTGATGGCTTGTAACTGCATGTAACGCTGTTTGCATGTAACACTCCTACTTTCTTTTATTCTGAAATTGACAGAGATGCTGCTGTCAATTTCCAGCCATTAATTTAGATTCTGTTTGAAGTAATCTGTCCCATACAATTGGGAGAGGCTTCCACTTCTTGAATACTGAGTTGGCAGATTATGCATTGAGGTTTTCGAGCACTTCATTAAACTTGGTTGCATGGTCTAGCGGGCTTGTTCTAGATGAAAGTACTGAATCATTTTTGATTACTCACTTTGGGTAAGATGGCATCTACAAAGCAGTTGGAGTTGATAGCAACCACCTTCAGTCCATCAGAAGATCTGAGTTTGGAAAAGAAGAGAGAAGTGAGGATATCTCCATACGGACTATTTTTATGAATGTGGTCAGGGGCTACTTTGGGAAGATTTTAAGTTTCCATCTCCGTTTTACCCTCCATGCTTCCAGCCATTTCCTTTCCCCTCCAGTCACTTAACCTAATGGCATGGGTTCTTTGATTTTCCTTTCGTGTGAATCTTCAAAATTTCTTCTACAAGATTGGCGAAATGGCTAGGCTCACAAGCACGACCTCATAATGTAGTGACTTGAAAACTGGCTTCTTCTACATAGTCAGATTCCTTTGTGTAGCTCAGTTTCTTGCTCCTATTTTCTTTCAGATACTGTGACAAATTTGAATCAATGTAACTAAGGTTTTTGTCTAGGACCGTTTATGAAATTAGTCATACACGTAAGATCATCAAATGGTGAGGGATCTAATATATTTTGAAATTTTCCTCATATTTTTTTGAAACTTTGACTTTTTTTTTCTGTAGTATATGAATGAACATATTACAAGTTCGACTGGAAGATTGAATATGTATATTCCAATGGTCTGCCATTTTTTGCTAAGCAGATGTTTTGGCAATTAGAATTATTTGCTTTTCTTCATGTATGTTGTACTTGGGGTGACTGCGCTAGCTGTTCTGATGAACACAACAAAACTTTTTGATCGGGATTAGAGATATTAATGTTATCAAACAGGATTGACCAATTCCCTCCATAATTTCTTGTCTTTTAAAGTTGGCTGTGTCATGAAGATCTGGAGAGCGATTTTGTGGTGGGAATGTCAGTTCATGCCTAATGTTTAGGATGATTACACACTCAGTCTTGAAGGACTACTGAATTTGGTTTCGATTATGAATTGGCTGAAAAGGAAGATGGGAGCTAGATACAGGGATTTATTTAATGTATAAATGTGAATGGATTTGTGTAGGTATATTAGTATATTGGGTTTATGACTATTATCACTCAATTCGAATTCTACTTTTTCATTTTTTTTCCACTTTCTTATATGGGATTTCGTTCTTCCCGTTGAATTCTCTCTGCTATCTTTCCTTTTTAAAAGTAATTTTATTTTATTTTTTATTTTTTTCCTTGCATCATTTTTTAGTTTCCGTGCTTTTATTCTTATCTGGGAATTTCTGTTCTTTTACATTTGTCATTACCTCAGACAAATACGGACTCAAGCTATTATTATTAAGTTGAAGTTGATTATTTTTTCAATTGCAACCGTTGCTTAAAAAAATTATGATAGTGGTGTGGTATACGAGAGAAAAAAGCTTCTTTGTAGGATTGACTCTGAAATATTAATTTGGTTTGCGTACTCTGTCTTCTGTTTGGGCAAGATTAGGACGCTGTTCACCTTGTCACAACCCACTCATTGATGTTTATGAGATGCAAATTTTTGGATTTATCTGACCTTAATTTATTTTCTGATTTGTTAATCGTCTTTCTTTCATTGCTTATCTCCATTTTTCAGGCAGAAATCGAAAAGGTTAAAAAAAGAAGAGCTGAAAGAGCAATTGAGAAGGCACAGCATGAAGAGGAAATGGTGGGTTTCATGTGCCACTTTTCACTCGGTGTTCAATCGGAGAAGGAGAGTTTGATTTTATTGATCGTGAAATATATGATGCAGGCAATTCTAGCTAGAGAGCGTGCAAGAGCGGAGTTTCAGGATTGGGAGAAGAAGGAGGAGGAGGTTAGGAATACTGCGCTCTGAGCTTCTATTGTTATAATTTCGTTTTCCTTGGATTTTTTGTCTGTTGTTTTTGCATTCAGTTTGTTTGTGATCCTCATTTCTCATTTTTCCGTAACAGTTCCATTTTGAGCAAAGCAAAATTAGGTCAGAGATTAGATTACGAGAGGGTCGTACCAAGCCAATCGATATTCTGTCAAAGAACCTCAATGTTTCAGACGATTTTGATGTTGAAATCAATGAACCTTACACAGTATTCAAGGTATATCTCTTGTTGTTGGTTGTTACATTTTCTGTTGTAACGTTATAATTTTTTTGTATTCAATTCATTACATCTGAGGCATTGCATGGAATCAGGTTAAATCATTGACCATCAGAAACAAAAATTCAAATCGCGTAAAACTTGCAAGACTGGATACTCTCTGAGAGTCTGGAAACCGACTCAGATTGATTTAGAATGAGCTAAATTTCAGGTTCTGAGTTAATTAAAGGCTAGTAAAATGATTAAAAGACCTACCTTATTCAAGAATGATGTGAAATTCATTTCAGCAGCAAATCCTCTATTTTCTGGCGTGAGAAAGAAAACAAAATGGAGGATATAAAGAATGCTTATAACTTCATCGTTTAGAAGGTAAACACATGCATGTAAAGAATGGGACAAGTAAATGTAGTAACTGAAATCGGGGTATGGATCTCTTAAGCATTAAATCAAAATAAGAATTGGGGATTGCCTGAGGAATAAATGGAAGAGTATATATGGGTAATTTTTTTGAATCCTTGTAGAAGTCAGTGGAATGATTAAAATCATCTTCAATATTATTGTGGTTATCTTCCAAATATTTGAGTCTCTGGTGATGCAAGGCTTAATCTTTCAACAATTGTATTTTCTGCGGCTGCAGTGCTGGGGACCTTTTCTTCCAATCACATCAATTTTATCTTCAGTAATATGGTGTCTAGTCTTTCTTGTGACTCCTTAAGCTCATCTGGAAGAGTATATATGGGTGATTTTTGAATCCTCACAGAAGACAGTGGAATGATTAAAAATAATCTTCCATATTATTGTGGTTACCTTCCTAACATTTGGGTCTCTGGCGATGCATGGCTCAATCTTTCAACAATTGCATTTTGTGCGGCTGCAGTGCTGGAGATATTTTCTTTCAATCAGATTAATTTAATCTTCAATAATATGGTGTCTAGTCTTTCTTGCGACTCCTTAAGCTCATATGTGTAGAACTCCTACTGTTTTCAGGCATGAAAACTTTTTGGTGGTTAGGATCTTTATTTTTGTTTCAATTTGATCAAATGGTGAAAAGGAATTTTATGCAAAGAAGGTGGTTATTCTAACATGCTGGGGACTGAATTTATGGTTTAATGTACAGCATTATGATGTAGATTACTGCTCTTATATGGCTTTTTTAAGAGCTGATTCAACATCATATACCCGTATGCTCTTTTTTTCATAAGCTGAAGATATATTTATCATTTTTCTCTTTTCTGGGGAATGAGTTGATTGATGCTTGATTTAAATTGACTATTTTTTGAAGTTTGAATGTTTTTTGTGCTACACCAGGGTCTGACTGTAAAGGAGATGGAAGAGCTTCATGATGACATAAGAATGCATTTGGATCTTGATAGAGCAACACCCACTCATATTCAGTTCTGGGAGGTCTTGATTCAGTCTTCATCTTGTTAATAATTTATTTTTTTAACCTGAAGTGCTTTGTGTTCAGTTGGTACTCCAACCTTCCTTCATCAATTTCACTGCCTTATCTTATATTAGAGTCTCAGTTTTTCAGCAATTACTATGATTTTTCCTCATAACGTTTAAATTGGAAATCGCAGTATTTGTTCTGTATGGATGCTGTAGATTGAAGTTGTTACCATTATGATGCATTCGTCTCTTTATGGATTCTCTCTTCCTCAGCCTTTCTGTTGAACTTGAAGATTGACAGTCTTTTAGGCGTTCGGAGGCGTTTTCTCCTATATGTATTTATCTGTCTGACTGCTTTGTGGGTCTAAAGTAGACCCTGTTTCTTTCTTCTTGTACTTGTTTCGATTGTAGCATCTTTATCTCTTGCCTTTTGTTGTGAGAGTGTCCTTGTGAAGGTTTCTGAAAATTCAATTGTAACTGTCGAAAATTTTCAAATCAACGTCCTCCTCTCCCTGCTGATGGATTGACTGTTCTTTAATGCATAACTTCATTTCATGTATCGTTTGCTGGACTGCTAAATTGTCACTGAGAAATTCTCACTTCTTTTCCCCATCGTAGATGCAAAAAGGTGCATGCTTGGTTGTACAGTTCATCTGCCATTTTCTTTATTCAGTAGATCTTATACTTGCGCATCCCGTTGATCACCATTGAAATGTAACGGAATAAAAAACTTTAGCTTTCTGTTAGCTACTGTCTTTGCACTTTTACATTTGAATCCCGTGACATGGATTCATGTGCTTTTTATCACACTTATATTCGCCAAAAAGTTTATACTAGTAATATAAAAGTTGAGTTAATTGGGAGAAAAGGGAGATTTAGGAAGTGAAAGAAAGGGCAGAGAAGGCTGGTGAGGGAAACCTTATCTTTTAGGCTCTAGGGTTAGGTTTTTAAGACATGTCATGTCGAGGATCCTCCACTCCCGTTTAGGAATAGCGGCCGTTATGAGTGTCTTTACACCAAGTTCCGTGCTGTGTGAGTGCGAGAGTTTAAAAAATCTTTTAGGTGTATGACTAACTGAGATAGGATAAAGGCCATTTGCATTCAGGTTTTCATGTGAATCCTGCCCTAGTGAAAATTCCCTAAACATTTATTATTCTGCAGTCTGGGCGTGATCTGACCTGCCCAGTGGCATGGGGAGGCTGCAGTTTGGTATGTAAATGAGATGAAACACGTTTCTCTTTCTGGTTTGCGAGCATGCGTATTCACTTGGGCAGGTCTATCTGGGCAGAATTTTTTTACTTTGGGTTTATTCTTCAGTACCAAGTGCCGGAAAATTGGCTAGATCTGCTGGACTTTTGATTGAGCTCGAACCCCTAATTAACTACGTTTTGTTTTCAGTGTACTGGGTATTTTTAAAAATGGGTTCCAACAGGTAATTGTTAACGATAGAAAGAGAAAAGGATATGCATGTGTTTTACAAACTGTAAATGACTCCTCGTGCAACAATTTTTTACTACACGAAGATAGAGTGATCATATGCATAATCAAGAACGCCAAAAGTAATAGTTTCACGAGGGCCTACTTTATTTCAAGAATTCTCGGCCAATATTTGATCTTGCTATGGCTAATACTTAAATCACAGAGAAAATTTGAAAATAATTGCTTGATACCAGCATCTTGTATTTTTTTATGGCATCATTGACATTTATAATGTTGTCATTTAGTGTCAGTCATCTTGGAATATGATGTTGAGCGTGTTCGTTAATATTTTTTTGTTTTGTAAATTATACGAATTTTCAATCACCTCATTTTTCACATGTAGAAAGATGTTTGTATCAGGCAATGATGCTCGTCTGTAACTGGGAGCTAGCTGAGGCTCGGAAGAGAGATGCAATTGATCGTGCTAGAGTTCGTGGTGAAAAGCCTCCTCCTGAGGTACTTGCTGAAGAAAGGGGTCTTCATTCAAGCATTGAGACAGATGCAAGGAGGCTCCTAGAAGCGAAAACATTAGATGAGTTGGAGGCACTGCAACGGAAGATTGAGTCACAGATGCTCAGCGGTACAGCCAAAGTTGTTGAGTTTTGGGAGGCTGTCCTCAAACGGCTCCCAATATACAAGGCAAAGGTATAGAAACAGGGACGCCTTTCACAAATTTTCACGGGTGACATTCTAAATTACCTACAACTTCATGCACGCTCCTCAGTGGATTGTCCAAAAACTTTATGCAGGCATTTTTAGCGAAAAATATTTTCTATTTGTTATTGCTGTGAGATCAATTTTTATTCTTGGGCAATTGAAGGATCCCAAAATATATTATTCTGTAGGTGCAACGCTATATGCAAAATGAGTGACATTTTGTAACCTCCCTTCTGTTAGGCACTTCTGATTTTTTTCAGACCTAAGAGAGTCGTGCCTTATTTAGCTCTGTATGTAATAGTAGTTTCGATTCTTTCCTTTTAAATTTTTTTGAGGCTTAGGGAAGCGATTCTATACTTTACATTTACGATAAAATAGATTTGCAATGATACCTAATATATAGTCTATGAGTTGGTTTGTACTGATGTTAACGAACCCTAGGTACGACTTAGTGCACTATATATAGATTTCTCGTATTAAATGATTATTTAGGATCACGAAACACATCTGAGAAATGAGATAAGAACTTGAATTTTTGAGTAAATGCAAATGAAAAGTTTAAGAATATAACAACAGTGTCCTTTTTGTTTTCACGCTAACGGATTGGTTTCTAATGTCAGGGAAGTTAGCTACATCAGAACTTTTTGTTCATGAGGGATGTCAATGTTCTCGAGGTTTCTGTGCTATGTATGTTATCTTTTAAAATGCACTGTCACCAAATGTACAGAGTTTGTGCAATTTTGGGGAAGGGGACATGTCTGCTCGTAGCATACTGACTCCGTTTTTTTTGTGTCAGAGGCCTAGTAGATGCCCATTGTTGCATTGAATACATTGACTCTGAATATCCATGCTTGGTCTTTGTATTTTCCTCTCTAGTCTAGAGATATGCAGGACATTCTATGCCAGAGCTAAACAAACTGTCATCATGTCATTCTAGTCTGGCACATAGAATCTTGAATGTTTCTCTTGCCGCATTCTTTTTTTTCAGGTGTTTTGTTTTCGTTCTATTTGTGATATCATAGTTTCGTATCATGAACAAAATTACTTTTTCTGTAGGCTTGTTTGAAGGAAATCCATACAGATTTATTGAGGAAGCATCTACAACGCCTGGAGCAGCCTGTGGGTGCACAAACATCCATTGAAAAAGAGATTGGCTTAGAGCTTGAAGAGGAGAAGACAGCAAGCTCTCCGGAAGGTATGATTCCGTAACCTTTTTAGCTTTTTTATGAAGATTTTATGATTTTACATCCGTTTGGTCATTTATTAACTGATCTTTCGTTAATATCTTAGATGTCCAAGTCTATTCTCCAGCAATGGTGGTTGATGAACAGAAGGAAGAATTCAATGAAGAGCCTGGCTCGTTTTCACCAGAACTTTTGCATGGTGACGAAGATGAAGGAGCAATTGATCCTGAAGTTGACCAGGCTGAGCTGGTATGTTTTCTTCTCATGAATGCTAATTTACTTCTTGTGCCCTCTTTGTCAACTGGTGTGACGTGCTCAGATGGGAAAATGAAATTCTTCTGATCTAAAATTGCTGTGTTAGTCAATCCACATAAGCTCGTTGGGCTAATGTAGATTTACTAACCCATGAATTCAATGTTTTCGTCTGTGGTTGTCACTGGGTGGGTTCAGTCAGTCCAATTTCGCTATCATGAGAATGACAGTCGATAGTGTGAAGTTTATCAGGGCTACTGCTAGTGGCTTTAGTGCTTGCTTCGCTGATGGGGCACTGATGCGCTGTACCATGTGATACACACAGGGTAATTATTGCTAAGTAAAACTTGGCTTAGGATTACACAGATCTTCGAAATTCACCAAACCACACAAAAAGGTTATGAATGCTACCCTAAATTTGGCAAAGGATTCAATTAATTCCGTTAAATCTTTAATTTATATGATTTTAGTGAATGAAATGAGATTTCTGATTAATGGTGGCTTGTGGGTGGTACACACTGATTCTCCAGAACAGTGCCATAAACTATGACTTCACTGGCATAGAGGAGAGATATCGATGCTCCATTCCCAATCATTCTCTATTCTGAGTTTCCTCTTCTTTTAGTTCTCACGCTTCCATGGGATGAACAGGGTGAGAGATTATCAACACGGCTTGAAAATTATGGCTGCCATTCCTAAATGGGAAAGCACGAAAGAATTAACAATGTTATGAACTTCACTGAATGGCTTCTGAAAAATTAAAGGAACTGGAGATGTGCTCAGTTTATTATGTCTTCCATGGGAGTCGACTGGTTTTAAATCCATGGGCTGTGTGGAACTCTGTCAGAGAAGCACCTAATTGGTGGATTTCATGCCAGAATCAGTGCGCGAGATGGTGAAAGCATATAGATGGAGGTTAATGGGCATAATAGGCATGTGCATCAGGGTGGAGGTATGTCAGGGTATATCGTTGTTAGGTTTGAGAGAGAAAATTGTTCAGTCAAAATATAAATGGATCAGTGGAAGATAGAAAAATATCGTGCTACAAAAATATGATATAAAATGACGTCTGTGTATCATTCTCACAAGATATCAGCATTCTATCAAAGACTTGCACCTCCAGGAGGATAAGATTTTCTTGATCAGACGATTTTATAGTTTTCTCTTTTTTTTTTTTTCCTTTTATGCGCAGAGTTAGATAAATGACAGTGTTTGGAGCTCGGAACCTGCACATGTCTGTCTTGATACATCAATCCAATGCCCATTACCTTTTTTATGAATTCCTTCTTAGCTCTTGATTGCCTTCTTTGCTCTATCTTGAGTTTTCTGTTACTTTTTTGTCTCTGATTTATATACAACAGGATCGGAAACGTGAGGCTGTTGAACACCAAAGAAGGATCCAAAAAGCCATGTTAACGAAGGTCACCAAGGATGATGACAACTTTGAGTCGAAGGCAATCAAGGCGATGGGCATCATGGAAGAAGGCGATGCTGTCTTAGGCTCAGGCGCCGAAGTAAATCTTGATTCTCAGGTAGAGTTCCAAATCGTCAGGGTTCATGGCGATGGCCACTTGGTCTGGAAAAAAAGATCTCCCACATGAAAATGACGAAATGGGGATCAACTTTCATCAAGTGGCACTTTTTTTTTCCAATTTTTGTCGATATTTTTTTTTTCCTCAGTTGATGAACGATGATGCACATGCAGGTGTACTGGTGGCACGACAAGTATCGCCCTCGGAAGCCCAAGTACTTCAACCGTGTTCATACGGGCTATGAGTGGAACAAATACAATCAGACCCACTACGATCATGATAATCCTCCGCCGAAAATCGTCCAGGGCTACAAGTTCAACATCTTCTACCCAGATCTTGTTGACAAGTCGAAAGCCCCCGTCTACACGATTGAGCGGGATGGGAGCAATGGCGAGACCTGCCTCATAAGATTCCATGCAGGGCCTCCTTATGAGGACATTGTAAGTCCCATCTCCAGACCCCTTTTTTTTTATCGATCCCCATGATCAGCCGTTGACTTTCCAGCCGTTGACCCTGTGTTGTCCTTCTCATGTGGTCCATTACTGGCAGAATTTTTCTCCAAATCCTTCCTTTCTGTCAATTTCCATGCTTAGCCGTTGACTTTCCCGGAGTTGACCCTTATGTTGTCCTCATCATGTGGTGTATATTACTGGCAGACTTTTTCTCTCCGCTTGTTACCCACCTCTTTCGTCACCTCACGCATGGGGTATAATTATGTATACCTGAGGGATAAGTCCCATCTCCAAACCCTTACTTTTTCATCGATCTCCATGCTCATCCGTTGACTTCCCCGCCGTTGACCCTTATGTTGTCCTTCTCATGTGGTCCATTGCTGGCGGACTTTTTCCCTCACCACTTGGAGATCTCTGTTGTTCTTGGCAGGCATTCCGCATCGTCAACAAGGAGTGGGAGTACTCGCACAAGAAGGGCTTTAAGTGCACCTTCGAGCGTGGGATCCTGCACGTCTACTTCAACTTCAAGCGCCATCGGTACAGGAGATGAGCTCGGAGATTTAAAAGGTTTGTCATCGCTTCCCTGGTAGCTCAGAGCAGCGGCATCTTAATCTGTGACTGTAAATCCGGCATGCCTTTGGATCCGTCTTGGATGAGCTCTTTCTCTCCTGAATTTCCTCCCCTCTGGAGGATCCAACAAGCAGAAAAATTATCAGTTGGTTAATTATTGGAAATATTTTAAAGGTAGATGAACATGTTCCACAGCTCTTCACTCAGGCAGGCGATGGCTGTTGCGGACCAGCTGGAGGCTGACTCTTCTTTATTTCTGCTGTTAGTGAAAAGGAAACAAAAACCATCGAGAAAACTCTTGAAGATCTCAAGTTTTCTTGATGGAGAAGTCCATGAATGGTCATTGAACTGGTGACAAACATGGTATCTATTGATCTAGAAATAGAATGTTACAAAAAAGGAAAGTTTTTAATAATTTTTAGTTCCTGGTCGATGACAGTTCCAAGTCTACTCTTGTAACTATTTGACTTGGTCTTGTCCCAAACATGCTATAGACAAGGTTTCTTCTTCACATCGCAGGCGAATCTTAAGCCTCTAGTTGGCTCTCGAGTCTTGTTTCTGTAATCAGCTTGAATCAGACACAATCCAAGAGGTGAATCAAACACTAGTAGGAAGCTTCAATCGTTGACTTTCATTGCCATAGAATCCAACTCTGCCAACGTAAGAAAAGTCATCCCTCTTTTTTATACTTTCTATTTTGAAGAAACTGGTTACCTCCAACGTGGGTGAACTAAAGTGGCAACAGCAAGGCCGCAGGGGCCAGGTTCTTACATTTCTTAATTTCTGTTCATTTGTCAATACTTCAGGAATGAACAGAAATTAATTCCCTTCTTGGTCATTTTTTCCCTTCAAAAAACCAAACTCATCCCAAAGATCAGCACAGAATCCAACAGGAATTCGCTTTCCAATCATTGAATCTGTTTTTACAAAATGAACAGAAATTAATTCCCTTCTTGGTCATTTTTTCCCTTCAAAAAACCAGGCTCCTCTCAAAGATCGGCAGAGTTTAACAGGAATCCACTTTGAGAAGACCAAAAAGCATTAGATGCAAAGTCAAGCTCTGGTACATTGAATAAGCCTTGTTGACCAAACAAAGCTGCTGAAGCATTTAATATTCAACTGGTATCTCAATGTAAAGAGAGGATCACTTAATCAACAACAAGCTATCTACTCTTCATACTTATATTTATAATGGGCATAAACTAATCCTATAGATATTGGGAGTTGAATTTAATAATTAGTGGGCGTATCTGAACTATTAGTAATAATGGAACCCAAGTACCTTTTAGTTCTTGGAGAGTGACATAGGTAGTGTGCCAAATCACAATAAAATATGGTCTTAGCTCAGATGTGATCATTTAGTTTATCTTAGTCCTTGAATTCTATTGACGTCTTATTGTCTATAATTTGTATTACTGTCCTTTGGTCATTCTTCAAATCAAAGCTTTCTCCTCTCATGTAGGTTGTCATTAATATTGTGTCTATGGATGTGTAACTAATCAATAGACATATTTCTCTCAAAGGTTGAGCTCATACATGATTGTTGAGCTTGTCATTTATTTTGTTAACGTGTTACCATCTAGGGTGCATGCTGTTGACCTTCAACTGTTTTTTATTCCAAGATGCTCACATGTTAATGTCCAATATATGTAGTGAATACTTCTTTACTCTAGTGGGGACTTCATGTGAATAGTTCAACTCAGTCATTGTGTAGGATTGTAGTTCAATTCTTGCCTCAAACATTGATCTTTTGATATTACTCCACATTTTTCTGATCAACTTCCTTTTGTGAATGGAGAGATCTGAAGTTTAAATCTCACCCATATCTTAATTTTCATAATTTCAAATATTTCAGCTATCATTTTTTCTACCATTGAGTAGTTTACATCATGAATTTGAATATCATGTCCAGCTATGTATGTTTTGATTTTTTAAGATGTATTTATGATTTAAACCTTTGACTCCATGTTATTTAGGCCCTGCATTTGAATATCATAGGTAACTTCACATTTTTAGATTGTACATGAGACTTTGTCAAACATGTTGAGATAAGTTCTTTTGCACTTATGCTCTAACAATATAATACTATATTATTTCAACATGAAAAATGTTTCAAGGGACTAGCTCATTATTAGTTATATAATTGTATTGAGCATCATCAATATATATTAAGTATTTTTGAGGAATAGTTAACTTTTAATGTAAACTATCTTGATGTTTATTGATGATTTAATAAATTATTTATAAATAAAATTTCCAATATAAGTGTGGAAACCAAAGGCATCAACAATAATGACTCAGACTAAACAGTAAAAAAAAATATGTTTTAAGTTATTTGAGTAATCTACCTATCCATCATCTTAAGTGGAGGGTGAAGTTTTGAGAGGTGTTACCTAGGAATAAAATAAGAAAAGTGTAGATTAATTCAACTCTTCGTTCTTGATTTTAATGTAGGCTAAAACACAATAGTTTTTCCTGATTGTCATTGGGTTATGGATTGGTTCACCTTTTGACATGTTCCTATCTCCTTGCAATCTTTGTTACTTCAACTTCTTGATTGACTATCTTTTGAATCATTGACCTAAGTTTTGGTCACCTCTTCTACTATGTCATTGAGAAGAAGGTGAGTATCTCATCAATACTCCCCCCTAATTATTTCACATTGTATGCAAAATGAAAATCTAGGAACACCTTGAGAATGCTCCTTGTAGGTTCCCACATCACCTCTTCTAGGGCCAGATCTTATCAAAATACCTAGACTTCTAGGCTGAGGTATATGTTGAGGACTTGGGTCAAGTGGGTTGAGGTAACACTCCCCTTCTGTTCACTTTAGTTGGGCTCTGTGGGACACTATGCTAGCAGTGGCCAAAAGTTCTAGATGATACATGACTGCACGAATATGTTCTAGAAATTTAGACAGCCAAAAGAAACATAGGGTGAGCTTCTCATAAAGAATATGATCAAGGATTTCATCAAACATCTCTTATATCCCTTTGAACTTGAAGTAGTGCCCAAACAACCACAATATTTGCCACTTCCAATTGAAAAAGAAATGCTAGTTATTTATGCTACTATCAAAGGCTTCTAAGTGGTATGGTGAAGATGAAAGTGGACATAGTCACTTGTGTGGTCAACATCTCTTTCGGTGGATCTCTCTGACAAGTGGCGCAGTGCTTCTAGATGATACTTTTACAACTTCCAACATAGTGTGACACATTTAGATGAAATTGAGTCATCACATAGGTGTCTCTAGTTGCCTAAGAGGCAAACTAAGTTTGGGCAATGATTTATTTACTATTTTCAGTATTTATTTACCTAATTTTGTCATTTATTTATGTTTTACGGCAAATTATTTTTGTTTCATGCATATTTTGATTGAAATGAATAGAACTAATTCAAAACTTGATGAATGATCTTTATTATTCTTTTGAATCCTCCAAAACTCGTATGAGATTAAGCTAAGATTATTTTGAACTTATTTTTTTATTAATTTTTGTAATCTAATCTCGACATATTCATGTTCTCGACATTTTGCAAATAATGAGTACTTTTTTTATTTTCAAACATGAAATCATCGAGATTATAGGTTGATTAATGAGCATTCAATGGTTAAAATAAATTGGAGACATTCACAATTGACTTCCATGTCATGTGTGTGAATCTTTAAACACACATTCGTTCAAGAATAATGGACACTATGAAAATGGGTTGATTATATTTCTCTCTTTTCTTCATTTTCGTCTTATTTCTCTCTCTCCCTCTCTCGTGAGACCTTTCTTCTCTCTCCATCTCTTGTGAGATCTCTTCCTTTCTCTCTCTCTCTCTCTTGATTGATCTCCTTCTCTTTTCCTTTCTTGATCAATCTCTCTCTCTCCTTCTCTCTCTTCATCTTAGGTAAGATTTCTGTACTCTTCTCTCTTTTTGTCCCTTTTGTGAGAGATCTCATTCCTTCTCTCTCATGACAGCTTTATCTCTTCCTGTCTCTTTATATCCCTTTCATTAGGGATCTCATCCCTTCCCTCTCTTGTGAGAGCTTTCTCTTCTCTCTCTCTTTTCCTCCCTTTTCTTCACTTCCCTTTATTCTTCTCACCTCACACTTATATTTTATTATTTCTATTAAATATTAATAAAATTTAAATCATTTTATATATAAACTAAATTAGTTTTCATGATGGATTAATCAATCTCCTTATGTTCGACCTGAGACTTACCTCTATACTAATATTTTATTAAGTTTTAGTTATAACTATTATTATATATGTGCATCTAAACACAATGACAAGTGCACATCACTATTTATTTGAGGCTTTGGTTAATCATTTTGTAAGTCATATAATCAAATTGGCTACTGATGGCTGAGTTGTAGAACTCATCTAAAACATGAGAAATGATTGTGGAAGTTGGAGAGATAAGTACACCTCCTTAGAAGAGTAAAACATCATTGGTGGGTGGAATATTTGGGCCTACGATCTGGTTATTAGTGAAACTCTAGGAGAATTCAAGTAATGTGAGTGGCACTTGGGTATTCTTAGTGAATGCAGTTGATGTTGACAATTTCCATGTGTATTCAAGTAATGTGAGCTTCCAAGGGTTGAAGTATGATGTCAGGCTGATAATGAAGAGAATATGCTGCCTTATTCTTTGTTCTTGCTTACACTTGATCTCAAAATTGAAGTAAATAATTTCAGACAGTCATTTCTGATTATCATGAAGTACTTGGCATTGTTCTATTTTTTTTGAGAGAGTGTGATTAGAGAAAATTGATAACTTGTGGTGTAGTAGGTAGTGTTTTCATTTCAAGATGGCAAAGATGATGGCCATCAATTTTCTCTCACATACAGTCTTCAGTTTGTGAAGGGTTGACAAGGCTTAGCATCTTCTTTGTATGAAGACAACTTCCATACCATATTTGAAAACATCTACCTCTAGCTTGAAGGCCTGTGAGAAGTAGGGTAGCACTAAAACAAAAGCCATTGTCAAGGTGCCTTGGAGTTTCTAGAATACCACCAAAGGTTCAAGTCCCCATCAAAATGCATCCTTCTTCAATTGTTGGGTGAGAGGGTAATGTGATCGTATCATAGGTTGCAATGAACTACCTCTAATAGCTTGTGAGGCCCAGAAAACCTCCAAGATCTTTGGGGGGTTGTGGGGGACGCCTAGGACATGACATCATTGATTTTTTAGGGGCCCATCTTTGCAGTGGTTGTTGAGATGATATGGCCAAAGTAGACAATGGAAGGTTGGCTGATGGGGCATTTTTTTGCATAGATCCAGAGGTGGTGATGATTGACTGGTAAGATATTGCCTTATAAGAGAGTTGAAAGGAAGGGGGGAACAATCAAACGTGCAAAATAGAGAGAAAAGAGGAAAGGGAAAGATAGAAACTGGTTTACAATGGTCCAGAGAAGAGAGGATGACAATAATTGTGCACTTGAGAGAGAAGAGGAGATAGCAATGACATTAAAGGTGGGGAGGCCAAGGAGGGGGTTAAGGATAATTTAATGTATCTTAGTTCTTTCATGCCCCATATTGATAATTCAATTTTGAGGGTAGTTGAATAGCCCCAAAATCAGTTTATCAACAATATTTATATTATTGTGTTTACTCTTTTATATTATATTCTAACATGGCTTAGTACTATGGTAAGCTCGGGGATCGATCCTCAAGGAATGGTGGGTAGAGTTTACTTTTATTTGTTGATTAAAATTGACATAAATGACGAAGATCACGAAAAAAAAGAAATGAGAAGTGAAGGGGAAGAAAAGAGGTGAGACGTGAAACAAATTTATCAAAGTATGAGTGATGTCACATTGTTAAAGGGCTTGCATGACCAACTCTAATACTAAATCAAATCTACTTCCTAACTAAAGACATCCGACTCATCAATTTTTTAAAACCAACCTGGTTATCACCACGTCTCTTTCCTTATTTCTACTAGGAAGGGGCGATAGCTGCTAGTCAAGAGAGGGAATCTCGTTCAAGGTGAATCACCCAATGAAGAACGGATAGCGCACCTCCGATTGCAAGGTATGGAGCTTGGGACCATTCGAACCCTATTGGGATGGCAACAACTTGAAGTTCTGTTAAGATAAGCTAGGTTTTTCATTGTTGATACATGGTATGTATATGATGGTGGCCCTCCTTTTCTCTCTAATTCTTACAACACGCGATTTACCCTTAAATCCATGGCTGAGCTGCTCCCTTCTTGTGTGGATAGTGGATCCTCCACACCTTCTTGTGTGACTCTTGATAAGTATGTATCTCGACTGTTGAATCAATGCTTCCTTTCTCTTGAGTGGGTGGTGGATCGTTCTTCTCCCCTCTTTGGGTGACACCTTCTAAGTGAATATGAGCCTTATGCCTATAACTCTTCATTTGAGCCCACTTTGCTTGCTTCTCCTTATGTGATTATGAGCCTTAAACTCATGATTCTTCACTCCATGACCAAGTGTGGTCTTTGCTCCTTAATAAGCTGTAAGTTAATATTGAACATATGAAGCTCACATGATTAGAAGACAAGGAATTACATCGTATTCTCACGCGATGTACATACGGTATCTAAAAATGTATAATCTAATGAGAAATGAATGAATATCTAAAAGCATGAAAGATGCCTTTCATTAGTGACAACTTTATCTCCCTTTTGTGCTGCATGTAGGACTCCTAGACCTCTACCTTGATTTGTATGTGCATAAAATAGAAGGAGATTGATGAGATACTCATCTCATCATCAATGCTATGTCAAAGGCAGAGTTGACTATTAGTTAAGCTAATGATCTAGAAGATGATCAGTCATGAAGTTGAAGTAGCACAAATTGCACGGAGGTGAAGGAACATGCCATAAGGTAAGCAAATCCACCAGCTCAACTAATAATTGGGAGAAATGATATAAGATGTCCTACAGACCCAAGGAAGGAACCAAATAGGAAACTAACCCTCTAGGATGTGGTCAGCAAAGGAAGGGGAGGAAGGAGGTCAATAGATGACTTTTTTAGTTCATCAATTAGTTCAAAAGTCTAGAGTATTTGCCATTGTTCAAGAAACTTTCAATATCTTCAATTACAAAATTCTAGTAGTCTCCAAATAAATCTATATTGTAGGAATCTTTATGATTAGTTTTCTATAAATAAAAAATTAATAAGTAAAATAATTGAGTAAAATTTTAATATAGTTTAAATATCACATTTGAATTCTCAATTCATCAATTTTAAACTTGTCATGAAGAGAAAACTTTAAAAGAATTGACAGTCTACATGATACATGAATAAACACTTTGTGTCATTGTAGAGTGCCAAACATCAGAAGGGGGTTAAAATAGGATTGAGGACATCTTTGCTTACACACTTTAGGTAGTCCTTAGGTGACGTGACTCAATCATTGTATATTAAATCACGTAAATATAAAATTTATGAAACTAGAAAATACAATTTTTTGGATATTTAGAAGTATTTCTAAATAAATATATCAATTATAATTCAATTAAATTTCTAAAAATAGTGATAATTTTTTTGGTCGATCACAAGGATGTAATATAATATTTGGTAATTATTCAGAATTTTTCTCAATGAATCAATTTTCTATGAATTTTATACTAGGAAATAAAAAGGAAATATATTTAAAATTCACAAAAAAGGGAAATAAGGGTGCGAATGTCATGATGATGTCAGCACCCGGCGAACGCAAATCGGGTAAAAACAGAGTTCTGCTCAGTAATTTTTATGTAAGCAATTATAGATGATTTAATTGATCAAATTAAGATTTGTAAAAACTAGAAGAATCGTAATAGAACAAAGTATATTTTGGTAAATTAAAAACACAAAAATTATCACTAAGTGAAGCGTAAAGTAAGTTGAAAGTAGGAAAATAGAGTTCCGGCGTCGCGACGGCGATGCGTTGGCGTCGCACTGGAATCTTGAGCGTTTGAGAGGATCGTTGTGTAGTGTCCATGACCTCAAAGACTCTCCTTGGACAAAGATGACATGGGCAATCTCTAGATCTTCTCATGATGTCTAGAGATCAATGAAGTGGGTCGTCGAATCGTCTTCGGCAGCTGTCACCCGACGGAGCGGAAAAACGACGACTTTGCGGCTCTCTAGTGGCTGTCACCCAACGGAGAGGAGCTGGATGGAGGTGGGGCGCATGTCAAGGAGCTTCATCCTCAGGTCCGTGCAGTAAGAGGAGGCTCTTCATCACATCTGGTATGCTCTCAAGAGGTGGTGACTCGTCTCTTGACGGATCGTCCTCTTCCCAACGACAGCTTGTTCATCGATCAATCGGAGATGATTTACTCGATGGATTCACGATCCTTTTATCGCGAATTGTTCAGCAATTTTAGTAGCAATATTCCGCGAATTGCGTTGACAAGATTTTCGCCGATGATCTAACGATTCTCATTGCTTAATCCTTCACCGAAGATCTGTAGGAAAGTCGCGATAATCATATAAAAATATATGAATTTTGACTTTAGGAGGATTCAAACCCGTGCCGGTCGCCCGCATCTGAGGAAGGTGTGACGCAGGTTTAGTCCCACATCGATTGTGCACCGATTTTTTGGACAAATATATAGTAATGTTAGCTTTCTAAGCAAAGTCCCTTTTCTCGCGTGTACGACCACTCCTTGCCCCACAGCCAGCTGGCCACTGGTGACGTGGATGGGGTGTGGCACACACGTGCCCATATTGGTCCAAACTAAGCTGCTCGAGCCCCTGCTCACGGCTACTCCCCGATTGTGCTTCCGACCCGCTTGCAGGCCCAGCTGGCCGGCAGGTCCTCTCATTTTACAATATTTTTATTTTTATTTTATGTTCTTCATTTATCTCAAAAGTAAGATTGTAAAAATTATACAAAATCACATAATTATCAAAAAATTCACATTAATCAACTAAAAACCATACTTTAACACAAATATAAGTCTATTTATCATAAGTTAAGGCTAAAACTATATTATTTACTAATTATTAACTCATGATAATGAAGACTTATCATTAGGTTATTAGGGGCCTATGTGGACCAATTGTTTGCTTTGTCAAATTGCCTTGTCCTATTGTTGTAGTAGTGTTGAGCCCTAGTTGACCCTTGTCATAGGTCTAGATTTGGTTGCCTCTACAATGCCAACTATTGTTGCTATGACTACTGCAACTTTGGCATTCTTGTCTACAGTCTTCTCAATGCTTGGAACAAATATTAGAAGTTGTTGCTTTAGGTTTTCTATAGTTCACAAGGATGTCGGTTATCATCATGATGGACCAAATGTCCATTGCTCGATGTTGTAGCTCACATTGTGCCTTGATCTGAAGACTTCCCATAATGCTCAAGAACTTATTCTTACTAGACATGTACTTCATATCAAAAACAAATGAAGAAAATTACATATTTTTTCTAACCAAACATACTTCACTAACTACTCTCATGTGTTGATATATCTGACTTGAATCTTATTCTATTCTTTCCTCCATGGCTTGGCATCGCATGAAAGGCACATAATCACATATTCCTATATCTATTTTCTTTTGTTTATACAAATCGAAAGGCATAGACCATGCGTAGACTAGCATCCCTACATCATGCGGGAGACTAGGCAATCACTAAAAGAGAATAGAGCAAGACCCTTGAACTCAGCTGGAAATCTCGATGGACATGACCTCCAGCTTCTTCACTTCCTCCTTGGGGACAGTCATGGTCAGCACCCCATTCTCCATGGATGCTCGTATTAGATCTGCCTTGGCATTCTTTGTGAGATGGAACTGCCTCATGAACCCCCCATTATTCCTCTCGATGTGGTGCCACCTATTGTTCTTCTGCTCCTTCTCCTTGCTCCTCTGCCCGATGATCTGTAGGATGCAACCCTCCTTCATCGCCTCCTTCTTCACCCTCGGGAGGTTGGTAGTGAAGACATGAGCCTTAGGGTCTCCTTTCAATCTATGCGGGTGCTAGTGAAGGCAGAGATCTCGGAGTCCCACCCACGGTGCAGAAGGAAAAGGGAGTTGTCATTGTTGCTGAAGGGGAATCCTTGTAAAGGGTCCCAAACATCAAGAGAGAATGGATCGAAGATGTTGATGGTATGCCTCTTGAAGAGGGCTGGGATCATCTAAAGAATCTAACCTTGCGACTCTTTGTAAGAACACAAGAGCTCAAGAAGAACTTGGGTGGAGAAACAACAAAATGTCCAAAGTATTAAACTGGAAATTAGAGAAATTAATCAGCTTGTACAATCAGACGCCGTACTGATCCTCTTATAGGACCAAGTCAAACACCTCATGTAGTAACACCTTTATGGCAGTTATTACAAGCGCTATTATCCTAGTGCAATCTTAGCCATCTATTATGGAGTTATAATGGCTAAGATTGAACTGTTCAAAAGTAAGGGATACAAGAAAATAACGTAAGATAATGCAGAACTCCCGTTAAAAGCCTTCCTCCTTCATGGACTGTGATAATGATGACAGTGAGATTAACTCCAACATTCACCTCCTTAAGCTCGCTGCTATTCCGCCAGATGTTCTACTCCAATCAGCTTTTGAAATCCTACAAATTTAAATTTTGCAAGAGACTTTGTGAGAATGGTTGCCCTTTGTCTATAAAGTTTGAGAGTACAGCCGACAACCAACGTGTAGCGAGATAATGGTCAACGGAGAGAGACTTCTACAAGCAGCGAACGAGGAGGAAGAGGTAGAAGCCATTGACACAGGCGATTTCAACTTCACCATCTTCAACACAATTGTGCACATAATGGTAGTGAATTTTTATGTGTTTCGATCGACTGTGAAATGTTAGATTCTTCGCAAACTCAATGGCAGAGACATTATCAACTTGTATCTTAACTAGTTTGAGGTAGATTCTAGTTAACTCTTTGAGAAATTCAGCTAGCCAAACACCTTGACATGCTGCCAAAGTAAGTGAGATATACTTTGCTTCATAGGATGATAGGGCAATAGTTCTTTGCTTTTGTGACACCCATGTCACATGATTGTTGTCAATAAAGAAACAAAAACCTAATGTGCTCTTTCTCTCCTCTATATCTCCTCCATAATCACTATCACAGAAGTCAGCAAATATAAAATTCTTCTCCTTTTTGTACTTAAGACCAAAATTTGAGATGTTTTTAATGTACCTCAGTACACCTTTAGCACACTTAAGATGTTCAGCTCATAGATTTTTCATAAATCTATTGAGAAATCTAATATTGAATGACAAGTTTGATCTAGTGTGGGTCAAATATCTTAATGATCCCATTAAGCTTCTACAAGTGATAGCATTTATCGAGTCTTATCCTTCCTTCTAATTAAAGATAGGTCTTACTTCAAGAGGAGTAACTAATGAATTACAATTCAGCATGTCAAATGTCTTAAGAATGTTCAGAGCAAATTACTTATGTGAGAGTGAGAGAAATTTATCAATTTGACATACTTCAATGTCCAAATATGTTGAGAGTAGGCCCATATTAGACATCTCGAACATGTTTGCCATTTTAAACTTGAAATCTTCATTTTCTTTTTCAAAATTCCTGGTGATGTGTAAATCATCAACATATACTCCCACATATAGGTGAGAATTCACCTTCTTCTTGAAGTAGGTTGTGGGCTCAAAGTTGCTCTTAATTAGACCTAATGAGATAAGACTCTTGTCTAATTTAGAGTACCAAACTCTTGGTGCTTGTTTTAGACCATAGAGAGCCTTTTTAGCTTATAAATCATCTTCTCCTTCCCATTGACCTCAAATCTAGGCAGCTGATTCACATATATATTCTCATTGATTTCTGCATTTAGAAAAATAGATTTTATGTCCATATGGTGAATTTTTCAGCTGAAATGAGCTGAGACAACTAGAAGCACTCGAATTGCCTTGTCTTGCTACAGGTGCAAACACATCAGTAAAATCAACTCCATACCTTTGCACATAGCCTTTCACCATTAGTCATACCTTGTGCTTGAGAATTTCTCTTTTTGGATTCTTCTTGACTCTAAAGATCTACTTGAGTCCAATAGGCTTGTATCTTGCTTGTCGTGTGACTAGAATCTAAGTATGATTCTTATTTATTTGACTCAATTTTTCTTCCATAGCTCTCTTCCAAATTTCGCCATTGAGAGCAGCTTGAACTGATTTAGGTTCTTCAGCCGTGAAGTTACACACTTCATCTTCATCTTCAATTGGGCGGGTCTCTACATATAATTTAGATAGATTCTTGAATCTTTCATGTTGTGAAGATTCACCCGAAGATGAGGTAACTTGGGTGTCTTCAGGTGAGGCAAGATTTGAAGACATCTCCTCTCCACAACTTTCAGCTTCATTTTCGAAGTCTTGAGGCTGAGAAGTGCTTCCGTTGACTTGGTCAACTAAGAGATCATATATAGGAGATGAAAGAGATATACTTGATTCTTTCAACAATGTGAAATTCTCCTAATTCTAGCATTTTTCTTTTTTAAATATTACATGTCTCGAAATGTGAATCTTGCCTGGTGCAGAGTCAAATGCACAATAACCCTTGACTCCTTTTTCATAGCCAATAAAAATCATTGGTGTGCTTCTATCACCAAGCTTCTTAAGAGCTCTTCCAAGTGCCTTAACATGCATGATTGGTCCAAAAACCCTTAAATGGTCAACTTTTGGTTTTGTGCTAGACTATGCTTCATAGAGAGTCTTCCCTTGAAGACTTCTTGTGGGAGCTCTATTTAAGAGATAGACAATTGTGCTTGCTGCTTCTCCCCAAAATTCTTGAGGTAAGTGCTTTGATTTCAGCATTGCTCTTACCATGTCTAGTAGAGTGAGATTTCTCCTTTCTACCACACCATTTTGTTAAGGTGAATAAGGTGTAGTCAATTGCCGTCAAATTCCCTACTCATCACACCATTTAGTGAATTCTTTGGAATTAAACTCACCTCCTTGATCTGTCCTTAACACGAGATTTTCATCTCTTTCTCTACTTCAGCCAGAGATTTAAATTTCTTGAAAGCATCTAATGTTTCCAATTTCCTCTTCAACATAGAAATCCACATTAATCTTTTATAATCATAAACAAAAAGTAGGAAGTACTTACTTCCATCGAGAGTCTTTGGTTCAATTAGCCCACAAAGATCTCCATGAATTAGTTCAAGTAGTCTTGTGACTTGAAATGATGAAGCTGAGGGAAATGAAGCTCTTATTTGCTTGGACTTCACACAGTCAATGCAAAGTTTTTTCTCCTCTTTCAAACTCCGGTAGTCCTTTGACCATACTATATGAAGATAGAGCACAAAGATAAGTGAAATTTAAATGACCATACCTCTTATGCCAAAGCCAATTCTGATCAAACTTAGCATGAAGACAATTTTCAACAATGTCGAGCTTCAATAGGTAAAGTCCTCCAGCATTTCTCTTTACCTTTGTTATGAGTATGCCTCTTTGATCATGAATTATAACAATTCCATTTTGCCAATTCATTTTGCACCCCTATTCATCAAGTCTCCTGAGACTTAAAATATTGGCTCTCATACGAAGAGTATAGAAGACATTGATCAAGGTAACTTTACTCCCACCTTTAGTCTTTAGGAGTATCTTACCTTGACCTTCAATAGGAATGCATGAGTCATCACAAAAATGGACACCTTTATATGACTCATCTAACTCAAAGAAAAGAGTATTCTCACTAGTCGTGTCTAAATATCACATGTCATTGACCAGCTCGGATTGAGAGATACTTTGAAGAAGCACATCTGAATCTTCAAATGTCATAAGTAATGAATTATCACTTGTACTTTCTTCAGCTACAATTGCCTTCTCTTTATCTATCTTCGGTGTTTCCTTATTTAGAAATCGACATTCATTTGCATAATGACCCTTCTTTTGACAATTATAACCAGTGACAGATGACTTATCTTTCGGTCTTTCATTGTCATCAAAGTCTTCTATCTTCATTGTTCCTCTTGCTCTTCCTCTACCTCTTGCTTGAGAACTGTCAGAAGAATCTTTCTTCTTGTTTTTGCTGAGAGTGCGGGCCAATAAGGAGTTATCTTCTCTCTTGACTGAGTGATCTCGAAGTTTGTCTTCATGAATCTTGAGAGTTCCAAGAACCTCCTCTACTGAGATTGCATCAAGATCTTAGAATTGCTCAATCGACGTTGTAATCGAGTCAAATTTACTTGGGATTGACCTCAAGATTTTGGCACTGGGACTCTTTAATTTAATCACTATTCGAGAAAAATTCCTAAAATAATCAAGAACTGACTTGTCGTCTTCCATAGAAAGATTCTCGTAATTTTTGTGTAGTGATTGAATAATCTGTTGGCATGGAACACCTCTGTTCTTCACCTTCAACAGATTCCACATCTGCTTAGCAATTTTTTTCACGTCCAGCTCCTACGAGATTTAATCCGAGAGAGTGCTGAAGAAGATGGACATCACCTGTCTATCTTTCTTCTTCATTGGAGTCTCTACCTCAATGACATTCTAGAACTCAAGACCTTCGAGGTGTAGATGCATCCTAGATGCCCACACTTGATAGTTGAGCCTCGTGCGGATTCAAAATGACCTATCTGCATAGGTTGCTTTGCCCCTTTCAATCCTTCCATCACTAGTGAGATCCTACAACAAGTCTTCCTTCCGTGGTGCCATTGCCATTGAGATGATGTTGAATCACAAGTGCTCTGATACTAATTGAAGAATTTAACCTTACGACTCTTCATAAGAACACGAGCTCAATAAGAACTTGAGTGGAGAAACAATAAAATGTCCAAAGTATTAAACTAGAAATTAGAGAAATTAATCAACTTGTACAATCAAACGCTGAACTGATCTTCTTATAAGACCAAGTTGAACACCTCATGCAATAATGCCGTTATGGCAGTTACTGCAAGCGCTATTATTCTATTATGGAGTTATAACGGCTGAGATTGAACCATTCAAAAGTAAGAGATACAAGGAAAAAATGTAAGATAAAGCAGAATTCCCATTGAACACCTTCCTCCTTGATGGACTGTGATGATGACAGCAACAAGATTAACTCCAACATCAGCAACATTTCTTCACTAGATGACAAAGGCTGCTCTCAGATCATTTGTTTGAAACTATAGTTTGATGATCGCATGGCGGTAGCGAATGTTTATAGAGCATTTGGCAGGGGGAGGGGGTGAGTTCTCTAGAAAAGTCAACCTTGGCTCTTCTAGAAACTTTTGTTTATGTTCAATGAAATTCTTAATCGTAGTCGGTGCAGATGATGAGTGTAGTCAAGGAGATTCTTCCCTGAAATCTTGCAAAGGTATCGAATAATCTCACGACAAGCCCCCCATCGAGAATTATCCAGAGGATCTCGAGTCCTCTCGAGAGACGAAATGTCGCTCCTATCAGTCAATCACTAGGTCGATCGGATTTCAGAACCCGTCAATTGCCGTCTAGTTGTGCTTTTTCAAAGCGGTTTCAAGCGCTCTTCCTTGTTATCTGCCACTCCCACATCACCCATCTCTGCAGATTGATTCCCACAGAGATACTAGCAGTTGAACAAAATATGAAAGTATAATGCAAAATGAAAATCGGTGAAATTCAATTGCTTTTGAGTAAAAAGTATACTTGGATACTGAATTGAAGCACCCTCACATTAACGTCCAACAGTAACATGCACTAAGTGCCTTAACGCTTCATTTGGGTCCTCTTTTGTTCAATAGAAATGCTCATTTTTCCTTTTTTGGCACCTATCTGAAGTTGATACCATCCTAATGAACTGCCTATTATGGTTGGATTAGTGGATGACACACACAAAAAAAGCCACTAGACTCTGAGTTCAAGTTGTGTATTGTACTACAACATAGTTTCACTTCAGTGGATACCACTTGTTTCTGTTGTTGACTATACAAGCTGTTGCACTTTTGCAAATTTTAGATATAGATCATCAGATGGATGATTTCTCTCTCCCTACCCACTTCATGAAAATAACTTGAGTTTTGGACTCCCTTGCCATGTAAAGATATTCTTAAGATAAGAAAGAATGAAACAAACGCCACATTACTTGTTGGGGCACTTTTAGGTTCCCAGTTACTACTTTGCGTAGAATCATTGGCTAGCACGTGAACCTATGTGATCATTGGGATAAAAAAGGGGTCTGGTAGCATAAATCTCAAACCCCAGAATTTGAATCTTATAAAGAATTGAACTAGGAGTATTGTGTGAATACGACGATTATCTAGTTCTTCTTGTATCATTTCTTTGTGTACAATTAATTTCTCATCTCTATTTTCCTGCCTTTGATATTTTTGAGATGCAAGTTATGCTGCGGATGACATACTATTTTTGTCATTTGAACAAAATTTGGTATCATAGCTCTGTTCGTTTGACATTATAAAGATGTCAACTGCAAAATTTGATGTTATAAACTTTTGTTGAAATATTGACTTGTTTTCTTAGAGAAGAGAGTAAATCCTCGTACAACAAATGCTTCAAAAAGCTCTTTATAGAAATGAAAGAGTGGAAAACTTAAGTCATGATGAATGGGATCAATTAGATTTGAACAAAGTGAGTACAATTATGTTATACTTACCTGACAAGGCTATTGATAACATTCTCAAAGTGATGCTCTTACTGATTTATGGAAGGAAATTATAAGTGTTATACATGGGATCATTTCTTATCAATAGGCTATATTTGACGAAGAGATAATCTAGCTTAGGTCTATGTGATGTAGAAAATCTGTTAGAGCATATAAATATATTTAATAAGTTGTCGTTGCCATTGCCAAAGGGGAGAAATCTGGTGCCGTTGCTGAAGAGGAATCTCTGGGAAGGATCCCAAACATCCAAAGAGAATGGATCGTAGATATCGAAGTTATGCTTCCTTAAATTCTGAGTAATACTACTTTTTCCTCTTTTAGGTTTCTCCTCTGTCTATAAGTGAAATCAGGTGCCCCTTGTCGATTCAAGGGAATATTCTAATTTTTGTGGAATTCAAGTATTCAATGATCTAAGGTTCCGTGTCCCATGGATGCAGATCCTGGTTTATTCGTTGAGATATCAATGTCTTGTGGTTTCAAGAATGAATTTTCTTTCACGGAACTCTCGCTGTGTCATAGAGAGAGATAGATAGATTGTGACAGAGATTGAAAGTAAATCTGTGAGGACTTAAGGACCCAATCTCCATATACGTGTCCAGAGAGAGAGAGAGAGAGAGGCTATGTAGTGTGTAGACCAGCTCGTCAACTATGTGGAAAGTGTTGATCAAATGGGAATGGGGGTGGGTCAACAGAATGTTCAAAGATTCCACACGAAGTCTGTCTGAAGTTGGTGCTGCGCCTCCCGAAGAAGGCTGCTCTCAGATCGTTTGTCTGAAAGTGGCTTTTCGATGATCGCGGGGCGGTAGCGACGTTGGATCTATTTATAGAGCAATTGGAGTGGGGAGAGGGAGCTCTCTGGAAACGTCTAGAACATCCTGGGCTTCTAGAAACTTCTCTTGGCGGATTTCGTCTTAAATAAATATTCTTAATCGCGGTCGGTGAAGGCGCTGAGCGCACGTCAAGGAGATTGTTCCCCGAAATCTCGCGAAGGTCTCGAATAGTCTCGCGAGTTCTCCGGGAGCCCTTGACTCTCCTCTCCTCAACACAGACAGAATGCCGCTCCTATCAGTCAGTCAGTCAGTCAGTCGGTCGTGCGGATCTCAGAACCCGTAAATCGACGTCCAGCTGCACCATTTCAAGCGATCAAAGCCTTCTCAGGTGGTCACCATTGTCGTCCGCTGCTCTCGATCTTCCGGCCGAAAAATATCTACAGACGTGTCGGCAGGTTGAAAAAAAGAGAGAGGAATAATCTAAAATAGAAATCGGTGAAAGTCGAATTCTTGTGAGCAAAAAACATAATTAGAAACCGAAGTACCCGCAGATTGCTGTGCCCTAGTCTTCTGCCACATCTGCTCGTGGCATGCCCGAAGTGCCCAACTATTTCAGTGGTGTGCACTTAAGAATGTTCGAGAGGCCCAAATGATGAAATAATCCACACTATAATTAGATACAGAATATTCAAATATCGAGTCCCAAAAATTTGTTTCCTTTTAAACACCTAGAAACATTTTGGATCTTCATATTGTGTCATGAACCTTTTATGTATCATGTTTAAGTTAAACAAATTCGTGATTAAGTAAATGAATGAAATATAGATGGTTGATACCCTTGGTTTTGATAATTAAAATTAAAACTATATTGATTTAAAATAATTGAGTATTGATGGTTATCTCTATATTTTATGAATATATATCATATATTCAATAAATTTTGACATAATTATTATATATATCTCATATATTCAATAAAATTTGAACATAATTATTATACATATCTCATATATTCAATAAATTTTGGACATAATTATTATATGGAATATATTTAATGATTTTATGATCATATCACTAATGATCAAATTCAAGGTATTATTAATCCTTGAGATTAATCGATTCCTATGGAGGGACTCTGGTAACATATAAGCTTAGATGTGAGAATCATGTTGCAGATGCATTAAGTGGTAGCATTAATTTACTAACTATAGTACCCAATATATTTGGTAAGCTAAATGAATTATATCTTGACTTTCCAGATCTTGCTCACATTATGTCGTCTCTTAAAGATGGAACCTCAAGCAAACATCCAAATTATTTGTTCTTAAATGGATAGCTATATTAAAATAATCATATATGTATTCCACATTCATTTGAGAGATTTCTTTATCTGAACAATTATATGCAGGAGGATTAGTAAGACAGGTTGGGAGGGATAGAACTATTAATTTATCAGAAGAATGATTTTATTGACTAAGTTTGAAGAAAGAAAACAAAAATAGTGTCACAATGCCACACTTGTGTCATAACCAAGTTTCCAAAACAAAATACAAAACTCTATACACCACTTCTAGTACCCGGTTATCCTTGGGAGGACATCAACATGAACTTTGTCTTAGGGTTAACTCATACCCAAAAGAAATATGACTATCTTTGTTCTGGTTGATAGTTTCTCCAACTTTATTTCATATTCTAAGAGCTCAGATGCTTTCAAAATTACACGACTCTATTTTGATGAAGTTGTGAGGCTACAAGGCCTCCCACATGAGTTATTTTTGGAAGACGCTCTAAAATGTGATGGGCAAAAAATTACAACATTCTACAATCTTTTGCCCCCAAATAGATGGATAAATCGAAGTAAGAAATCATAGTCTAGGATATCTGCTTAGAGAGTGATCACATAAGGGATTTGATCCTCCCCTCAAGTTGAATTCACTTACAATAATTTCATAAACCACACCGCTGATCTTAATCCCTTTGAGGTTGTCCATGAATATAAGTGTAGGGAGCCTATCGACTAATGTGTCTCCTCACTACATTATAGAGTCTTCATCCAACATCATATTAGCATCATCAACATTGTTAGCAGATGCTCACAAAGGATTTAAAGAGATTAATGAAGGGGATCTCATCATGGTCAGGCTTTACCTAAGTTGATTTACTTCAGGAACTAT